CTATTCGGGTCATGCATGCGGAGGCTAATAACATCTTTAAAATCTGGTAACTTTATTTTAGATATCTTATTTGGGTTGACGTTTCTACATTTACGGACTAGTGTCGGCACGCTTTTTGCATAATAACAGTGGAAGCCGAGGGTGAATTCTCGCGTAATCCAAGCGATCGATTTACCGGCGTGAATTCCGTGCCCAAGCAAAGCGGTACAGATTATGTGGTATTGTACATACGAATAGTAAAATGGCATTCGAATATTTTAATATTGTATTCGCTATTCGAATATTTTGCACAGCCCTAGACCGGCCATGCTTAAAAACTCATTTCGCAAAGATAGGTAGTGGAAAATGATAGCAAGATTGGAAGCGGTTGTGAACCGCGCTTTGTGAAATTTATATAAATCCATCGGACGGTTAAATATCAGTTATGACGTCATAATACTGCAAAAAAGCAATTTTCTGCGGAACACCCGGAGGTCTCTCGCGGAACACCGGTTGAAAATCAATGATCTATAGCAGTGGCCGGCAACCTTTTTTCAGTAACGGACCGGTAAAGCCTGACCAAAATTTTGGCGGACCACCTTTATACAAACGAACTAATCTAATGTAATAAATAATATGCGTTAGAAAATGTATGTTGACAATACATTCAAAAACGAAGGTGATACTATTCACGTAACGTATTTCTTACGTTAAACCCACTTCGATCTTTCGTTTTTGTAATTGCCATTTTAAAACCCAACCTCACATGAAGATAACAATGGCATTGTACGTTTTCATGTCACCTTTCTGCGGACCGGTAGTGACCTTTCCGCAGACCGGCGATGGGCCGCGGCCCGGTGGTTGCCGACTACTGATCTATAGTATATGAAGGAATTTGCATACAATAAACAATGGAATAACTGTTATCTACAACATGACTATATTACCATGCATTTCATGTTTGCAGATTACTGCGATATATTTTTATATACCATGAGTTACGTTATCAGAATTAAATTAATACGGCAAGCATTTAAAATAGTGCTATCGGTCATAGATTTGAACATTTTGCGCAACACAAAATCATCCTAGTAAAAGTCCATACTTTTAAATACCAACCATTATCCAAATTATTTGCCAAAAAGCGGGATAAAGTATAAATTATATTTCTGACTTGCGACAATTTTTTCGTGAGTACGTAAATACGAATGGATTTTTTTTATATTCGGGCACTTCAATGTCCGCATATATATCTTTTATTATTTTATAAATACGAAAATATGTATCAAGAATTAATTATAATCGGGCAGTTTACCACACATTTTAAGTCCATGGATCGCCGTTGTATTTTGTAAATACGAAAATAGGAATCAAAAATTAATAATAATTGCCGTGATAATTGCCGTGATTAATAATAGATTGCCGTGATATTGTGCCCGAATATAATTTATTTTTGATTCCGTATTTCATTCCTTGAACTTAATATCTGTTTTTATAAATTTTGCAAGCAGTTCACGCACGAAGACTTTGAATAATGATGTATTAGTCAAATCGAAGTCCTGTTAGACCACTGGTTCTCAACCAATGGGCCATGGGCCACTGGTAAGCCTCAGAGGCATTTTGAGGTGGGCCACAAACATATTATAAATTACAAGGTTTGTTGATCTAGAACAGCTAGATATGAAAATATATATATTAATTTGTTTGCACATTACATCAAAATTAAAAAGAATATAACGAGAATGTCATGGCCTTCAATTCGCCAGGCTCGAACTGAGCATAACATATAAAAATTAACAAAAAACGAATCCACGAGGACATTGTCTCATAAATACGAACAGAACAAACATTAAATTACCCAATTCCTAATATATTAAATTTTCAAGTATTCCTCACTATCCATCGGAAGAAATTTCATCCACTTCTTCCTTTTAGTGTTCATCTTTTTAGTGACTTCAACCACCTCATTATTCGCCGGAAGAAATTTCATTCACTTCTTCCTTTTACTGTTCATCTTTTTAGTGACTTCAACCACCTCATTATTCGTCGGAAGAAACTTTATTCACTTCTTCCTTTTAGTGTACAGTTTTTAGTGACTTCAACCACCTCATTATTCGTCGGAATTTTTTTATCCACTTCTCCCTTTTAGTGTTCAGCTTTTTAGTGACTTCAACCACCTCATTATTCGTCGGAAAAATTTTATCCACTTCTTCTTTTTAGTGTTCAGCTTTTTAGTGACTTCACCACCTCATTATTCGTCGAAAAAATTTCATCCACTCTTCCTTTTAGTGTTCAGCTTTTTAGTGACTCAACACCTCATTATTCGTCGGAAAAATTTCATCCACTTCTTCCTTTTAGTGTTCAGCTTTTAGTGACTTCAACCACCTCATTATTCGTCGGAAGAAATTTCATCCACTTTTCCTTTTAGTGTTCAGCTTTTTAGTGACTTCAACCACCTCATTATTCGTCGGAAAAATTTCATCACTCTTCCTTTTAGTGTTCAGCTTTTTAGTGACTTCAACCACCTATTCGTCGGAAGAAATTTCATCCACTTCTTCCTTTTAGTGTTTTTAGTGACTTCAACCACCTCATTATTCGTCGGAAATTTTATCCACTTCTCCTTTTAGTGTTCAGCTTTTTAGTGACTTCAACCACCTCAACGTCGGAAGAAATTCATCCACTTCTTCCTTTTAGTGTTCATTTTTTGACTTCATCCACCTCACCACGTCGGAAGAAATTTCATCCACTTCTTCCTTTTAGTGTTCAGCTTTTAGTGACTTCAACCACCTCATTATTCGTCGGAAGAAATTTCATCCACTTCTTCCTTTTAGTGTTCAGCTTTTTAGTGACTTCAACCACCTCATTATTCGTCGGAAGAAATTTCATCCACTTCTTCCTTTTAGTGTTCAGCTTTTTAGTGACTTCAACCACCTCATTATTCGTCGGAAGAAATTTCATCCACTTCTTCCTTTTAGTGTTCAGCTTTTTAGTGACTTCAGCCACCTAACTACCCGTCGGAAGAAATTTCATCCACTTCTTCCTTTTAGTGTTCAGCCTTTTAGTGTTTTTTAATTTTTCACCTTTGGGAACACTTCAACTTCCGTTTTCCCTCCACTTCATCCGTTTCTTCCTTCAGCCTTTTAGTGTTGTCCCATCTGCTCCAGCCTCCAGATATGTATATGACTGTTTCAAAATATGTGTAATGAGTCTTGCGATATTTTCTCAAAGTAAATCAATATTTAAAACTTTATTTGCATCTGTATATAGTAAATACTAGGATAATATATTGAAAAAGAATAAATGAATATTTAAAATGAACACATCAATGTTAAAAATAAATGTCTAGTATTGAATTATTTGCAATGGTTATTGCGGGTGAACAAAATCGGACTCTGTGCACCACAATTACGGTTGTTCACATTTGATTGAAATCCCGCCATTTTTCTGATCTCAGCACTTCACTGCATTCAACTTTGTGGTTTACAGGTTTATGGTATGGATTTGTTTTGGATTATCATTCTGTCATTAGATTAAAGCAATAAATTTATTTCTGGAATATATAGTTAAGTATAACAGGATGTTAATGTTAATCCAAGTGTAAATAATGTCATAGCAAGAATTAGAAAATCCCTTTCAGCAAGGAGAAATATAGAACAATTTAGACAAAAACCTAGTTTAATAAAAGAACTTATCATAATCTGCAAGAACCTATGAATAATTGTATAAATTTTTTTATTTCTGCTAACAATATTTAAAATAATGTATATTTACTGTTAAACATGGTGAACTTTATCTGGAATCAACAATGGAACAATATACAGATATAAATTACTGGAACTGGATGATGTTTATGAATATAGACTATTTGTTTATTATATTATACGTGACTATAATTTTTCATCATTTATTTATTTTTATAAAACACTTTTGAATCCACAATGTGAAACCTTAAAAAAATAAAAAGTATAACAGGATTTTCTCAATGATTCATATTTTACCATCCGAATTATTAATTTGTTTCATTCTTTTATCTTTCTGTCGGTAGGCTAGACCTATTTCAGTATTTATATTTTATGAAACTGTCAATTCCTTAATTATGTAAACTACCAGTGCCTAATTTGCATTCATCTCTGATATTGTATGAAGAGGTGCTTATATATGTGTACATACAGACATAGCATGCACACAAAGGTCAGAAGATGCTCGAATCACCCTTACGATATCTGTCTGTCTGTCTTGCACACTTCCAAACTTCTGCACTTATTCCAGTATTCAAGTTGTCGGTAAGCAGGTGAACCAAACTAGGAAACCTGAAACAAATTAGAAAATATAAATCAATCAAATTAGTCTACCATTTACTGTTAATTATAAATGTTCACTTGATTCTGTGATTTATTCGATACAGTATGGCACACTTTACAGATCGAGTGACATTATGCCCTACTGCAATATGGTTTCAATTTTACGCGTTACAAAGATGATGTAACTGGACTCTTCCAACATTACAGACATTAAGCAAATTGTTTGGCGCCTGTCAGGGATAACCCCCACATTTAAAGACATCAATTATAGCAGGGAATGCATGGTCTGTGTATCGGCAAAGCGGCATTGCACAATAAACTAAAAGGAAGCTCAATCTAAAAATGTAACTATTGGATTCCTCGTAAAAAATACTCCGATTTACCAAAGGAAAAAATTTCACATTAGCATTCGAGAGTTTTTAGCAAAAAGCGCAATTGATTTAAATTATTATCGAAACAAGCATGTTTCGATCTGGCATTGTTTAAAATTTCTGTTCACTTTGTTTTATGATATATATTAGGCTCTACTTTGTCAAAGCATCACCACTCTGGTCCTCAGTTGTCTTCTCAATATTTAAGGCATTATTACCGTAATCTTTAATCTATATTTAAAAATAATATTCAAAATTAATGAAGCAAGTGTTTTGCTGAGAAAAATATTCAAATACCCAATTCATCAGCCAAGAATTTCTTATTATAAATACAGAAATATGATTTTATCTTTCAAATTTCAGTTTTATATATTAAGGATACATGTAAATATATAATGTCAGCAGCTGATGAAGACACTGAATTACGTGATTTACTTGTGCAAACATTGGATAAAAACGGTGTTCTTGGTAAAATCAAAGCTGAATTACGAGCAAGTATATTTTTAGCTTTAGAGGCACAAGAACAAAATAAGACTCCGAATCCTTTGAAAAATACAAATCTTCAAAAATTTGTACTAAACGATGACGGAAAAGCATGTATTGGTATAATTAATCAATTTTTAGAATATTTTCATCTTGATTACACAAGTGCAGTCTTTGAACCAGAGACAAATATTTCAAAAGATTTAATCCCAGATGAAAATAAAGTTCGTGATGTTTTACATTTGGGACCAAGCGTGGATAGAGAACCATTGCTAGCACAAATGGTGAACAATTTAAAAGAGAAAAAATCATCGACACCACAGGGACTTGACAATCATCAGATACAGTTTCTTAGAACAAAATTTGATACTTTTGATCCTGATCATTCGGGTTTAATTAGCCAGAAAGACGTCACATCAGTTGTCAGTCTTGCTTGCCCACTTTTTCATCCTTCTATTTTGGAAAAATTTGTGGCTGAGGAATTCAGGAATAAATATTCTTCAAATGTGACTTTTGATGGTTTCATGAGTGTGTTTCAAAAATTATATGAAATGTGTAGCTCAATTACAATGGTCGGTAATCAAATAAGACCAAATTCTTTACCTACTAGAGTAAAATCACCTGAAAAAAGATCATCGTCTGAAGAATTCTATATGAAGCAGCCATCTTTTCATCAAGTACCAACTTCACCAATTCCTATGTCTGATCCTGAACCAGCGAGAACCTCCGGTGCTGATCATGATTCTGGCGGTTTACCTTCAGCCTATTTAATGCCAACCAATATGGCACCACACGATGGCAGCAATAGTATGGATGTGAGATATGATAATGATTTAGATTTACAATCTAGAAAAAGGGATCCTATTGATTTAAATATAGATGGTACTCGGGGTAGAGGTGATTTACCTGAGGGTTACACAGATACTCCAGCTATGAGTCCAGAATCCAGCAGGACAAGTGATGTTTGGCCAAACAAGAAACAAAAAACAGACGAACCTTCAAGTCATCAACAATATGAAGATGACTTCAACAGTGAACAAAGCATTTCTGAAGATATTCAAGACATGGGAGATGATTTACTTCAAAGTAGTGAAAAAGACGAAAGCCTGGATTTGACAGAGGATCGAACAGTATCAGAGATTCCTCATGCTGATTACATGGAAGATATAAGGCACGGTTGATGATGATTGTAGTATTGATTTTGTATTTTGTACAAAATAAATGATAAATTTCAATGGAAAAAGAAAATTTATAATATGGGGTTGTGAATGTGATTGTACTCGGAGTGACTATCGATGAAAAATAGGCTTCAAAGTTCAAAGAATTTATATTGGTCTTTGTTTAAAGAATGTTTTCAAGCACAACATGCAACAACCACGATTGAGTACTGTTATTTTTACTTGATATACAAGTTGAAGGATGCTCATTAAAATTTTCATATATCTAGTCTGAATTATGCTCCTACCAAGTTAATAGAAATGTGTAACCTCAATAAAACATTTATCATTTGTTATTATGTCAATAAAAACATTCTGTTCCTCAATTCCTAGAATATTCTAGTAGTGTTTGAGTTTGAATTATAAAACAACGAAAAATTTCTCTCAAATACCATGATTATGTACCTGACTTTTGATACATACATGAAAGCGATACTTTTTGGTAAAAAGTAGGTAGTACATTTAGTGATGTTAAAGATAAATCAGATATTTAAAATCAATGCATTAAATGCCTGATTTTAAAAATTGCATAAAAAAAATTTTACTGGAAAAAATATATTTGTGCCTTTGCCGATCAATTTTTAGTCTAAAATCAATTTTATTGAATCCTATCTCAACCAGAGTGTACTATATTAGGTAGGCAATGATGAACCAAAAATGTTCTGGTCCTTCCAAACTATAATACCTCCTCACCCACCGGGGCTTCTTGTACAGAGCCTTGCTTGATTGGAAGGAATATAAATATCCGTCATAAAAAAAAACTAAGAAATCAATCCAAACGAGCTTATCTCAAAATTTACTGCACTGTAAATAAATATTAGTCTTTACCGATGTAATACGGGTAGGTGTTATTCAAATTTCTCAGTTAAGGGTTGAGATAGTAGTAGGGTAATAAATTTTTGGCCTCCATATTCAAACTATGTTATATGATATTTGATATCATTGCTATAATATAAATTACGGTAATTGTTCTAACATTTTATTTTTATTATGAATATTTTTAATTTTGGAATATTTCCATAGAAAACTAAGTTTTAATTGAAATTAACCATAATGGCTGCTCTTAAACAGACTCGACTCGTTTTTTCACATCAGTTTGTTTAAATCTAGATCAAGAACAATACCTTTATATAACAGAAAATAAGTGGTTTTCGAATAGATGGAATTATATTTAGTTTTGAGTAGGTTTTTTCAAACATGACATGTATTGGACAACATTTACTCAACAATATATGCCTTTTACTATCTAACTTTAACATACAAACTTCTTATAATATGAGGTGTATGTTATTATAAGTGATCAATATTACTGTATTTCAATTCTTATTTATTTATTCAAAGTGCTTAATCATTTTGGTTTTACAAACTAGGATACTCATATTCAATGAAAATCATAAGATTCATTCTTAGCCAGAATTGAGTTTTTGTAACATATTTTTTACTTTTTTGCTGCTATTGTTTATTGATTTTTTGTAGGTCATAATTAAGTTTATGTAAGATTGGTTGAATGTTTGTCGGGCAACATGTCAACAATGCGACTAAGATCAAAGCGTTTGGAACTCACCGGTAACACTACGAAACATGTAAGTATGTGTGCGTAAGAGAGTTGTAAAGTTGGACAATTTTATATGCAAATTCGAACTATGACTTTGAACCGTTTAAAAATACGACTCCAGACAAAAATTTTGTCTTGTCCCTCGACCAAATATTCACTCTAGTTCTGAACCCGGATAAACCCTAGTTATGATACCAAAAACTTCGGCATATGCAACAATCCAAGCCCTTTTTAATTGTCTTTTGAAAATGCTCAGTCAACTTGGTACTTTTTGACTTTGATCTTCAATTAAATGTTTTGAATCTTATTATCATCAGTAATATATTGAAATTCTGACTCCAACGTCAGTAAAAACATATCAGACTAGTCCTGGTCTGTAATAAGGAGTTTGATGCTCACATTGATAGGATGCTAATACAGGAGGAATATAATTAATCTTTGAAGTATGCTTCATTCAATAATCATCAGGAACATTTTCCCTGAACCCTGGTTCAAAATATTACATATATGTTTATCATATAATATTTCTGCGTTCATATTTTCAATACCCTTTCTCTAGATTATTTAAAGCAAATTATTTAAGAATGTAAAAGACTTTTAATGTTTTGAACTTTCTAGATATTCACGTTTTGTAATTTCTAGTGTTCTTTCAATATGAAATAAACACAAAATTTTGATTCATTCAGAAAACACCTCTGAAAAAACCAACTATCGAACGTTCAGTTGATGTTACACCGATTGGAAATAATTCACAGTATGGTAAAGGAATACCAAAACAATCAATATCTGCTGTCAGACGATTAGATGAACTTTCACAAGATGAAGAAATAAGTAATATTGTCTAAACTTTTGATTTATTTTTTTTAAAAACCTTGCACTACTAATATTTACAAATATCAAGTACTGATTAACATTTTGGTAAAAAATATTGAAGCAAACAATGTCTGCTGTCATACTACTCAATAACCTTCAGAATACACAAGATGAGGCCCAAAGTACGGTAATATTGTTCGAACTGATGAAGTGCTGATATTTTTTCAAAAAATCTTTACTACTGTCTAAGTGTCTATTGATCTTTGTAAATATCAATTACCGTACTAAGTATTAAAATGATGAATGGTCTGATAGCTTGATGGTATCTGCAACATTGTTAAGCTCTGTTAGAGACCAAGTCACAATTCAAGAAACAATCTATTTGAACTCTTCGTTACTTCTATATCTTAGCTACATCTGTCAATGAAAGCAATAAGGAAAATATGGAAATGGACATTGAAGATATTCTATCGGATTCTTCTGATTCAATTAACACCAGTGATGAAGATGAAGATACAAGGGTAGGAGTTCTGAAATAAAATCTTGAATATTCATTTATCAAATGTAGAAGATAAATACTATCTATTGATGAATTTGAGTTTTACAAAGGCGAAAAGATTTACAAATGCATCATAGAATATCTGATATTGTAGCAGACCCTATTCATAATGAAAATCTGTGAATGTATTCAAATTATTATTTCTAACTTGAAAAGTACTATATATAAAGTTGCTCTTGAGATTAAGTACGAAAACTCTCATTTTTCCATTTTGTGGTGCGGTGGCCTAGAGGTTAAAGCATTGTAATTGACTATAATAGCATCGCAGGGTAAATACCATTCTCACCATCTCATTTGTAGGTGATGCAGAGCTCAAATGATTTTGGTCTTTCCAAACTATAGTAGCTCCTTACTTCGCGGTGTCTACTTGTGCTGAGCCTTGTTCAGAGCAAATGGCATATATATACATAATATAAAAAATATAATTTGTATTAATTGAGTAGGTATTTTATTAGATGGAAAAGTATATGAAGAGAAAAAATCGAATCATGGAAACAAAGCAAGCAATGTTGAAGAAATTAGCAATTGTGGAATCAACAAAGGAAATTCGAAATGCAATGATCAGAGAAAAACAGATTACTAAAACAGAGAAATCTGCCACAAAACAAAGTATGCTTTAAATTTCATCTCAAACATCGTCTATTCTATGCAAAAGGTCTCAAATACAGTGATACCTTGGTAGTCAAAACGACTCGATACTTGAACGATTTGGTGGTTGACTAAAATATTCTAGTCAAAAATACTGCGGTACTCGAACAGAAATTTGATGCTCCGACACCCGAGTGTGCCACCGAATGAGAGGACGTTACCCAAACCATGTAATTCTTCTGTCTCTCGATTATTCAATAAGATATTTGGACACGAAGGTTAAAATGAAGTAGTACAAGTATGCAATCTGTAACAGTGGACTACCGGTACAGCAATCTTAATGACTAATGCAAAAACTGAACCGCGATTAGTACGCAATTTTTGATGACGTCATCCTCATCGCTCACAATAACAAATTCCATTAAAGCCAAAAGAAATTTGCTGAAACATAACTGATGCAAAATTTTTTATTTTTGTTATGTACTCAATTAAGTAAATATTGTTACAGGTACATGATTTGTTAATATTTTGGGTATATTGTAATGCATATGGATGAATTAAAATAATTACTATTGTTTCCATTGTGCCATTGTGTACATTGCATACAAATTGGATATGGAACTTCATTGTACAATGATATCAAGTTGAGTTTAACAGTGGTAACTAAATACTCAAATTAGAAATGCATTGGAAGTTCGAATGTGAATCTCAGTTTCACAGATATAACCATAATTGTCCAATACTATATTGAATAGTTGTGTTATATTTGTGGCAGATAGTGAAACCCACATTAACATACAATACCCTGTTATTAGATCCAATTCACTGCGAACTCAAGAGGGGATTTCAATTGAAACATAGTCCACTTATAGGGTCATTATGTCTGCTATAATATTAATATTTCTAAAAACATTTTTCTTGGTATACAGGGGCAGGAATATTAAAAAAGGAAGGGGGCAAACCTTTGGTGGAGTCAAATATACAGCGAAAATCATTACGATTATTAAGAAAAGATCCCAGAGGTGTTGATCTGCCTCCAGAACCTGTGGAGATCGAAAGAGACGTGAGTTTTCATTGTTTTGTCGCATATTCAACTGATGATGTGTTAAAAACACCTTGTCATTTTTTCACTGAAGTCTGAGCGGGAGTCATGTTTTCAAATTCTACGAGTCAGGATTTTAGACTTTCAATAGCCAGAGGTCAGAATTTCCAAATAAACTCGAAAAGCATTAAGTTTACTACACTTCATAATTGTATATTATTAAAGAAGAGTTAACACTGAAAAAATTTTCTGACTCCGATTATCGCCTTTCAAAAGTATGGAATTCTGACTGTGATTCGAATCGGGAAAAATAATGCTCCTACTTCAGACTTGTCCGATGTCACGGCCATGTCCCATCTAAAACTTGTTCAATTATGTGTAGGTTTCGGTTTTTCTTCCTAAAGTATAAAGTCCAATAAGTTATATATTACTGGTTGTCATATACAGTGTGTTCATGTAGTCCTGCATCAAATTTCCATTGGTAAAAGAATTTCGCTGTGCCTCATGCAACTGATGTTGAGCATGTGAAAATGTATTGAATGAAGTAAAAAAAACGAAATAGTGATTAACACAGAACACGCCATGTATATTGTTGATTCATTTCCATAGCCCAGGAAGCCTGGAACCGAATTTCCTATGGTAGCTGTTGATTTTGAAGAAATTGGCATAAATTCACAAGATAGTAGTGAAGATGAAGATACCAAGTTTCTGAAAAAATCCTATACTGAATATGAACGTTTTATGAAAGGAATCAAAAGATTGAACGATATATTTGAATCACCAGCGAAAATTGATTTGGACAGGTTGGTTATAAACAAGAATAATATTATTTATAATAATCATCAAAAGAAATTGGAGCTTATTGGAAAAGTATGGCAAAGTTTGCGAAAAGAATGCACCTAAATTAAATTATTGAATTGCCCTTTTTATTTATGGTATATATTAATGTAATAATTTATATAAACGATAACTGTCTTCTGCTAGAACAAATTAGAAAACTTATGAAACAAGTTATTGCCTACCCAATTTATCACACCCTGGTGTACATGGGATTTGGACCCCAAATGTGTAACCTGTGATGCAAAGACAGTTAAAAGTCTAACACCGTTGTGGCTAGTTGGTATTCGAGAATAATGTTACAACCCAATTGTGATAAGGTCATATTAAAAAACTTTGATGGTTATGGAGCGTTTTGATTCTAACTAGCTTTCCGGCCCTAATTATAACACTACTAAAATAAAAACTTCACCATTTTGAGACTCATATGAATGTACAAATTTATTTTCTTATCGACAGATATAAAAAGTCACTCAAATCTTTGAAAATAAAACCCAAATATGTTCAAAAAGTGGCTAAAGGTCGTGTTTTCTCCATAGCGATTCACCCTTCATGTACAGAAACTTTAGTAGCTGTTGGTGACAAATATGGGAATCTTGGATTGTGGAATCCGGTAAGTGTCTTCAAGTGCAATGTAGCAGGCTATTGTAGCCATTATATCAGTGGTTCTCAAACATCTTTAGCCACGTCTTTTTAGAATTTGTCAAGTCTCGCGCCCAACCTCGAAAATAACTAGCTAACAATAAGCTATAAATAACAGATAGTAATGCAAGAGTATGTTTTTAATCTTTAATCGTAAACTGGAGGCAATTATAGATTTTTCTCGACGATGCAGTCCTGATATAATGTGAAATTTGTATTGTATAGCACAGTATTTGTTTAAAATATATATTATTATTGGGAAATATACATTTTTCTTTGATCACTGGTCAAGTACATTCAATTAGTTTTTCCTGTTTCGTACTACCATATTTATTTTTACATTCTGTTCAGGATTTAAACGATTCAAATAACGGAACATATATGTTTCAACCTCATATAAACCCAATAAGTTGTTTAAAATTTTCTGAAACAAATTCAAAGAAGCTGTACTCTTGTAGTTATGATGGACAATTAAGATGCATGGATTTGGAAAAGTCAGTTTTTGAAAAGGTGAGTTAACTCACAAATATTATTTAATTTCATATTATAGTTCTCGCTTGTTCACTTCTTTATACCCAAGATTTACAAAACAGATACCTGGCTGTTTTGGCCTAATTTATTAATTAATAATTTAGTAATTGGGGAGCTGACTCTGACAATCGCCTTGTTAAATGTTATTTATTCAATTAACTAACAGGAATGGCCAAAACCAAATATATATTTATGATTCTGAATATATTTCAACGTAATATTTGTAAATATTTCCTATATGAGTCGGATTGGTTCTTGATTTCACTTTTTTTTCAAAATGAAATGAAGGCTTATTTGATCAAACTACAAATCAAGAATTCATATAGTCAAACTTCAATCACATCATATAACCGATTCTTCCATGAGTTCAATCATCCCTGAAGTTTTTTAATAGTTACGGTATTATGATTTTGTGTGTTTCCAGGCATTTATCAATGATGAGTATTGGGAAATGTCTGGTCTTGATTTCTTGGAACCTGATCATACAATAATAGTCAGTAGATCGGATGGAAATTTGTCCATTGTAGATACAAGAACTGACCCAAGGTATTGATATCTATGAAGCAATAATTATTTCTGAGAATTCATTTTACTCAGTTTATGGGCTTATAGAATTTGACAACTGCTGCATGCAATGAAAAAATTCTAATCTTTGTTGGAAATAGTGCTTTTTCTTCAACTTTTAGTTACACTGGGTGCTAGTAAAGCCCTGTTATAATTTTGTTATGAAATCATTTCTCAATATATCATAAACAGGTTTTATTTTATTTCAATGTGTCTATTTTGTGTTTTTTACTTCATTTAATACACTCATAAGGGCCAACAAACTGTGGTATTCATTAATTTATTTTTGCTCTGTATAATATTTGTATATTCTCCAATTAGCGGATCGCTAACTCGCATGCCAGAAACCACATTATATTATTAATATATTTATGCTCTCTTGTCAAAAAATAATCGAAATTTTTGAGTTTGCTAATATAACATTTACCATTATTTACAACAGCAATGTACAGACTTTTGAGGCCCATGACAGAGCAGCAAAATGTGTCAGCTGTCATCCGTTACAGAAGTATTATGTTTCAACTTCACACAGAGATGGGTAAGTACTTTTTTTACAAGCAATGTAGTCTTATTGGATTTAGAGTATAGTTTAGAATGAAACAAAACTATTACTAACATTTCGCATTTCTTCAGTAAAGGTTACTGGAACTTTATTATAATGATACAGGATGTTTATAAAGTCCTGTTGCGATTACCGAATTATGTTTTTTTAATATATCTCAACCAGATTTTGATTACTCAAGTGTTTGTTTACCCAATTTAATACAGGATAACACCCTGTATATTAATATGGCTATATAATGTGATGGCTTCTATTTTCTGGTCTAAGTAAATAAGCAAATCCTGTGTTTTGATAGATCCGTTTTCATCTTCGATATTCGAAATATAAGTGATATGAAGTGCAAGCCCGTAGTTACGATTCAAGATCATGCAAGATCCGTCAGTTCTGCGTATTTTTCACCAATCAGTGGAAAACATCTTCTTACAACAAGCTATGATGACAGGCTCAGGTAAATCTTAATAATCATATCCAATTAGTCTAAATTGTATCTTTTTTGACAAATATCACATAGACAAAAATTCAAAAGAAATAGCTTTTCAGAAAGCCAAGTTCATGCATCTGAAACAAAGAATGGACTGTCATATCGGCTTTTCTTTCCCCCGGACCTCACAAATGTATTTTTGAAGCACAAGACACTGATAAAATCTGGTTTTGGCTATCAAAGGGCATTGCAGACTAGCACTTTAAATCATTTATAGATCATGAGTAGGGCTGGGCAAAATATTCGAATGGCATTTTACTATTCGCTTTGCTTCAACACGGAATTCGGAATCGTGAATTGCGCGAGAATTCACAAACGGCGCTCGCTAACATACAAAAGCGACAAATTTTCTTTGCGTTATGATGTTATTTGTTTTCTTTTCACGCCTAACGTATCGTTTCATTTCCTTATTTTGCAAAATAGGTCCCCACCGTTGCTTTAAGTTGCTTTAATGTATGAACGTTCTGTAAATTATAAACGTATGACGATGTATTTAAAATTGTATTTAATTTTAATACGTATTTTTGGAATCTTGCGAACTCGTTATCGCCGTTAGAAAAATCTCAATAACTGATATAAAATTCCGTAGAGTACAATTTCATTTCGTACAATGAAAATACATATAAAGTATATCGTTTAATCAAAAATACATATTCATCGCCGCGATTAGGCCACTTGTTAGAAGAGCCGACTTTTGCAATGAATAATGAGTTTTCTGTTGTGCAAAGTAATCAATTTGTGACAGATAAGGGCATATTTAAAATGTCTTGCTTTATTATTGTCTTCAATTTAACCAGCGGTTGAGTCGACAAAATAAAATCTTCACAATTTTAAAATACGACGGCAATCTGCGGACATAAAGTGTGGTAAACTGCTCGAATATATAAAGCTTTGATTTCCTTATTTTCAGGACTTGTAACATCAAAAAATCGATAAATCTGCTGTAATATCTCAGGTTAAAATTTATTTTAGCACAATAAAAATTGATTGAATATACATTAGATTGATTATCTTATATATATCATCACAACCCGGGGAAAGTTGTCCGTTTCAAACCTTGTATAATGTTGAAAAGAAAATTTTCGACGGCAATTTAAAGTAATGGATAATATGGCCAATCCCGCCCACAATTAACAGTGCTTCGATTTTAGTGATGATATGTTTTCTAAACGCCGGCCAAACATAATGTGTGCGAGAGGCACACAAAATTTTGCGATTTTCAAAGTCAAAAAGGCGTTTTCAAACTGTCGCAGGCCTCAATAAAACTCATATTGTTTAAAGTTTTATTTTCAGTATTCCATATTGCCGCTTTTCAATCAAAAAATTTGCGTTGTCCTCAGAAACTCGCCGCCGATGAACGTATATTAATTAAACTATCGCCGGATTCGCAATTCCGTGTGTGTACAAAAATAAAATAATTAGCATCGTTAACGTCGCGGGAAATTTTTGATTTAGAGAGGGTAAAACCAACATAAAGTTGTTTACGGCCTAAATACCACGTCACGCTGATAATAACAATCGGCGATTATAGCAAAATGCTATTGCACGCGTTATTGGCGACTTTTACAGTTTTAAAAAAAATTCAACGGCAACGCACGGGTATACCTAATATATAAAACTTCGATGTCCGCCGACCCGCAAGAATTAATACTTTCAAAAAAATGAATCGGGCGGGAATACAGATTACGAACTTTAGGATCGCGGCGACAAAAACAATTAGCGATTTTGATGAATTTAACCAGTAAATAAAAACGCTTTGTTGCGGATTTTTCAAAGTTTCTTCTAATTTTCGAAGGGAGTATCGACCTCCGACGGACTCCCGTTGTATTTGAAAAAAATATTCGTTATTCGATATTCGTAAAAAATATTCGATTTTGCCCACCCCTAATAATGAGTCATTTATTCGTCCCTGAAGCAGTTATTCTGTCTTTATAGCAGGGGCTGGCAAACTTTGGCCCACGAACTAATTTTTTATTGTCTGCATCTGCACACTAATTTATGTCGTGACAAAGTTGCCAGTTGAGTTTAACACCTGGGCCGTTACACAGAATCAACATCCCCCTGATTGATGACAAGCAAATAAAAACAATAAATGTATTGTGTTTGATAATAAGTGAAAAATAGCCGCATACACGTCTCATTGTGACAGAATTTTAACAAAAGAATAGGAATTGTGAGTGCGCCATAATTTGAAGTCTAATGTCTGCACCCTACCAGATAGAAGTATACTTGGCCCATTTGTACATAAATTTCGCCGACCATTGCTTTCGTATTGGTACAGAGTATTCAACACTTCAATCATAAGTCAAAATGCAGTGGAATTGAAAGGAAAATGCTTTCACAATAATAACACAGGAAGATGGTTGAGTAGTTTTAGAGCTGCATGGCACCCGGCATCAGATGATGTATTTGTCGTGGGAAGCATGGATAGACCAAGAAAGGTATTTTTACCATTTTGATCAGTTACCAAGGTTTATTGGTTGTTATCCTTGAATTGTGGGTGATGAGTGCAGACTTTCTGCAGGGTTTCCACATGGCCCTTTTTTCAACCTACCTACAAAAATGACCTAATAAATGGTTTTTCGCTTACAAGTTTTGCGAGTAGATTTTCTTTGAGTCTTATTATATACATTTACCGAAACAAACCACTAGAAATCATTTACATATTTTAAATGATTAAAATCTATTCTATGATTAAAATAAGTAAATTTTGACGTTATGGTGCTATTCCCAACACCCCTTTTACCAACCAGGCTTGACTCTTAAGACTGAGGTAACTGTTCAGTACACCTTAACAAATTTAATTTATTACAGATCGATATATACGATTCATCAGCGAATTATGTGTTTGAAGTTTCAGATCCTGAACTGCTGGGAACTGTTTGCTCAATAAATTGTTTCCACAAAACTAGAAATATTATAGCTGGCGGAAACAGCAGTGGGAAGATCTACTTGTTTTCTGATAATCTTTAAGTTCGAGCTCAAATATATTAAATAAATGTTTTTTTATTCATTCATTTATTATTTCAATACCGCTGTTGTGCTTATCGGACATCCAGCTTGCTGCTGTACCCAACATCAATTATATCGAGTATACTGATGACAAGGTAACCTTATCTTGGATAAGCAGTACTCACTTTATCTATGCTAATTCTCCAATGAGATCTTTTATTTGATGTTTTTCTTCTTTATAAACTTTTTGTTCTTCACTAATTTTGCGTGCTACTCAATTACAATCATTTTTTGAATTTACGAATAAATATACACACACAGTTTCGATTATGGGATTTGAATAAAATGACTGACTGTAATCAGTGCCCAGATTTAGCAACCACAGCTTTTGTACCATCAAACAATATTTATTATTAAACAAATAATTACTTTCATTTAAAGGAAAAAGAAAGTGTTTGGGGGCAAATTAGATGTCACAAACACTCCTCTTGCTTAGGCAGGCAGTATCATAGTAGTTTGTGCAAGACGGACAAGACTGTGTAGCAAGTAGGTAAACCACGCTTAAAATTTTATCTCGTGCCTCCCAGTTATTTCCTGAGTTGATGGCAACAATATCCATGATGCGTTGAAGTCCTTATAAACTCTGATGCAACAATATATCTCTCTCTTATAAAAAAAATATTCAAAAATAAAAAAGCAACTCCGTTATATAGATTGTCCACCATCTTCAGATTTTGTATCACCTTCTGAAGCCACTTGAACATTAGCCACGTTGTTCTCGGATAGATCAGTCGTCCCTTGTTCGACTTTGTTTTCAGTGACGTTCGAGGCTTTGGACAGAGCACAAGGCGATTGGGCTTGCTTGCTGATAGACTGGGCCGCTTCAGCAGCTGTTAAACAATGACTCGTTAAAGCATTCTTTATAAAAAGAATAACAATAAACATACAAGACTTCAATAAAAATTTATTTCTCTCGGATGAAATTCTTACAGACATAAGTAAATACACAATGCGAGGATACAAATAAATTCAGATTCTTTTATTTCTATAAATGCTTGGAGAACAGCTACCACCTTCTCTTTCACGTCTCTTCGCTCGTTTCCGCTTTCTGTCAATATTGGCAACCTCTTGTTTGAGTTGATGATATACTTTTCTCATTTCAGCCATGCGAGACTGCAGTAGAGCAATACGTTCATCCTGGGACATGCTTTCCAACTCTGAATCAAATATAACAAAAACAAAGTTAGCAAAATTCTTAATTCATATTTATTTTAACACAACAAGCGCTTTCTTGTCCAACAAAGTTAGATTACATGAGTAAAAATCTGCTAGATTAAATTTCAGCAGAATTATTTCTTATTAATGATCTTGGCATTTGTGAGTCTTGATTAAGTCTTTGATATTTCTTTAAACCAGAGATGACGAACCTGCGACCCAAAGGATTTCGTCTGATTCAGTGTATGTTTGGCAAGTCATAAACCTTTAAGATCCGTATAGAGAAAAACGCCATCTCCAGTATTATTTATATTACTGGGAACGCTATTTATACGCACGATATACTTCAGCTCATAGAATTTCTTGGAAAAATGCGTACGGTTAAAAAAAAAATTGGATAATCGTCACAGGATGGATTCGTTATTATTTCCGGTTCCGAAGGCTTGCAAAATACGGATCTTTTGTACAAAGCCCTCGCCGCTAATGCAAAAATCTGAAACTTGAGAAAAACACCTCCGCCACGTTCTAAAATAGCAAATTAGTAAGCCTAATTATCCAGTTGCGCAATGATTTGAGAATTCCAATATCCGGCGCAATCTGTATTCCCAGCCTTCACCCTCAACTGGATTATTTTTATTTGAGTGGAGGTGGTGGTGTTTTTAACTTATCTGAAGCATTATTAACTAGAGTTATACATATCTCATAAAGGAAGGTTCGATAAGACGAAGGTTGAAATACGTTCAAGGGTGCAGCCAGAATTACCAAGGAAAGTTAAGAAAAAATTTCAATTAGGCAAAAAATTTATTGACTGTTCCATATATATATGTTATGCTGCAACATATAATTAAAGACTTCAGCTGTAAGGATGCATGGATTTTAGTAATTTGGTTTATTCTTCGTTTTTGTTGATGAAAAACAGGCATCACCAAAATCATTTTGTTTTGCCAGTATTAGGTTTGCTTTCATCTATAATTATAGTTTATACAATTCAAACTATTCCACAGCAGCGGTTCCTCCAGCCCTTGGCATGTTTTACTTTGGTTACAAAAAAATTGGAAAACTACTTCCCTACAACAATGCATAACATAAAAGTTTTGAAACCTACTTTCTCTCGGCAAAGGTGGAGGAGCTGTAGGAGGTTCAGGTCTTGTTTTTGCTCTTTTCTTCCTCTGTTTTCCACTGTCATGCCTCTTCCTAGTTGCTTCACCTGTTTCATTATCTGCTTCATCTTCGCTTTCAGAATCTTTGTCATTTCCACAGCTTAGTCGACGGTTATTCTGTACGATAATAATAAGGACATATTGTATATTAGGCTTGAGACAACATCAAACTTCCAATTGAATAACTAGAAATTCATTTTAAACATATTTTTCCCTGATACCACCGATTACTCAAGTCTTGGCTGTGATAAATTGGTAAAATATTCTGACAGTAGATAGACAAGGTTCATTCTTAAATTATAACCATATAATATTTCTTCAAATAAACAATCTAACAATGAGATAGATTCTTTTAAAATGTGACATTGTTTGTATCTTAGCAATCAATATATTATTTATAGAGGATCAAAATTCATTGAAAAAGAGACTTAGCTGGCTATTTAATGCATATTTATTTTAAATATTCAGCAAGTCCTGAGACAGCTCTTGTCAAAAACAAATATATGTATCGATAAAATGTAAACAAACATTTCTGCAATTCGGGGGCAATGGTGGATGCTTAAACCAGACACTATAATGAATCGAAGGAATTATAAACTATACTGATAAGTCAACTAGTCAAACAAAAATAATTCTTACTCTATTTTTCTGATTTGTTCTTTTCTTTCGTCCCCTCTTCTTCTGCAAAGATTGAGCTTGTGTATCATCTTCTTGTTTATCATTATTTTCTGTCTCTTTATCGTCTTTTCCTGTCACTGATTTCCCAGAATAAGAAGGTTGCTCATTTCCGCTACTGCTTGTATTCTCCATGCTAGAAAATGGAATGCAGTCAGTTATAAAATTATTGTCGCTCCAGAAGTGTGTGTACCAATATGGAGTTAACAAATTTTGTTCGCCTACTTTACATAAAGTTGTGTAAAGGGACTGAAGCCTATGGGCAGGGGGTATATTCACTTGGCTAACACAAACAGTAATAATACGGTAACAGTAAGTAAACTCGTAATAAAACTAAAATAGGGGAAAATCGGAATAAAATTAATATAATAATCCAATATCAAGCAAACTGAGTATAATACGTTATTCCATGAAATATAGTGTGGAACCTGATAAAGAACCTGAAGGCCTACCAAGCATTGGCGAGTTAAGTCCTGTGACTCGCATGGTTTGTGTTTGCATAGGGAAATTCAATGATACAGGGTGACCCAAAAAAGAACCCAGTTCATTAAGAACAAATTCTAGAAAAAATTTAACTTTTGTGCTGGAACCCATGGGCAAAATCATACACAAACAGAAGATTGAGTGTTGAATCAATTTTCATAGAATTAGGAAATTTATAGATTCTGGTTTTCAAGATCATGCTGTGAATATAGATTTGAGTCACAAATAGTCAAGGAACTTGACTGTTATGGAATATTAACTAATACACAATTAAGTCGGTAATCCTCACAGTAACCACTCGTTAGAGAGGTCCTAATTTTTGCCCAATTATTCATTCATTCAAAATTCAAACCTACACACAGAAAGAAGCAACAATAACCACTCAAAATTATCAATTGATGAATGTGAAAATGTACCCAAACAACACAACCAATCCTTCATTATATTATGTATTATCTCTTAAAATTATGACAAGAAAATAGGGTCCCTGCCTATATACCTTTCTTTGCGTTCTTCCCCGATATCCATAGCATCACTATCTACCATAGGTGAATGTTTTTCAATTTCCATATCTTGATCTTCTGATACATGAGTTGGAGATTGCTCAGGTGTAGTTGGTGGTGTGTTTTCAAGAAGAGACTGAATATTAAAATGGATCATTATATACAGCAGGGGTGTGCAAAGTGCGGCCCGCGGGCCAAGTGCGCACGCGAAGAAATGCTAATTTTGAATGGTGTGCGGCGAGCTAAATTAGTTTTTAATTTAGTTTGATCTGGTTCTCTTTCCAATTTATTATCTATGCCTATGACGTTACAACGTCTTCACAGCGAAGCGAACAACGCGATTCACAAGGAAGCTGTCACTTGCCGAGCAGCATACAATTAAAAGAAAAATACGGAGCAGACGCTAATGAATTTGTAAGAACAGACAATTGAAGATTAGGCAACTGGAAAGCAGATTGAAAAAATGTAATATTAAGAAAAGCTAAATGAGTTTTGGTTCCAGCCTATCAGTTGATTTTTTTGAAATCTAATCTAGAATAATATTTGACAGCAAAGTATTTGAAAATGAATCTTGGCGTATTATACCAAAAGCATCTCAACTAAGATAACTTTTTTAATTTGAAAAAAGTCATGGCTTCAAATATGGCACTTTTCGGTTACATTTTTCTAAAATGGGCGTCATATCAAATTGCTAGCACTGCATTTAGGCAAATTTGGATAAAAGTAGTCGGGAAAAGAATCCAGCAGCAAATTTCTCACCGAATTCGTTTAAATTGGCTGTGACATTATATTTGGATTACAGTTTTAAGATATTTATGCGTTTTCTGCAAGGAAATGATGACGACATGAGATCAATAACAAAAAGAAACTATTTTGTGCCTGCAACTTATAGAAAGCCTATGTTAAATGAAGGTGCGGCCCGCGAATTTACCCAGTTATCGATATTTGGCCCTCCTGCGAAGGGTTGCACACCCCTGACATACAGGATACAAAGTCGGCAGAATTTAACTTAACTTAAACAAAAATAGAAATGTTATTTATGAGAGCACGAAAGCGGGAACAGTTCTTAAAAAAGAAAAACATAATAAGCTGTGGAACACTGGATGAAATTTGTATGGTGACTGATATTTTTTCAAATTTGTAAATAAATAAATTCAACTTTGCTAGAGCGCTCGGTTGTCCCTAGGTCAAGATAATTTACAAGATATTGAGAATTACTCGTTTTTTATTCTTATTTTCTTGCGTTTTATAAACAAATTATGAAAACATACTGACCTTACTGCTAGAAGGTGGATTTTGTGGAAGTGTAGTAACATTAAGGGATGGTGCATTGTTAGTAGCTGGTGAATTTTCATGATTGATAGTCGCCACAGATGATGATGGTCCCTCAGTTGCAATATCATCAGATGCTGTCACAGTTGGAATATTGCTCTGTTGTGTATCTGGCGGTGATGCTGATTTGTCGCTACTTGAGCTTTCAACTTTTTCTTCCGACTCAATTTTTTCCACTTTCGGACTTTTTGGTGGTTCATTTTGATCAGCAGCATTATTATTAGCCTTACGTTTTCTGATTTTTCGGCGATTCGGTTCATCGTTACGTTCATCTGTTTTCCGAGCAGCTGTTACCTTTACTTCTCTTTCGTGAACCAGAGATTCTGTCTGCCCTATTTCTATTCCTTCCTTTTCATCTTTGGCAGAAATGATTTTCACAGGGTCGAGAGGATGTTTATTATCATTTGAACGTAAGAGTGACTGCCTAGATTTTTTGTGTTTTTCAAGTGCAATACTAGGTGCTTCTTCATCAAAATTATCATACTCCGATGTCTGTAAACTTTCGACCTGCTGTGAAGCAAAATTTACAAGATAAAAATTCTCAGCTTGCACATAATAGTATGAAGGATGACAATTAATAAACAGATCATAAAAAGTATCTTGTGTTGTAAATATTCATTACAAAAAGTCATTTCCAAATAAGAATATCACATATAAAGGGGTCATGTACACAAATAACAAATAAAAGTCAATGTATATTCAATGACTATGTTTAGGAAATGCAGAGAGGTTGCAGTCGGGTGATGTTTTGATTGATTCCCATTTTTTACAGTTTTAAGAAATTAGAAGAGGTGCTTTCTGGTAACACTTTAATTGCTCAAAATGACAACTTTTTTGATGAAACCATTCTAAATTATTCCTAACATGACTTTGCCATCTAATAACAATGTGGAATATTCGAAACGGAATCTTAGAATAATAAACGATTCCTAGCTACAATAGTAATAGAGAAACAAACACTAGATACCTTAGCTTCCAGCAGTGTTTCAGGTAATTTATTTTTATTATTGTTATTTTTGTCATTGCCATCTTCCACTTCTGATTTTGTATTAGACTTTTCCTGAGTTTTCGTACCCTTAGATTTTGATTTGTCGCGATTTTTTGTCGTCACAGGAGAATTTGAAGCAGCAGGTGATGATAATAAGATAGGGGATGATTTTTCTTTAGATGTGGCTTCACTTTCTGTAGAATTTGAAGAGGATGTGGAAAGAGAAGGTGACGGTGATCGCTGAGATTTTCTGACAGCAGAAATTGGATGGTTAGTGAATGATTTGCACAATGTTGGAGTTGATGGTTTTTCTGTTGGGGATTCCGAAGTGGGTGTTGGAACCGGTGAAGGAGTTTTTTCATTAGAAGTGCTGAATTTTCGTTTTTTCGGTTGGTACCACGAGTCAGACAGGTAGGCTGGAGATTTCGATCTACGAGTTGAAGTACGACGAGGCTGCTGTATGGGTGTGGCAAGGTCTTCTTGTGTATCATCACTGTTGTCATCGATAGTTTCATCTTTCACAGTTTCTTCCTCAACTATACTATTTGTACTGCTACTGCTGTCAGTGTCTTTCTCTGTACTTTCATTGCTTTTAGATTTTGCAGTTGAGAGCTTGCTTACTTCATTTTGTGCAGTCTCCGGTTCTGTCTTTATCACAATTTTGTCTTTTTCTTCCAATTTTTTTACTGCACTTTCCTTTTCCCTTACAGGTGAAGATTTTCCATTCGTTTTTTCCTTTGAACTGCAAGATTTTTCGATCGGTTTTGACCGTACCAGTACTGGACTTCTGTTATGTGGTTCTGGTTTTATCTGTGGAGATTTGGAACGCTTTGTTCTTTGTGATCCAACAAGAACTGGAGAACCAGCCCGAGCTGAGTTACCATATGAAACAGATTTTGAACTTTCCGAACTCTTTGTTGATTTTGCGAGTTCTTCAGACAGATTTTTCTTCAATCCATGTGAAACACGTGGTTTTGATATGAAGGAAGGCAGCTCATCGGTGATATGAGACAAATCCGTATCAATGGAAAACCGTTTTGACAATTCAATTGATAACCCAGGAGAAGGCATGATGTCATCTTTACCACCTGATGAATGTCTAGAACTGTTTGGTGTTTTAGGTCTACGTGGTGATTTAGTATGACTAGATGGGCTTTGTGGGATAGAATGATCATCTGCTAAGCCCACAATACGATGGGGTTTTATTATTTCATCGTGCCTTGCATTCCATCCCTGATAATGAACGAGATACTCAGTAACTTCGCCTGGACCTTCTGGTGGTTTGACTTGCAGAATCTTTGCATCATAGATTTTGAACGTCTTTCCTTGGCCATACTTGACCTGAAAATGCAATGAATTTAGATATTCTTATCGAGTTGCAATGAACCATTGATATTGTATATTAGGCTTACTGAATAAAATAAGAGTGGTGAAAAACTTATTGCTCAATGAAATAATTTCAAGTAAATCAAACAAATTATAATGAATAATATTTGAAAAAAAAAATAAAAATTCATTCCCGCATATGTTATAAGCAGGGATTCCATCGATCTGGAACCAAAAATAAGGACTGGAAAAATTTCTGCATTGTGACTTGAGCAGAAATAGCTGGCTTTCCTATGGCCTCCAGGTCAATGTCACAATTACAGACGTCACAGTGTGCGAAGCACTCACCCTTCAAGCTTCGTTTAACATTGAATTCTTTCCCGTATTTATCACGAAAGAAAATTTAGGCTAAAATACATATAGCTAAAAAACACCACGACAAAACCTAAGGATCGTCACACTGACAATGCTTCATGCCTATCTGTGCCTTGCTTCTATGATGCCACAATAAAGCCTTGGGAATAAAACAAACAACACAAAGCTTCCTTCATAAATTCCAAATAAGACAAAATAAGGACACGCAAGCCAAAAATAAGGACAAATCTAAGAAATAAGTACGGTAGGGAACCCCTAGTTATAAGTTTGCAATTTTCAATTAATTTTTTTAGATTATGGTACTACATGGTATGAAATTCTGCACCTTTAATTGTGATGAACTTGAATAAAACTTCATTTTTTTCTATAACCTACATGGTTGAGTTAATGTCATATATAGTATGACTATGAACACAAAAAACATGGAATAAAAAGACAAAAACATACATATTACATATTACATCCTACTAAACCATATCACACGAAAAAATGAGTTAAATAGTCAATTGATTGCTGTACATCCTAACATATAAGCCAAGTTTTAAACTAAAAAAAAAAGTTGCCAAACTAAGGGGTCAGCTTATACGCGTATATCTCTGATCGAACTAAAAATTCCTCTTATACACGCATAACTGTGATCGCACTAAAAATTTGGATGAAAAATCATATCACACGAATAAAAGTAAAGTATAACAGTCAATTGATTGCTGTACATCCTAACATATAAGCCAAGTTTTAAACTCGAAAAAAAAAGTTGCCAAACTAAGGGGTCAGCTTATACGCGTATATCTCTGATCGAACTAAAAATTCCTCTTATACACGCATAACTGTGATCGCACTAAAAATTTGGATGAAAAATCATATCACACGAATAAAAGTAAAGTATAACAGTCAATTGATTGCTGTACATCCTAACATATAAGCCAAGTTTCAAACTCAAAAAAAAAAAAGCTGCCAAACTAAAGGGGTCAGCTTATACGCGTATAACTCTGATCGAACTAAAAATTAGTATTATACACGCATAACTCTGATCGCACTAAAAATTCGGCTAATACTCACATAACTCTGATCGCACTCAAACGGAATGACATTATGCAAACTTAGTTCCAACAGCTTCAACTTGTTTAAATTTGTATGGTCGGTTATATGCGACTTATTATACATTTGTCGTTTTAAGGAGTCGGCTTGTGTGCGAGGATATACGAGCGATTATTCACGCCTTTCAAAAAAAGGCCCTCCACAACTGATATCTAACAAGATGTGAGAAGCTCACTCCTTTTGGACAGAACCTTTCTGATTCAGAATCGCCTACTCAATTCATTACACCATATGTGAGGTAGTGGGCATGGGATTCGAACCCAAGATGTGAATAAGGTCCCTCACTCTCGATAATAACCATTAAAATAAATTTTCTACCTTCAATCGATCTCCTTGCACATACTGGGTTGACACATTACTTGTACTGTTTCGTCTTATTCGTTTCAATACTGCAGATTCCATTGCACTTTTATCAGAGTTTTTCTTGTCCACAGACTCTTTCTTTTCCGTTTTAATGGATCTAGAACTATCATCTGGCTCTGAATCTGGACCACCAGGACTTCGAAATCTCTCTTCATCTTTCTTTGAAGTGATAGCTGATAAGTAAAAATAATATATGGACATGTAAATGGAATAAATAATGAGTTGTGTAGTGTTTTCATTGCTAAAAAAATCTTGAGTAAAAAAGACAACAATGTTGTGTTATTGCTTTTATTGCTAAGTACTTGTGAAGATATATTTCTACTAAAATTTGAGCTGTCGGGTTATAGATATGATAAACAGCATGTGTACCCATAACTTCAAATATTATTTTAATTAGTTTAAATAAACATTAGTCAGCAAACTGAAAAAATTTAAATTTCAAAATATCCTAAAATAATTTCAGTATATCTCATCTTACTATTCTAGAAATAAAATTCTCTAATCAAAACAACAAAAACTTACTTTTGGATGTCTTTTTCTTTTCACTTTTACCACTAGACACCGTTGTAACATCAGATGCAGAGGATGATTCAGATGCCCTTCTTCTTTGAGCAGTTCTACGTTGTTGAGTGAGTGCTTTCAAATCAACAATATTTGGGGAATTTCGGCCTCTCGTTTTTCCCTCTGCACTTGAATCCAGGCTTTTATTTTTTTGTGCATCTTTGTCTTTCAGCTTAATTTTCCTTTTTTCCTGAGAAGTTTTATCCATCTCTTTTTTTATTACTTTTTCTGGGGGTTCTTCTTTGATTTTTCCTGTGACTTTTTTCTTTTCTTTTGATGCTGAATTTTGTGACCCTGGCGCTTTGGACGACTTTTTCACAGGCAGAGGTAAATGCTTCCAACTCATGCAGTATTCCTCGTAAGCGCCTAAGTATTTTGCATATGCGGTTCGAACGTTGTATCCAGCGGCAGGGTTAGGCTTGGGTATACCAAGGTCAAGATATATTTGTTTCCAATCCTTTATAGATTTGATAGAAAGAGATCCTTGGCGTTGTTCAACAAGTCTAAAAATATGATTGCGTGTTAGTGGAATGAATTATTTTCGAACGCTTGAAGTGTATTACCGTAAGTAATACATCATTTTACAAAGTTACAAATAGTCTGAGTCGGGGGTGTGCAACCTTTAATACAGGAGGGCCACAGCTTTATACCTCATAAGCTTTCTAGTAGTTGCAGGCACAAAAATTTTGGTTATTGATCCAATGACATACGTTGTTTGCTTTGCACAAGCCAGCTGTTAGGGCATTCTAAGGTCAAATGCATGGATTATAAATTGGACTCCGGTATCTAAGATTGCAATGCAAAGGGATTGGAATTACTCGTACATACCAAATTGAAAATAATTGAAAAATCGTTTTGTTGGCCGCACACCATTCAAAATTGGCATTTCTCCGCAGACAACATAACTTTTTCTTGCGGGCCGTAGATTGCACCCTGGTCTATGTGATGGTCACAAAACAAGGGTTTCAGTATTTAACTTTATTAGAGCATTCAAAATTTTTTGTTCAAAATCAACATTATATTTCCTATATAATACAACTTAATTTCTCAAAAGATTTGACACAAAAATCAATATCTACCAAATAATAATAAAATTTGTAAAGTCAATTAACGAATAATTTATAGCAGGCTAAATCTGGAAAATAGCACTTACCCGTATAATAAATGCAAATCAAGGTCTTTATAACCAAGTACTGGAGTTTTATTGATGGGAGTTCCACGATCATCCATAAATTTATATAGAATTTCTAAGAAATCATGATTCTGAAAAAAGGTTTTTAGTTAAATGTAGATTCTGATTATTAACTGAAATTATAACTAGAAATAAACACAAAATAAAAAGCATATTTTTTACAATGCTATCCTCCTTGATTAACACAAATCTATGAATTATAATATATTTGAATAAATGATTAAATGTTAATTTTTATAACAAAAACGTATAAAATATATCCCACTGGTATTTTAATTGAAATTATGAACGAAAATTTATAAATAAATATAAATTTGAGAAATAGAACATCCAGTTAGTATGACTAGAGGTTGTAGAAAAAATTGTCTCAAGACTCCTGATTATGAAATAATGAATTTTGACTTTGATGAAAAGTTCGACTCGAGGGAATATCCAAATCTCAATAATAAAAAATTTGGGATATAGAAGCCATCTTTAATAGAAAGCTAGAAAAGCTTAGTCAAATTTTGACTGCAATTATAACCATGAAAGATCTGAAATTCTGACTCCCGATTCAGAGAAATTCAAAAATATTCCCCAAAATAATCCGAGTCTATTGGTGAATAATTTTGTTTACCTTCTTTTCCTCCTCTTTATCTTTTTTATCATCTTCATTTTCATCCTCTTTTTCTGATTTTTTCTTGTTTTTATCATTTTTTTCCTCATCGCTACTTTCATCATCCTCACTGTCACTGAGAATATCTTTAATATCAATTCTCCACTCATCAGACACAACTCTTGAATTTTGCCAATTTTGAGCATCAGAAATGACATCTAAAATACAAATAAATAGGAAAAATTGATAATTTTTTCTTATAAAAAAGGCATAGAAAAAAGTTGATAGACTGAGTGAGATTCATAACTTTGTAACATATGAATTCATAAAAAACGTTTGAATATTTTCCTTTCAAAATTGAGCTAGCTTGTGTTTTCAAACTTTTAAACACATGACTCATTGATTTTCTGTGATACAATTCATAACGCATCAAATTATGATATAAAAAAGTTTTAAAACACACAAACATTCAATCAATGTGACATATTGGCTTGTTTTCAAGAACATAAACAATCATGGCAAATCCAATATGGAATGTATAATATCGTCTGTCATACGTCTCTTTCAACATTAAAAAATATATTAATTATAGAAGTTGATTAGCAGAAAAATTAGATATCAGATTACCATGTTTATTAAAAGTTTGGGAAACATTGATTTAACCTATTAATAAAGGTGATATCCTAACACAATTGAAGCACTGCAGAACTCTTTATCCGCCAATTGTATAAGATGACTAAACGAAAGAATATATGACATGAAGTGTGTTCCAGGTAATTGAATAGATTACATGCATGAATTTGTCATAGTGAGTAATTGCTATCACCTGGTCCAATATATAACGATTTTTATTTATATTTGATACGAATAACAAGCATTATAATATTGATAGCACATAAAATCATGATGCCCATTTTGCATATTGGTTTTAGAATGACTGTATTGGGTGTGATGCAATAACCAAAAAAATTGAATGGTTAATCATTGAGTTAACTTAGGCCAGGTAGAATTAATTTAACATAGAAAATTTTCTATTATGGCATACCTTTCCATACACTGTCAAGTTTAGTTGGTATTGTGCTTGAAGTCATTTCTTTAACGCTTGAACGATTTACTCTCAAAAACTTCCCTGTCTTGAATGATCGAACAACGATATGATTGGCTGCTAGATTTCGATGTCTTTCATAACAAAGAGGGTTGACAACTAGCCCTGGGAACCTAATTAAAGTATAAAATATGGAGTATTAGAGAGTATATACCAAACGTTTCTCATTAAAAAATTGCATACACATTTTTTACAATTACGTTAGTATTTCAGATTATTGTTTTCTCTGCCTTCACTGCAGCTTCATACATTTCACTTCCATGATTCAACTTAATTTTTTAGGTGATGGAATTTTTAACTCCCAAGTTTACACAGTATATAAGCATAGACCTGCTCTATATGCAAAAATGCATCAGAAATTGAATAAACTTTCAATAAGGTGGAATCACACATAATACACAATTCCATACTACAGAATAGTTCCTATAACAAATTTGCTTATAAACAAACAAAGGGTAGGTTAATGCATCAACACAACATGATGGGACAAATAAAAATGACATTCCAAATAATCAATCTTTTTTCTTTCCACAGGAAACTGCCCTCAGGCATACGAATGCGCATGTTTATATGAATGTAAACATAGGCCAAATACATCATTGCTTTTTCATTTTCAAGATCTTGTGAAACATGCAACATACAGCGAGTCACAGTTTACAAAAATACAAAATTGTATGTTTTGGACTGTATGTCACCAAATGGTTTCAAATACAGAATGATTCATGATTGCAAATTTAATATAAAACAATATTTTCAGTAACATGAATAATCATTCGAAACTCCTATTTCTGAAATAAAAAGTTCGACTAAGAAGCAAAACAACATGACAACATCTTTCAAGTTCAATCGGCTATAAAAATTGCTTACTTTAGTCAGGGTGACTCAAAAAACAGAACCCATGAATTTAATTATTTCTACTGAAAAAGGGAAAATTTATTTCCCACTTGAACCTCTGATCATGTATGATTGTATCCAAAAATTTCAGTAATCTGGGACAATTTGCACAAAAGTTATGTTCTCTCTTGAATATGTTCCACATGACTGTGGTTCTGAATTTTTGGGTCACTATGCAGATAGTTACAATTATCACAAAGGCAAGCACAATCACCAAGTTATGTGTGAATTATCACACATAATGAAAAGAACATTTTAGCACATGCTATTGTTTTACAAAGATCTTATGAAATACAAAATCAATTACGCATTAATCCATACCAGTGTTTTCTCTTGTCGTTTGGCTCCACAATAACAACTTTGCCCATCAATGGATCTGCCAACCATCGTTTACGTTTTTCATCATCATCCTCCTCTTCCTCTTCACTACTAGATTCTTGCTTATCACTTTCATCTATTGTTTTCTTTTTACCTGTATCTTTCGGTGGTTTTTCTTTTTCAGGAGTCCTTTGATCTTCACTTTCATCATCTGAAAAACATTGAGAGAAATTTTAATGATCAGAAATACAATTTTACATTTCATAACAAATTCTATACTGGAAATAAGCTTGGGGAAAAGAGGTTCATGGGGACTTGGAAATGGATTATTCTCTGACCTTCAGGTCAGTGGTTAGCTATCTCTGCTCTAAAACCCATAGCGTGGCAAATCCAGTGAATTAAATACCACGAGTCGCTAACTGGTCCAGAATAGTACAGTTACATGTCTTATAGGTTAGATTCTGCAGAACCCTACAGAAATTGCCACGAGTGACGTCTCGCTCACCAGGGCGGGGTATTGATAATAGTTTTCAACTAGCAATAATCGCACTCGGATAAACTTTATTGGATACAATACTGCCACTACGCAAAGCCGATGGATAAGTTATTGAAATTTTGAATTCTTCATAGTTTGAATTACAGACTTTTAAAATTGATAATCAGAGGCAACATTTCTGACAGAAACTAAAAGAGTTGACTATGCATACTCAACAGACAATTGAAGACGCTAGCATTTGCTACTAAAGTTTCTGTGTTCAAAATATGGTCTTCTGAAATTATCTATCTTTTACTTTGTATATATATTAGATATTTACCATATTCATCTTCTACTGGTCTCCTCCGTGATCGACTCTTTTTCATTGCAAGAACAGGAGTACCAAAATTTTCTGGATCGGTGAGTGGTAGATTATCGAGAGTTTCACTCTTTGCATAATGACGATCACCTACAATTCAAAAACAATAATATAGAAAACTCCTAGGATAAGTTATGGAGTAATTGTACCCATTTTACTACAGTAAAACAAAAAGTATAATAAATAACATATTTATTTATAAGTCACCTTTCAAGCATAATGATCCACGAGATAATGTCCTTTCATCTCCATCATCAAAAATAACTGTATAGGAACTTTTGTCCTTAGCACTTTGTATTGTACATTCCTGCCAATCAGTTTGTTCAGGAAATAAAGCTTCCACAGCTGAACCAATCTGTCAATGCATTGAGTACGCTAATAAAATTTATTGAAAATTGGTAAATGTTACCAGCAGTACTAGTACGCCCAATTCAAAGAAGGAAATTCTATAACCTGAAAAAATGACACTATTTCACAATTTTTAATGTTAAGTTCAATATAATACAGAATGCGACAGTTTTGCTACACTCTTTGGAGCTGATAAAAAAATTGAGAACATGACTAAAACAAATTTTGGTACTCCCGTAGTATGTGTACCAGAAATAGGGTTAGGCCTATTTCATTTCGATTCTCCTGCTCCTGCTCCTTCGATTTTCCTTCTTTTAGTTCTAATACGAGTTCAGGGACTGTTTGTGTTAGCCAAATGATTACACACCCTGCCCATAGGCTTGCGTCCCTTTACACAACTTGATGTAAAATAGGCAAACAAAAATAGTTAACTCCTTATTGGTACACAAACTTCTGGAGCGCCCAAATTTCAATAATATATTCAATTAATAAGTGAAAAAGATACTTTAATTCGTTTTCTCAATTTATGAGACTTGGGGAAATAATTTTAAAAGATGTATAGAAGGCAACACACATAAATAACTCACCTTCAATAGGCCGTTTATATTTTCTTCTGATAAATGACAACTTTTGCCAGTTTTCTTGCTCAAAACCTACAAATTAAAAAAAAACATAATAATATGGATTAAATTATAATTCCAAAATCTCAGCACTGCTATATGAAAAGGTAAATATTGCATAAAAATAAATTTTTGTAAATGAACCTTTTTGTTACTAAATTCAGAAATTATATGAACTATGAAATAAAAATTACCTTGTAGGAAACATTTTTCTTCACAACTTTGATTTGAGCTTCACAGAATGCCCCTCTGTATTTAGCGCTGACCTCTGTTCCAACAGTTAAATGATACACTCCGGTATCGTCCTTTAAAATCAAAATGGTGATGAAAATGGTTGAGAAAAAAGTTTTGAAGTTAAGAACTTAATTCAGATAATTGAATAAGGAAGGTGAAAATAGAGGTAATATTCATCAGAAAGCTGGAAAGTGTGTTATTGTTACCTAATTCATAGTTGTAAATACTCACCTTGAGATTAGACATCGTTTTCTGAAAATTGTGCAGGATAATGCAGTATGTAGTTTGGCAGATGTTTGGACATCAAAAAATAAGAAAGATTATTAATTGATATCTTTCATTCAACAGACAAAACAAAGAAGCAGATAACTGGATAACAGATTTCACATTTTCTTCATTTCCATTTTTTTTTCTTAATTCTGCAGTTAATGTATTTTAAACTGTCAAAACTTTCTACCTGCTGACCTGTGTAGTCCAGATTCAGGCATTGAAAATAACGAAAATAATTTAAAAATAAAATACTCAAAGATGATATTACTGGATTATAGTACAGTAGTATGAATAACCACTGAGCTTCAGGATTACGGTTGAATAGGCATTTCAGCAATTTCCAGAGTTTTGGGTTTCAATAGCTTCGGGCTGTCGGGACATACGGTACCGGTACCGTAAAACCGGCTAACTTCGGATGCCTTGTAACTTCGGATGAAATTTTCAATCATTCATATCTCAACTAAATTTCGTCGTATTGCGCTTCTGTCGGTTTCTATAGTAAGGCCTTACATATCTGAATCTGCCGTAGCCTCCAATCGCTCGATTTGATTTTTAAACATTCAAAAAATCATATTTTACCAAAAAAATGACACCGTTTTTTCGAGCGGCTCAAATCGTGACTTCTACAGACGCTACCTTCGTCAAATCACCGCCAAGCGCTAGAGAGCGTACACAATGTCTACAAAAAAATACAGTGATCACAAGGTGTCGTACGAGATTCGAGTGAAATCGATTATTTTGATTTAAAAATTACATCAAAATATCGACGTTTTGATGATTACGTACAGCGTGACGTCAACGACGCAAATCCCTTTCTTTCTCTTCGTAGCCGACGTCACTTTGCGTAGCTCGTGCGTTACTCGCTGCGACATTTGAACGCCAGACATCGCGGCGCCCAGTTTTGTGAAATTTAAAAATTATGCTTATCCATGATCCTAGTCACTAAATCCTACAAAAACATCACTATCGTCTCAGTCATATGTTGTTTATTTAAAAATATGGGTATGCATACGCTTAATGCATATGAAATTTGTCGATTTTTGTTTTTGCATACTTCCTCCGACACCGATACGGAGCGTTTCCGACAATTCATCTGTTTATTTTCAACTGTCGAATTTTTGTTCATACCTTACTTGTTCCATATTGCTTTTTGATTTCAATTTTTACTTTTGCCAGTGCTTCATTCGATTCATCCGTTTATTTTTATTTGTCTAATTTTTGTTCATTCTTTACTTGTTCCATATTGCATTTCAATTTCAACCTACACCGGTGTTAGGTACTTTCAATTCTTCCGTTTTTTTTTTTTTTTGTTAATCCTTTTCTTGCATTGAAAATAAACGATCATAAAAGAACGAACTAGCATTTTGCAATAAATTAGGAGTAGTTAGTGAAATATATACGAGTTATAACAAAGGACACAAGAATAAATAGTTAAGTTTCGCGAAGCGGCAAGAGTAACGTCACGTACAAACGTCAGTATGCAACACGCAAGACGGGTCGTGGCGGCGTAAGGTCTATTCAGCGACGTTGTCACGCGTCATTGCTTACGCAGACATTTCTCTCTCACGACGAGTTGACGCAAAGAGAAAAGTGGCCATCCGAAGTTAGATAATTTTAGAATAGACGAATAAAGACAATAATTTCAATGAAAAAAGGCTTTGATGGATATGGAACCGACTTTATCAAGACGAGAATAGCCACAATGTATTATATTCCAAATTTGGCTTCAGTTGAACAACATGCGGCGGAGATATTGTTCAAAATATAGTGAAATCATCCGAAGTTAGCCGGTTTTACGGTACCTTACAGCTGTACAGACTTGCCTGTTGTATATTCAGATATACCGGTACGGTACCCTACCAGTATCAAACAACAGAACAAGGCTACTAAATACTGAAATACTAATAAAGCCTAGATGTTAAAACAGTTAAGTACTCCTGTATTCTGATCTTGGACTGCATGAGAAAATAACAGAACCTGACTCTGAGAACTGGAGAACAGGAGAATGGAGCTGAAAAGTCTGAAAGCTGGAATGTCTTACCGTGCTTCAACTACTGAACTCCGAAACTAGCGAACGTTCAGGCAGTCTTTAAAATAAGCTGATTTTGAAACCAAAACAAAATTGCTCTTGCAATCTCGTGCCTGCTGAACGTAAAAACAAACTAGATAACAACAAAACGGGGCCAAACGAAGTCGACAATTCTGTCCCCGAACCTTTCCAGATAAGAATGCTCTGATTGGTCACTGGTTTTATGACGTTTTCACAGCTGCGAGAAAGAAATTGAAAAACCAAACACCGTGACGCATTGAAGTGTTTACCGCTTGTGTGCAGAGAGAATCAAATTTATCCAAACACTGAACATATGATGGAATTTATGTAATTTTTGAAACAAAGTTAACTGTTGAATAAAGTTGGAACGCTGAAAATGCTCAAAATAACAACATAATTTAACTTCTTGCTCGCTTCTAATCTCGCCCAATATTTTATCCCGGTTTCAGATTCAGTTATGATTCAGATTCAGTTTTATTAGTTTCTGTTGATAGAAATTTATAATTTGAACCCGGCTTCGATGTCACTGCCACTGTATTTAGGATAGGATACAACTTTTTTTTATTCAACAACACACAACACCTGTCACAAAAAAGATATGTTTTCGTCGAAACAACGTTGCTTAATTAAATGTTAGTTTTGTTAAGAACAAAATAAATTTGAATCTGATGGTAATTAATATTAAAGTAAAAAAGCAATACGTATTCAGTGTATTTTTGTTAATTTGGTTGATTTGAATTTCACGACGAGGAACGAGTAGAATTGAATGTCTGTACGTGGAGAGAATAGAGAAGGCGGTCGTATATAAGAAAGAACTTTTCTGTGGATCCAACAACAAAACAAAAAAATAAACGCTCGAAAAGACAAATCCGGCAAATTGAAGACAACGTTGCGTCATTGTTAGTTTAGTTGAAAAATGAACAAAACGAGACCAACGCTTAAATATATTCAAATGAATGTCAAAATGCAGTAGGCCTAGTGTTAAATCTATTACGGTAGTCTTCTTTCCGCAACCACGAAATCGCTGAAATGCGATCGACAAACCGCCACACGCTGCGCACAAAATTTTTTTGAAATAAATAGGAGAGCCTTCTAGCGACAACAACAATCTCGAACCACTGAAAATTTCAAAGCAATGGACCTTTCCCCGAACGTTAACCCCAGAAAAATTCTTTCTATACTTCACCATTGCAAACTTTTCGGGGCTATTTTAAGAGTGCTTTTGCGAGTTGGCGTCTGTAAAATGGGGTATGTATTTCTAACCATCATTCTGCTTCATCACATACAACAATCTGTTTTTTATTAAAAGTACCGGTAAAGAATTTTAGCCTAGTCTATCATAGCTATTTCTACACTAATTTTTTATTACTGCAATTAAATTAAAACTCCTAGGAAGACAGAGTTATCATTGAATTATCTGATTTATATTTAAGTTTCTGAAACACAACTGAAAACTAACGAGTTGAAAAACGCGAAATCGAGGTAATGTTTACGACCACGCTTAAAAATCTGTCTGAGTGAGAAAATTGTCCGAGCGGATGCGAAAGGGAGCATTGTTACGTCACTTTTTGCATCTACTGATTGGCCAATGTCACGAAGTAAACAAGGAAGTCGATGCTCGAGAAAGGTCCATTGGTCGAGGTTGAGAGAAAAGCGATTTCTTTACAAGAAACAACACCAAGACAAAGAAAATATTAACAACAGCAATTTAATAAAACAATCAGTAAGTCCAAATCAAATTAAGGAACCGTTTAAGATATCTCTGTAGAAGAGTCAAGCTTAGAAGCAGGCAGTCAATGGAGGTAGAAAAAGGTCATACGATAGCCAAGATGCCATCGTGAGCAGTCTAGAAAAAGTAATCAGCGAGTAAGAAAAAACTGACGTATAAAGGCAAAGTGAATTAAGTAGCCTGAATCTTATACATCAATCATACATCGGCCTGAGAAAAATTCCTAGAATACCCAACTTATTCAGTCACGTAGGTCTCAGTCATTACCTTGAGAACTACAGATAAATAAAAAAGTGTAGAATTTTGAAGGTATATACAAAGTTAAAAACATCGCAAAGTCAACACTATTAAAAACTTGAGCCCAAGAGAGCAAGGGCAACACTAAAATGCGGGAAACGGGAACTACGGATAATGCACTAAAAAGCGGGAACAACGGGAAATTGCCAATACTAAGGGAAATTTCACAAAAAAGTGGGGAAGACGGGAAATCGCTTTAAGGTGCGGGAAATATGCATTTTAGAGAATGTTTAGTATAAATTGCAATAGAAAGCGAAAGCAACGGATAATATACGCCCGGGGGTGTATGTACGTAAAAATTTCACTAAAAAGCGGGAATGGCAGCAAATCGCTTTAAAGTACAGGAAATATTCATTTCAAAGTATGTTTAGAATAAATTGCACTAGAAAACGAACGCAACGGAAAATATTCGATTGTGTTCCTCCTCGTTGCAGAGCCGCAAAAAAAAAGTTTTGATTTAAATGTCTCATAGATATTGGGTAGGCACGCGTTCTGAAGAATAAATATTTGACCCGTCCCTTCATTCTGCTAAATTGGTAATAAAAGGTAATGGCTTATGTAAAAATGAAGTACGATCATAGTCATCTCGGCTACTTTTCACGTTTGTAGGAAAAATGTTGAGCAACTGCCGCAATGCGTTTTTTGCACTGACCATGTCCAATGGTTCTATGTAGCCCCGTCAAACGAGGCAACATATTTCAAATATCTATTTGCTTATCAGTTTACTTAAAAAAATTGCAAAATAAAAGCAAAATAAGATTCGACAACATGGGCAATTTCAAATGAGTTCAAAGGTGATATTGAATGCGTCATTTGTAGATGTCCTGCGAATAGCAAGGACCAAAATTTCCATAACATCGAGACATAAATAAAACATTGTCTCGTGGAGTGTGATGATATTCCGCCGAGAAAGTCTGCGGTGTCAAAGTTGAACGGGTCTCCTTGTCCAATAGAAATGCGCTTTTTCAAAAATAGATTCAGATTTCCGGTCTATCATCATATAGGAAAACAACAACAACAGCAAAATTGACGTAGACGGTGTAATGTAATGTAAACTCTGATACGTTTTTTGACACTTAGTGGACATAACGATCGTTTCAAAAATATGTTGTTGTTTTTATTCTTATTATTGGACACGTTTTAGTGGCCATAACGATCGTTTCAAAATTTTGTTGTTGTTGTTCTTGTTCTTTGACACATTTTTAAAAAGTCGCTTTTCTCATCGAATACTTGACCAATTGCTTTGAAATTTTCAGTGGTTAAAGATTAATTTTTCCACTAGACGGCTATTACTTTTATTTATTTCAAAATTTTGCGTGAATTCTATGAAATTTGATATTTCGTCTAAAATTTTGCTGTATTATTTTTTATCCATGGGAACACGGATTTTAGTCAGTGTCATGACTGGCTGTACGTTTTGATTCTGCAAAATTCTGGCTACTGGAAATTCAGAACTTTTTTGAGGGTACCGGTAGCGTCAAAGGTACCGGTAAGGACTGATTCGCTCTGGTCTAACGTGTCCATATATTTGTGCGTAGCTCTCTTGTTCTTCGTCATCATCATTATAAAATCGCTTTTCTCTTCGAAATACTGTTCCAATTGCTTTGAAATTCTCAGTGGTTAAAGTTTGATTTTTTTCTTCAGAAGGCTATTACTATTATTTATTCCTAAATTTTCTATGAATCCCATGAAATCTGATATTTCATTCTAAATTTCGCTGTTCTAAATTTTCACTCGAAGGAACACTCTTGTAACTTATTTCTAGCGGTTGCATGATCAAGCCTGCAGATACGGATACGGTACTGCGGTAGATTAACGTACCGCAGTGAAATTGACTTATTCCTTTCGCGATCTTACTATTGCAGTATTGTAGGTTTTCTAGCAAATTTAGCCTACCGTATTTGTTGATATTGATAAGAGCAAATTGAATCGAGTTTTTATATGCAAGAGAAGAACCTTTCCACGATCGAATAGCAGGCCTACATACAGCAACAGGTACTGCAGTACTGGTAAGGTACCGTACGGTACCGCAGTGGTACGCTCTCATCTTTTCGTTACAGTTCTGATGTAAACAACATAAATTTTGTAGCCTACCTTAATTTTTTATTTGATAAGAGGAAATGAATTGAGTTCTTATATGACAAGGAAGAACCGTTCTGTGAAAGAATTTCAGGTACTGGTAAGTTACCGTACCGCATATTATTATCGGAGAATCGATATTTTATTTTTATTTTTACCCTGGTACCGTAATGGAGAAGTGACTTGGATCACTCGGTATTTCAATTCACGTTGAAATTGGAAGTGGCACAAATCAGGCTTTTAGTGGCCCGGAGTAGGCTACCTGTCAATCAAGTCATCGATCTAGTCACACTGACTAGAGTGATTTTAGCGTTTAGAGGCCGTTAATCTCTGTTCTTGGAGCGGGAAAGCGTTTGCTCGGGTATTGGAAATTTTTTCAAGTGGCATTGGGGGTGGGGGCAGTGCCTCCGCTCCTTCAGTGGTGAGAAAACGTGTGGAAAGCCACGCCTCTTGTTACTTAATCCTAAAAAGTCGCTTTTCTCTTTAATTACTAGACCAATTGCTCTGAAATTTTCAGTGCTTGAAGATAAAAATTTTATTTAGAAGGCTATTACTTTCATTTGTTTCAAACGTGTCCATATATTTAGGCATAGCTCTCTTGTTTGTAATTTTGAGCGTTGAATTGTTCTATTCGATGAATAACACTGATTTTTACACGGATCGTCACTGTCTTGAATGTTCTCACGGGATTTCATCTTCTACACCAATTGCAAAGCCTTTATTATAGAAAGTCTTACCAATTATTATTGACAGGAAAATTATTCTTTTTAAGTAAGTCCATATGAAGTCCGTATCGCTCTCTCCTGTCCATACAAAAATAATTTTATTAATGTTACTTTTTACCAATCGATCTTTAGATCGGTAAGTATGTTGATAGGTATTTTTCTGTCTGTTTGACTGTATGTTTGTCTGTTAGATGCACGCGATATCTCACGCAGGCGTGGTTGAATCTGCTCCAAATTTGCATGTGCATTCATCATATCTCGCACCAGAAGCCTATTGATTTTGGATGAACTATGTCGTATAATTAGCGAGTTATTAATCAATTAGTGATGAAACACGCGGTGTCACTCTAGAGTCATGAATCGAAACCGCAGTTTCGATCGATAAGTCTTTAGTCTCTGACCGATATTCTCGTTTATTGTATTGAAGACTGTAATTTTGGTTTGCAAAATAACAAATCTCTCTTTTGCTCTCTCTTAACAACCGCCCTACAGGGGTGGTAGCACTAAAGTCATATTGGGGTGTTAAAATAGGGCTGACGAAATGCGGTCGTTGAGTGTCAAATTGGGGGTGACGAAATAGGGTCGTCGAGTCAAGTTAGGGGTGACGAAATACGGTCGTTCCGTGATGTCAGGTTAGGGGTGACAAAATATGGTCGCTGCGAAGAAACCTTGATGCTTTGATTTCCGCATGTCAGAATAGTAGCATCACGTTTTGAACTGGACGTATATAATACCAAACATAGCGTATATTCCGGTAATTTTATGAAAAATAGATATATGTATCATAGTCCAACGTGATTTTGTATTTAAACTTAATTGACCACAATTATCTTTTCATTTTTTAATACAGCGAAATTGAACGTCTAATACAATTAAAGCAAGTATAGGGTTGACGAAATGCGGTCGTTGTGTGTCAAAATGGGAGTGACGAAACAGGGTCGTCGATTTTTCGAAAACTTTCAATAAAATCAGCATTACGATATATGTACAAAAAAAGAAAATAAAAAAACATATAGATTCGATTTCACCATGTCAGAATTGTAGCAGCACGGCAAACCGCCGAGTGGCCCGCGCGATATTATTCGGATCCCAATGTTTTTCATAAATCTGAGCCATTATTGAAACTTCTAATAAAAAGTTATTCCTCGTCGTTTAAACTCGCGAGAAGCACCACCCAGCTATCGAAAGCTTTTCTCATGTCCCTTTGTGGGCGTAACTGCTGGAGAGAGATGTTTGAATTTATTTTAATCGTCTGCCATTATTTCAATCTGATTTTCTGTCTTTTTTCTGCGAAGCTAGAAGAGGCAGTTTCCATGACCTCAATATTTAACAGCACTTACTTGTGCGAGCGAGTTTTTTCACAGATGAACCACGTCAAATCCCCTGAGATCACTAATTTCGCTGATGAAAAATTCGCTCTGTATTGCTACCTCGTCCATCGCATCGAATATTGACAAACTTATTGGATAAAAGCGCTGTCATACTTGACATTGAAATATATATATGCGTAGTAAAAACTTTTGACTTTACTGTATCTTCGTATTTTCACTGTGCTTATAATTTTGGTTTGCGGGTTTTGTTTGTTTTTCATTAATCTGCAGTCGGCGTAGTAAAAACTAGAACATAACCACCATGTCAAGTGGCCCGCGCGATCTTTCGTGAACTAAATGTGGCCCTTCGGCCAAAAAGGTTGGACCACCCTGCACTAAAGAATGTGTTTCACTTACTTTAACATCTTCTGAATAGCGTTTCATCTCTTGAAGACATTCTCATAGAATTCGGTTCCTAACTAAAAGAATGAAAAACCAGTGTAAATAACATTCTAACATGGATATTCTTCCTCATATTTTACATGATGCTTATAGACCTTATTCATACGAAAACATTTAAGCTCAATTTTGATATGATTGCTTTTTTATACCTACTTTGTTGCTCCGAACTTTAACACTCGAACAACTTGACTATTGCAGTGACGTTTTATTGGTAGACGTTACTTTGAGTCATTCACCATTTACATGTTTTAAGTAACCAATGCCATACACTCACATGAAAACGTTCTCTTATTATTTTAGTCATCAATCAAAAATGTCAAATTCGTTAATATCATAATTGATCAAGCAAGTAATTTGTCTTAATTCATATCTAGGTATCTTTAATTAATGCTTATATCATCCCAACCGCTTGCCAACTAAATTATTCTTCCATTAAAAGTTATTGATGGTTTCGGACTAACCTACAATATCACATCCTAGCTGTCTTATCACATCTAAAGCCGCTGTCTTTCACGTTATAAATATTGAGTGGTATTGGTAATTCAATTTTTGGGGAGCACGCATTTGGAGCTTTTCAGTTTGTGAAAATCAGGGGGTGGCAACATTTACCTAATTGTGGGCCAAAAATCGAATCTACAACGCGGACAGAAATGATTTTCCTCAGAGAAACCCTTTCCATTTGGCATTGGTAGAATGTTGCTATTATATTTTAGCATACGAACCAACTAACTAGATGTGTGTGGCTTATCTAGGGTGTGGCAAGCATGACTCGTGCCATAGTCACTGTTTGGGCAGGGGCGCAAAAAGAGCGGAAAGTTTTAATCGTAAAATGTTTTAATTGAATAATTTCGAATTGGAAATAACGGAAATTGTCAACAAACTACCAAGGGAGACGCGGCGAGTGGAAGATAAAAGAGAGAATACGATATACAATGAGCAACCGGGGCAAAATCGGCGTCGCCTCGTCGACGTTCGGCGAAGGCTTTGCGAGCGAAAAATGAACCATGTCGGGAGAATATTGCTAGTGTAGACAGTCTGTGCAACCGATATTGAGGTATTTTTCGAATATTTTTTATTATACCGAAAAAACAACCCTATTGACGCGCCGCCACTGCTGGTAACTGATCTCGATGTCCACATGATCGTATTGATACCAGTTGCTATAGTATACATTCTATAACGAGAATTTGTTGCTTACATTTATATTTTGTCGTGTTATTGTTTTCTGTTTGACAAAACAAATAAACTCTCTACTTAAAATATGAGAAATCTGTTACTATTTCGAGATGTTCAAGACTTGAAGGGCAAAACGTAATAATATATCAAACACACCTTCACTTTAAAAAATTTATTCAAATTAATAATAGAAAAAATTTGAAGGAAATTTTAATAATTATTTACAATGTTTAGTTAAATTTAATTAGCTGATTTTGATTTAATTCAAATTTGGCATACGACTCGATCCCTCTGCATAGAGAGATTTCGTTAATATTAGTCTCTCTATGCAGAGTGATCCAAGTCGTACGTCAAATTTAAATTAAATCACAATCACTTTGCACGATGACATAAACATGTTTTTTCATGTCATTTTATGCATAATTAAGTAACATAAAGTATTAGAAATAGGAAAAAAAATGTTTGACACTATTTGAGGACATGGAAATTTTCTTAAAACAAATTCAACTAACTGTAAATATTCTGTTCTTCGTTTTTCATATCTTGTTTTAAAGCTCCCGGCTAACACAAACGTATTTCAAGCAACATTGTACAACAAGATAATAAATATGCAGACGTATTTCATAACGCTGGCATCCGAATTGTGCCTCCGTTTTTGATTTTTTTAACTTCATTGAATGTTACATCTAGGGCGCGAAATTCCAAGAGAAGATTGTTCCTTTGAGCGTTGACTGTTATTACAATGCGGCGTGCTCTTTTCCGAAATTTTGGTCCGTGATCGGTTCCTCATTCATGCAATAAAACATTAGATGCATGCACCATTTCATGAATCATAACTTCCTTTTCAAGGTTTGTCATCGACGATTTCATAAAGAATTTCTATTTAATTCTATATTTCCTGGCGCCACTACCGGTATATCCTCATATCTTTATTTAGGTTGATAGTAATTAACAGAGGCTCAATTGCCACAATAAACATATAAATACTCGGCGAATTTCATTTTCAAATTTTAGTGATTCTTGATTTCATCCAGCTCGCTGTCACTGATTGCGTACCGGCACTCTACTGCCAGATTTACGGTAACTTGACATGCAGTGATATTTTGCCATCTACATTCTGACACGCCTCGACCGTATTTCGTCACCCCCAATCTGATACCACCACCGACCCTAATTCGTCACCTCTAACCTGACACCACGCAACGACCGTATTTCGTCACCCCCAATCTGACACGCACCGACCGTACCCCCCCCAACTTGACTCGACGACCCTATTTCGATACCCCCAATTTGACACGCAACGACCGCATTCCGCCAGCCCGTTTTCGAAACTCCTAATATGAATTCTATGCTACCAACATAATGATTACGAATTCCTTGATTTTAATTTTATCGTACTAAACTTTATTGATTAAGTCATATTTAATTTTTAATTAATTTTGAATTAATATGCAAAGATGATGTGCAATTTTTCAAATTTCGGCAGTGAACGCGACGGGACGGACACGTTTCCCTTGTCAGTTCGCTGCGAGAAATTATGTAAAAGGCGGCGGACAACCGTCGGGACTATGGTGTTCAGTTTTTCTGTATGACACAAGCTCTTTTTACTTTCAGTGCGCATATTACCTCAGAGTTAGGCTATATCGTAACGCTATAAGCAATTTTGTGGCAGATGCTAACAATCTATTTGAATAGATTACTGGATAAACGTCATATTACAGTATTACTGTATTATCAAAATCATATGTGAATTCCTGAATCTATCAATGGAGCAAGCGATCGCCAAGCGTTTACCAGAAATTCGAAGTGGGAAGACAAGGACGATCTTCTTGATGTTGTTTATTGGAGCCGGCAGATCATCGCAGTGATTGTGGGCGTAATTTGGGGACTTTTCTACATCAAGGGAATATTTGCTATTCTAATGTATTGTGCAATAACTGCTACTGTCATCAATTTTTATGTAGTGAATTTTCAGGGACAAGATTTGGACGATTATGGTGGATTTATGGAGCTAGCAAAAGAGGGATTTATGTCTGCTTTTGCAAGTTTTCTTGTTGTTTGGATTATAATATATTCATCTCTTTATAACTGAGATTGTACTGTTGGTCAACATCCCACTGAAATGAATTCAGGAATTAGTAAAAATCATGTCCAGTCTGGGTGATAGTGAAAATGTTTATGCCACTTTCATTTGGTGTCAGAATGAAAGACATCATTTGATTGGCGAATGGGTATATGGACAGATGATTATAGATATAAGTTTACTCACTTTTATAAATTACTCACTTTTCAAAGATATAAAATAGTCCTATTCTACTAATTCTCAGAATTTAATTGATATGTCTAGCAGTTCATACATAGTTGAGTTGTAATATTGCGTTTACACACAATTTTCACTTCAAGTCGAATGCAATTATTTTTTGAAATCAAGTATGTGTTTTGATGCCTATGGTACCAACAATTATACATGCCTAGTGGGATTCTAATTCAAAAATTTATGAAAAGTGACGGATAGAATAAGTATATTTTAATCAAGATGTACAAATTCTTCCCGTCTTGCTTCAGCACTTTTATCTAGGATATTGCTGGAGCATATCTACTTCTACCATGAATGTTTATATCATATACTATATGCCTATTTATTTTAGTTTGGTTCATGTTGTTATTTTGCGTTTTTATTTATTCCGTAGAAAATTCATTGAAAATATGATACAAATGTCACCAAGCAGTACTAAAACAAGGGGAAACTAAAGAGGATAAATGATCACCATTGTACCAATTTTTCATGTTGTTTTGTTCTAAATAATAAAACTCTTATGAATCCATTTCTTTAGATACAGCCATAATATGCATTTACGAAAATGGGTTATAAAATCAAAAAATTTATGCTGTGTTTGACATTAGCAATAGTTGTAGGATGTTGCCTGCAACAAACATTTGGTTATGGTGTTCATGAGCAACTTTGGCTACATGTTATATATCCTGAAGAACTATCTTATTATTTCAAAATACTACCTGCAAAAGACTTTGGTGGTGTACTTGATAGGCCATTGAAGGGAATTCCGATGATAGTAGCAGATCCATGGGAAGCATGTACTAACACCATAAATAATGGTAATATTATCCGAGGTCGTGTGGTGCTGGTGCGACGTGGAGAATGCTCGTTCGTAACAAAATCTTTGAATATGCAAAAACATGGGGCAAAGGCAATAGTGATAACGAACTACAATGAAAGGGACATCGACACATGGATTGACATGTCGGATGATGCAACTGGTCGGGTTCAGGATGTTACAATTCCGACTTTTTATCTCTTGGGAATGGATGGTCATAAGATGAAGCAAGTTTTGTCCGATCCTTACAGGAGTTTTGCTTTAGTAAATATCCCTGCTAATGTGACAAATCCATCCGGTATCTTGCAACCAAAATGGGACATTTGGTGAATCCATTAAATAATATAATTTTGCTGTTATATCATTTATTTCTCAAGGAAATGGATTTTGATCACTGTGTAGGATAAATCATTTACATATATTACTTCGTTCATATAAATCATTACTCTTTCCGAATTGTTTACAAATGTTGCCTAAATTAACATCCAAAGTGTTACTGTAATAATACATGTGCCAATTGTGCTATTTGATCAGCTGCTAGTTTTATGTTTTCCATTAAACCTAATTTCCTTAAATATGATTCTGTGGAATATCAATATGATGGCTTGAGAGTGGAATCTGTGCTTTTTATTAAAGCTCGGCGGTGTGGCTAAGTGTTAGGAATACGCTCGCCACCGCATCTTTGATTACCCTTCGTGGGTTCGCATCCCATGCGAGAGGATTGCTGGACTCCATAGGGTGGTTCACGTAACCGCTGGTCGGTTACGGCTACTGAAAACAAAATAACTGGCTAACTAATCCCATACCCGACCTGGACTGGTAACCAGACGAGAGGCAGTGGTTCGCCATATGATTAAGCCCTCTTATCGAGGTTCTTCTCTGGATAAATTTGTAAATCCTATCCCTAGTCATTCATGTCTTACAATTCAATGGAGCCCAAAACAAAAAGTTATCTGTATTTCAGGTGTTGCAAGTTTGAATACCTCCAAAACAAACCTTTAGCCTTGGTAACCATTTCAAAGGAGTCCAGCAATCCTCTTGCACATAATTATCCTCCACAGGCTTCAAACCCATGCACAGGTAATCAGAGGTGCGGTGACATGCCTATTACTGCAAGTAACCCAATCAATCCTGGATGGCTGACTGCATATTCAAAATAGTTTCTTACTAACACCAAATATGTCCACATAATTGGCTGGGATGGGAAACTCGGAAGTAGTAAGGTTACTAAATTCTGTTGAGACTTTAAATATTCAAGACCGGAAGTAGTAAGGTTACTAAATTCTGTTGAGACTTTAAATATTCAAGACCAGCCGCCATCACAAATTCGCAATCCCAGTTGTAGGTAGTACTTTTTCATTCAACCAAATTATTTTCTTTGCCCAGTTAGGCACTGATAAGAAATATGAAGGAAGCAAATTCTGAGAACAGAACAGACTAATATTCACATATGCAAGATTGATCAAAACCAAACTATATAATATTCATGACACATTTAGAGATGTATGGCACATCTATGCTGTACAACAGGCCAATGTAAAAATAAACTTTTAATAACAAACTGAATTTCAAAATATGAGTCCTGAGATGAAAATAATTTGGTTTATTTTCTATGGCAATTTTTTGGAATATCCGAAATTTTTAATATTATGTCAGGAATATATTATATAAAATGTATGTGCTTGATACATACTCATTGTATTAGCGTTATTGATATAATGTTATATATGGCATAATGTGGTGCTAATGAATTTAGACTTTCACCTTCCCATCATGTGTGTGTCGGGGACACTCCTACATATATACTCTTCATGAAAAACCAAAGTCAAGGAAGGAAGGAATCAACATAAAATCTAGTTGCGCAAGCTTTCCACTCCCACCCAATTTTACCATTTCTGAATCCAATAATTTAGATTTTCCGAAATTACAAAAAGAATCCGAATTTATAAAATAGAGATATTAGAGCGAATAAAACTTATTTGGTAATCATATATATAGTAGTGACTACCTTATTATTTTCTATTACCTAAGCTGTCATTGGTGAGGCAGAATCTTTTGAATATAATTAGGGTTTCCCCAGAGCAAGAAAGTATTTTGCAGTGCAGGATCCTATTGAGAAATCAAATGGAATGAGTACCAAAACAATGTTAAACAATAGTCAGCCTTACACAGATCACATATCAAATTGCTAGCCTACAATAGAATGAGATTGGGACATATACTACGGGGCTATTTTGAAAATGATTGGTTAGGGTAGACTTCTCAGTGCAGGAGTGATTCAACAAATCAATAACACATTACTAGCTACTAAACTATGGCAGTACAGCACACTATACAGATCGGGTGACATTGTCCCGTTTCAGAGGAACCCATTTCACAGATGATCAGACACCCCTCCTTTGGGAGACATCTGGACACTGTTGTCCCTCAATATTGGTAATAATACAGTAAAAACGCGCAAAATACTACAGAAAAGCGCAATCTATAACGTCATCATTGAATTCCTTGGGAAAAAATAATCCGATTTATCGAAGGAAAATTGCAAAAAACGGCAATTTTGGTCACGTGACAGCCGCGAATAATTTAGATTATCATTGAGACAGGCATGTCGCAATATGAAGCATCTGACGTGGTCCCAGACGCCCCTCGTTTGTGAGACACATAGGGTGTTTGTTTTATTGAGCAAAATGGAGGGAAATTCTTGGAATTTAGATAGTGTGCTGTACTGTATGGGGACTCATTAGCCTGTAAAAGAATACACCAAGTTCACATCTACTGTCCGACTGTTCAAAAGACTAACAACTGTTATTACTATATTAACTGTTCCTCTAAGACACTTTCAGTCAAAATATACAACTCAAACTGAAATACCGTATGTATATACAGTATGCAGATAATTCAAGCAAACCAGTCAATCATGTTTTTTTTAGGTTTTTTATTTTAAAACTGTAGTAAAGCAGCTAATTCATACCCTAACATCCCCTTCATGCTTTGACTGCATATTTTCGTTGTGGGTAGATGCGCAACTTCCGCAGTTCTTTGGCTGTTTTCAAGCTTTCTTCATGCTTGTTGAGTCGCCTTCGGAGTGCACGAGTCTTTTTGGGTCTCAAATCCTTAGGTTTGTACTTCTTCCCTTTAAAGAGTTTACGCAAATTATCTTTTTGGGTTTGATTGATGACCGTCAATACTCGAGCAATGCTCTTGCGTACCAGCCTAATTTTTGATAATTTTGAGGCCTGTCCGCCAGTAACTTTTGCGACCCGCAATGTTGAAAGTTCCTGTCTGAACTCTTCTAATTGTTTCAGTAAATCCTCCTTGGACTTCCCTCGAAGCTCTCTAGCCTTTATCTTGGCCATGTTAGTAAATCTTTACGCTTCTAGGCGGATAACCGACAAAAAAGCAACCAAAGAAACAGCGGCGTGGACCGAAAAGAAAAATCCAAGTATGTTTACTGCGACATCGGCCGGAACAATTTTTGTCAAATTATTTCTGCAAGATGGCAGCAAAGCGTATGAAAGAAGTATACATCATTATAGACCAGCTTAATACTTGTCTTAGGATGAGATAGGGTTTACATAATTATCCCGGGGGAGAAGGAAGTTGATAAGACGGCATAACCATATGAAAAACCACGGTCTCTCGTCCAGTTACCATTCCATGTCGGGTATGGGATTATTTCTCTACAGAAATGGCGCGGGGCGAAATTGGCGCATCGTGCCAACACAAAAAACAAACACTCTGGGAGAAAATTCAAAATAGTCGTCAAAACCTCAAGTGGGATTTGAACGCGCATAAAAAAACTAGTATATGGGAAGCACCTTGTGATATAGAACATCAACCCAGAATTCCATCTATTGAATTTTTCACCTATTCGTCTGTTTCATTTTTTTTTTCAAATTGCTACTTGCGAACTACATATTGAATACCCAACAGAAAATCATAGCAATGAATATTCTCTCGGTATGTTATTTACAGTGAAAACAGTAAGCAACAAAGCAGTAATAGTTTGGTGGACTCGGTATCCTTCGTAATATATACAGATTGAAAAAAACATTACCCATTTATTCACGTTGCCGTCGAACAACTCAGACTAGCTCTCTACTGCCAGTTAAGACTAACACAATTATGTCTGAATTGACTCATGTGGGGTTCGTTTGAAACCACTGAAAAATATTTAAATATAAAAATCTATTTGAATAATTTAGATAACTTCATCGATAAATGTGATCTATTTACTATTAAGAATTCACTTTCGAGAAGTTTTTTTTATATTTACAACATTGCACGTTACATATCGTTAATTTATGGCGGCGCACCGTTCGTCTCTCTGTGGCGAGACAAATTCACGAAAATGTATATCATCATCTCAGCTAATAATATTATTTCAGTCAGCTGTTCTTTATCCAAAATTCTGTTCAACTTATTCAACATTGTAAACAGGTATATCTGACTTTCGATGGAGTCTTATATTTTCTGAAAACTCCACCTTGGTAAAAACAAAAAACCATAATCATTCGAAAACGAAACTCGGTGACGCAATTAGAGATATCCCAACGCACTATTTTAGTAAACATAATAACTCCCTCAAAAATGGTTGTTTTTTATCTACAAGTCTAAAACAGGACAGAGGGGTTTCCTAAATGACGTAAGGAAATGTAAAGGTGAGAAAAAAAATAATGTTGACATTCCAAATAAATGCTGACTGGCACGGCACGTAGGTGTCGATAACAGCAAAATACTACTAAATTATGAAAAGTCATTCCGCGTGGTGGTATATATGTATGTATGTTTATTCGTCTCGTAATAGTGATAAAAAAATAAATGAACGATTATTATTATTATTTAAGACGGGATGCATGCACAATACCGTACTGGCCTAAAACACAAATGATCATTGAATTATACATACGAAAAGTATATGCCATGCAACGAAAGTTGATTGATGGCCAAATCATGTATTGTCAGTAGTAGACGGCAGTTTCTTAGTACGAAACTAGGTGATCAGCGATGCATCGCAAGTTATAGCCCTACTTGCGACGGCGGTTTCGATAACCCCAATGCGCGACACAAACAGGAAATGGGGCAAGTTTTTCGTCTATGCATGCTCGACTGCATTTTTGACACGAGAGTGTTATAAAACACCTAGACTCCAAATAGCTGGGCTATACCTTTTGCAAAAGATTTCGGCGGTTGGTTCATCACACCGAAATTAAGTATGTTTCGTGAGATCGGGTTTTTGATAGTATATTTTATATACGGATGCCAAGGTAAGTTATAATTTATCCTCCATTCCTATGATTTTGTATGTTTCCATGTTAATAAAATGTTATGTTTAATTATATATATATTTTGAAAGCACGAATCTTACTGAGAATATAATAGCATATGATACGCTTTTAGTGCTGTTCAATATCGCATAGGCCTACCTACGCTTATCGATTTTTTTTTCTGAATTGTGATAAGTATTCAATTTTTTTTGTCATATATATATATATAAAATATGTATTTATTTAAAGAAACTAAGTGTACCTGACTACTACTTTATTATGTGATTGAATAATTTTTTTTATACTGTATTTTTTGTTTTATTAGCACGCTGTTTTGACAAATATAATGAGGTTTATTATGAAACGGGAGCCAAATTTAGGCGAGATAAACCAATGGGAGACACAACGTTATTGGGAACGTACGATTGTACCTGTAAAGCAGGAGGATACCTTCATTGTTATGGTACGTATATATGGTACGGAGTCGAATGTCATAGCAATTTTGGAAAATAAGGCTTAATTTATCATAATATGACAACATACAAATTAGTAAATCAGTTCACTTATTTCAGTGGCATTTTCATCGGGACAAAACCGAAGTTAATAAAAAAGGGGGGGGGGGGGGGGGGGGGATTCTAATATACTGGATAGCATTTTTCGCCCACGCGTAACAACATCATACTATGACTTGTTTGGTGTGATTATTATTGATCGCGACGTAAGTTTTCTTTCTTGCTACTACTACATTTTTCTGCATATTTCAGCATTCAATATACCCTGCTGGGACGTGGTGGAAAATACGTTTATTCCTAAGGGTGAAAAATTTGTCGCCAACCTTGGCGGGAAACGTATGGAATGCACGTGTGTAGGGGGTCGAGGAGCTTTCAGAAATTGCTATACATATGAAAGTAAGTTGAAAACTCAGATTCGAAGTTAGGTACTTGACGTTTCATATTATATATAATACAAGTTCGAGCGTTGATGAAAAATAATTAACAATGCTTAATAAAAGATGACTACACCAGATTGGTGAGCCATTGAATATACCAATATAGCACTAAGCAAAACTATACATTATTTTATCAATAATGACCATACATATATTATACATTCTGGTCATTGGTGACTGGAGAACGTTGTAAACAGCATACGCGGTTGGGACAGCATAAAAAATTTCTATCATAGTTATGATATTGGATTAATGTTGCAATAATCGATTTGTATTACAATTGTTTTTTCCCAAGTATGAAAATCTTCTAGGATATTAAATTTGTTATAAAAAAGCATGGAATTTTGAGTCAACGCTTTAGCCTGACCGACAAACATAAAACTGAAATGCATAATTACAAGTCCTGACAAAGAGGAATTCTTACTCGAAATATTTTGATTACAATATGAAATTCATCACAACGATTTAGACATACTTATTGATTGAAAAACTCCAGAAAATGCATTATATACCACGACTGCCATGATGAAAACATCGTGCTCTACCAAGTTATATGTGGTTACGCTATATATATCGTACTTTCCTTGCAAGGGTAGCTATACTTAACGTCCCAGTCAATGAAGCTAATTGTGATCAGTTTTTGTATTTTATTGTAATTCATATATATATAGGTGACGGCTGCTTTGACATACATGCAAATAGGAAGGTGTCTGATGGTGAATATTACACGACGAACAGGTTTGGAGCCGAAGTATCATGCATCTGCGAAAGCGGTAAACCAGCTCGAGCCTCGTGCAGTAGAGTAACGACAGGTGAGAGACACCTTAAAAATAAAGCAATGTTAAAGACACGCTTCGATGCAAGTTGCAATGAGCAATTTTTTAAGAATGGCAGAATAAATCATTGTAAAAAGACATGCTTCGATGCAATTTTTCAACAATGGCTTTTTATGTATGAACATGTATGCACATATAGTGGGAAGCTTATTATTTATGATTGACTGCGTTTGCGAAATTTCGTTGAAAGTAGGATAGTAAGCAAAAATAGGTTAGGATTATAACTTGCAATGACTGTAAAACCGTTGTTATCTATCTCGATTGCTAATAAATAACTTATTAATAAAGAAATAAAACTTTGTCTGAAACACAATTGTTCGCGAGTGAAATTGACTGTTGTTATAATGGGTGGGTGCAAATGTTCGTGAATGCCATTATACGTGCGTTCAAATGTCCGTGGGTGCAAATGTCCAGGGTGCAATTGTACGTGGGTGCAAATGTCCAAGTGTGCAAATCTACATGGGTACAAATATCCGTGGGTGCAAATGTCCATGGGTGCAAATGTCCGTGGTTGCAAATGTCCTGAATGCAAATGTTCGTGGATGCAATTATACAAGCGTGTAAATATCTATGTGTGCAAACGTACATGGGTTGGAATTTCCGGGGGTGCCAAAGTATACAGGTTCAAATTGTACTTTCCTGGCAAAGGTTGGTTCTATAATTACCGCTCTAGTTAGCGAAGCTAATTCGGATCAGTTTTTATTTTTATTTCATCATAATTTCATAGAGGCTGACGGTTGCTTTGACGAATATGCAAATAAGAAGGTCCCTAACGGTAAATTTTACACGGCGCAAAAGTTTGGAGCCAAAGTTTCATGTCTCTGCGAACGCGGTCAAGCCTCATGCAGTAGAATAACGACAGGTGGGAGACACATTTATATTCGATGCAAGTTGAAAACAGATTTTTCAGGAAGGACAGCTGAATAGTGAACGATTGCTATAAGGCAGGACATGCAACTGTTCATCGCAATTCACCAAAACGAAATATTATAATGACGAAACTGTTGAACAACTCATTAGCTATCGTAACTAGTAAATAGTGTTGCTCGGAAATGTCTTCTCCTACATTAATGCTATAGTGTTTGAATAAATCAAGCAAACCAAGTTTCAATTACATTAAATAATTGCGTATTTCAAAGAGTAATGTAATGTCGAACTTCCGCCATTCATAATTAACCTAGGCTATAATACCTCAGCTAATCACAACCACATCGCAGTACCAATACAGATATAAGACGTCATAGAAATAAATACATCCCAGTGTGACATAATATGAAATCAAAGATGTCGACTTCGCCCTCACGAATAATAAGGGGATACGAAGTCTCCTAGGGCCGCGAAAATAAGTTCCACGGGCCGCATCGTGACACGCGGGCCGAATGCTACACACCGCTGCCACAACGCTTTTCATGTATGCACACATATAGTGGGTAGGCTTACCATACGTCCCGTTTTAGGCGGGACAGTCCCGCTTTTTACCGTCTTGTCCCGCCGTCCCGACAAGTCAGTCGAATGTCCCGCTTTGGCGTTTAGTCAGCATAATACACGAACATTACCAATTAACATGTTCTCGTTAATGTCGTTGCAGTGCAGCGCAGCGCTAGACCACTTACTGGAGGTGAATGCGTTATTCTGTTCGTTCTGTTGTTTCCCGTAACGTATTACGTGTAAAATCAATACTAATTGGTCCTGTTCTGGCGTTTACGTGAATGTAACATTGAACAACGTCTTTTTGAAAAAGGTGTTATCTACAGAAAAGCATGCTTGGGCGAATAGGTAAATTCTCAATGCTTGAAAACGGCAGACTATTCAATTCTTCTTTCTTCTTTTTGTTGTACATAAAAAAATCTCAATCCGAATTATTTGTATCGTTAACGTCAATTCCCTTCTATTTTTCGAACTTAACCCGATATTTGGACAGAGAATATGCGCATGAACTCTCGAATCTCGATGACAATATGCTCAATGAAGACAGCCGGGATGGCTGTATATGTAGGCCTACAGCGCCGGATTAACCATTAAAAAATATAAGCACGTGCTTAGGGCACCAAGAAAGGAGGGTCACTACAGAAGTTTTAGAGCAGAATTTTTATATAGTTTATCGGCGTTTATTAAAATATTACGAGTTCACCAGATGACTCAAACTTCAAAATTTTCGCTTATTTTTCGTCTTCAAGTATCATAACCTTCTTTATTAAAAATAAACACTGAAGCTTATTTATTGGACACGAAATGGGCCTATGAGTCGTTTTCTTAAATTGTTGTTGTTTTTTCTTTCTAGTATTCTCCTTGTTGCTGCATTTTTGTTTTAAATTTTTTTTTTCTTTCAACAATTGGACCAATGAACTATTTACACTATTTGGCGGTTCCACGATCGCATTTAAACGATCTAGTGGTCAGCGAAGTCGGGAGTTTTTACACAGTGCTCATCACACGGTGTCTGGTTTGATTTCAAGTAATATCTGTCACGAAAGAATATAATTTGAAGCGACATTAAACGCGAAATGCGCAGAATACAACGGTAATTCTCGGGAATTAACTTTAAAATAACTGATAGATTTCTATTTCTTCTTTAAAAGAACGGCCCGCGAGACCTCCTCAAAAGTTTTTGCGGTCCTTCAACCTAGTAATCTTGAACCACCCCGTGGTAGACTACTAGGTACAGGTAAAATTTCAAACTACAGTTTTGACTTGTATCCTTTGGTATTTCGATTCACTTTGAGACTGGAGGCATGCATCTTTATTGTCGCACTCCCTCTGGATTGGATCTCAACCGATATATGTATCATATCGGCTGTAAACGACCGATATATATATATATCGGCTATATATAACGGTTAAAATACCTAAAAATGTTCGTAAAAGTTTTTTATTTACTGTTGGTTGTAATTATTTTTAATAGATAATACACTTATGTGGTTTACTGTTTTAATAATTAAATTATACATGAGGGGGCACCAAAGTCTTCAGTGCTTAGGGCACCGAAGGGGCTTAATCCGCCCCTGCTTATGTATTAAAATCGGAAAAATGTAAAGTTACAAAATCACAGCTAAGGGGTCGTTGTCGTTAGAGGCGTCCCGCTTTGAAGTCACAAAAATATGGTAAACCTAATAGTGGGAAGCTCCTGTCTAGCAGTTTAGTATGGCCCCCACCAACTATTTATTCATACTTCGATAATTATGAAGGTTAGGACTAGAAAATTTCATGTAAAAAGTTTATTTATGTATGCTGTAAACGTACAATACGTAAATGTCTTGTTATCATAAACACTTACAGTTTTTGTTATGAGACATAATGTTTTTATATAACTTATTTTACAGGCTGTAGAGATCACGAATCAAACAGGTTGGTTCAAACAGGAGAACGATATTTAGTTGAAAGTTATAGTCGGATTTTTGAATGCTCGTGCAGTTCGAGCGGACGACCAATATCTGGAACTTGTCAAATACAAACACGAAGTAATTATTGTTTATTCAAAAAAAATAGATAGGATAATTGGACACGTGGAAGGGGTTTAGTGGGGTGTTATAGGTTCCTCCGCCGTTAAATGGTACCACTAAAATGCACGGAGATAGCTACTCCCAGGGAATTATTGATGTGCATTGAGCGCACTCCATAACGGTTAGCGCGGAACGAAACACTTCAGTTGTTAAAGTAGAGGTTACCTAATTGAAGCTTTTGCCCTAATAAGGCCTAAGCGGAGCCGAATAACTTCATTTCACAGCTTTTTAGCACTATTAGTATATTCTTTTATTTATTCACTTTTCAGGATTTGAATATGATCCTTGCAAAAGCGCTGATTGTCATCCCATGGCTCGTTGTCAAGCACGAGGTAGTTCATATATTTGTGACTGTAAATCAGGTTTCCGAGGAAGTGGACGTTATTGTGCAGGTGAGGAATTCCGACTGACGGTACTCTTGGTAACGCCATAACATTAACTAATATTCGCCCAGTTATGCTGTCCAGTAGACTAGAACGTGGGTGTCTTGACAATAGACCTTATTCATTAAAAACCCATCCTACGCGCAAAAAAAAGTGTTAGTTATTAGCTCTTATGGGGAATGTGATCACCAGAGCAGAAATTTGCATTTTATGTAATTTTCTAGATATCTTTCATTGTATACATTAGCAGTTTTGAGGATAGAATATTTTTTACATCTTTTTTGATATTTTTATTATGATAAACATGGTCAAGATTTTTAATAATCGTTCATTGAAATTTTAATGAGCGCGGTGTTTCCGATGACGTCATTCTCACTAGACCATGAGATTCTGCCAACGCGCCGTGCTCTGTGGGATATGTGCTCCAACTGCTTGGGACCACAACTGGCGTTCAACGAAAGACCTATTTTGGTTTTAATTGGATGTCATATATTTCATGAATTCCATGTATATTTCTGGTACATCTTTCAAAATCCAATGGCCTAACTCAGTTCATATCTTGACGGTACCTACCATGTACGGTACCTATCCCAAAATTGGTGATGTTCATGGCTGGATTTAGACCATGAGAGGCCCCTTCATATTTTTGAGCTCAGAATTTCTCTCTAAACAACACCACTTTTAATTGCTTAAAATTTAAAAATATGAAAGCATTAAACTTTTCATTCTCCCCATTCATGGGTGTGAATTTTTAATTAAAAGAATGATAATTTACTTGAGGCAGTTTTGCTTTTAATTTCTTTGATCAAACAACCGCTACAGCCATACTTTAACATAGAAACTTTCAGCAGAATGCGCATCATAATAATTTCCCTTATTATGATGCAAACGACGGGTTTGAACTTGTCAAGTTTTCAAAAGAATTACAAACTTTGAAACCGAATGTCGAGGCTCTAGGTTTCAGCCTGCCTAGCCCTATTGGTAAATCCAGCCCTGGTGATGGTCCCTACAGCAAATTTCTGGCCCTAATCACTCAGCAGATTAAAATAAATGGTTTTCAGCATTTATTAGCAAAGATAGATATTTTAATTAAACTTATAGTTCAACTTAAAGCCTGTATAATGATATTATAAATATATGTCTCATTATTACTGCACTGTGAGAAGGCTTCCCACACTATCAAGTCTATAAGGTTTCAGCGTCCTCCAATGTCTCAGATGGAAACTTCAGTCTTCATTTCGCATATTCTTTTCATTGATGCCATTAGCATTTGAAGCTTACTGATTCCAATGTACCTTTTCCATTGTTGTTTAATGTAATATCCTAAACGTGACTTCAATTTTTTTTCTCACTTCAATCATCACATGTTTGAATACCCGAGCTGACTTCTACTGATTTGTTATTAATTACAATTTTTTTTATAAATTAACTGTCGTACTTGCTAAGTGTCCACTAAGTGAAAATCTACAAAAAAAAAGCAGTGGTTTAATAATGGACTACATTTTTAACCGAATTCAAAAATATTCCGTAACTTAGTCAACCCTTCCTCCGAGGAGTTTTTGTTAAAACATCTTAATTAACTGTTAATCTTGATAGCAAACATGGGGGGCAGGGGGGAGCTGACTGTGATGGTCGTATCGCTCACCAGTCTATACCGAATAACTGTGTGTTTTGTATATGATTTTTTTTGATTCAATGCTTGTATTCTGGTTGACAAAATAAATCTCCCTCTCGTATTCAGTCATGTTTCTTAACCTAGTTACGAGACCGGTATTGTACCATTAAAGGTTGGAGATATTCATCTTTTTTGTGTACCGGTACCGTACAACTTGTCCTGCCTATTGGCAAGATGGCCAACATTTTTGTTCGTAGGCCTATTTCAGTATTTACTAAATAATTTAGTTTTCACCTCTTGCAGCCTTGGTACGGTACCGGTAGTTTAAATAACACGTCAGCATGCCTTCAGTAAATGATTGCTAGCTGTACAGGTATAAATGCGTAAAACCAGTAAACAAACGTGATAGAAATGGTACGGGTTATAGACTGTCAATGTTAAACGCTTCCAGTACCGGACGGACACGAACCCAAAGCGACATTAGGGCCGCATTTGCAGCGCATATCTCACAGAGCACGGCGCGTTGGCAGAATCCCATGGTCTAGTGAGAATGACGTCATCGGAAACACCGCGTTCATTAAAATTTTAATGAACGATTATCAAAAATCTTGACCATGTTTATCCTGATAAAAATATCAAAAAATATGTAAAAATTATTCTATACTCAAAAATGCTCACGTATACAATGAAAGATCTCTAGAAAATTACAAAAAATGCAAATTTCTGCTCTGGTGATCACATTTCCCATAAGAGCTAATGTTAAAGTTTTTTTTTTTATATCACTTTTATTTTTTGCGCGTAGGATGGGTAGCCGTTGTATCGTATCGTTATTTTTAGCCACAAGTTTGCATTGAGGGCTGACGTCATTTTTGGTTTGTTTTTCGTAATATAAGCCACTAAAAGGTCATCACACAATTACGCGGTATTCATGATACAAAAATCAATGCACAAATACAGGAACACGGAGGTCTCGCGTTGATACAAGTAAAGTCTGAGCTGGGCATCAAATTTGCTGAAAAGATCGGAGGACAAACGTCACAAATGATGGCGTAATATACACAAAACAATCTAAATTTGGGGTGAAACATCGGGCCCCATACAACCCAAAGAAATAAAGTTGTATACTTCACGGAGACTTCATCTATTTTTAAATACTAATCATTCGAAATCGATTAGACTAGTAGTGAAGAATGGCGTTTTTTCCATAACAATTTTTACCCAATCTTAGCAAGAACAACAATTTTGCAAAACGATTCATAACATAGAAATATTTCTAACATACGTCTTCTGTTGATGCTTGTACTTTAATAGTGATGTTTGTCGTTTTCAGATATCAATGAATGCAGTAGTAGAAACCGATGTCATGAAAACGCAAATTGTAACAACACAGAAGGTTCATACACATGCACTTGCGAACCAGGATATATAGGCGATGGATATCAGTGTACAAGTATGTTAAAACCTGAATATTTTATCCTAAATATCTCATAAAAATTAAAAAATAAAACAGAACCAAACTTCTGGTTGAATCTATTATCTTGATAAATTGTTGCTGAAGTACTCGATCCCAGTCCATCGTCATTTCAATTTGTTCAAAGATTTATTTCTATTCTTTCCGAAAATAGATAATTTAACCTTTGGTACCTCCGACGACTATGCTTTTGAATTTCTGATCGGCTGAAGTGGCAAAGTATCGCGTCTGCTCTATACAATAAAAAAATAATACGATTGGTAAAATGCCAATTTCACAAAATGTTATCGATAAGCATTCAAATCAAACAACATAATATCATAATATATTGAAATGCTTCTTACTTAGGACATGATCCTTGCGACGAAGGTATTGTGTTTTGCTCTATGAATGCGGAATGTATACCTGATCAGAATACGTATCAGTGTGTTTGCACGAGAGGATTTACCGGTGATGGATTCACCTGTCAAGGTAATTGAAACTAATCTGCGTTGAAAGTTACCCAGTCATATACCGAAAACTGCATTATGTGTTGCGTCATCATTTTGCTTTCTGGTTTGACAAAAAAAATAAATTCTCTCTCTCTTTCTCTCTATTCAAAAACAACCACGCTAATTTGAAAACGTGTGTTGTATATATAAGGTGAATGCGTGCACATGTAATGTTTAAATTTCCAGGAAACGGACGAATAACATTCAAATTGTGTGTAACATTTTTGCATCTAACGAGATGGCTAAATTTGCCATAAACTATTATCTTTCCAGACACGGATGAATGCGAAACCGGCGCATCTGATTGTGATGCAAATGCTTTATGTCAGAATGTACATGGGAGGTATAGTTGTACGTGTAAGGAAGGTTATGAAGGAGACGGACACGAATGTAAAAGTAAGCATATATATTATTGTTGGAATTGATGTCACATAAACTAAAAAAAACTAATAAATGTGCCGTGCATTGGAAAACGTCAGAATATTGAATTATAACACCGAACCAAAGGTTTTAGATACTGATACGGAAGGCGCTATGTTTTAAAAACAACTGGAATTATCCGGTTCGGACATATTCTACCAATTTAATACACCTTGGGTACGACTTGCAAGGATCCTTACCAATTAGGCAACGCAATCTGTAAGCTTTCTTCAACAGCTTGCTTCATATGGCACTTTTATATCTATACATAATAATTTAATCAATAGTTTGGCTAACTTTCAATCTTTTTCTCTAAAGAAATGTGTCTTGATGACGTGGATGGACAATATGTTTCTAATCACAACGTTTTTCTCAAAATTAAAAATGGTAGACGCCTGACATGTACTTGCCAAAATGGTAATGCGATTGAAGGATCTTGTCATGGAACAGGAGGTGAACCAGAAGAGCCAAGTAAGTACATGGTTACTACATGGTAGATGTTTATGTCAAAACGAAGAACCACAAGCAGATACTTGTACAAGGCTAACAAAACTAGTACAAAGTAAGTTGGTTACTTTGTTTATAAAAATTAACAATTAATTTTTACCGGTTAATTAAACAAATAATGTATACCGGTATATATATAAATGGTCATCCATATCTGACCCGAGACCAGATAACTGTATGCGAGAGGATTGTTGGACCCGCCGTCGAAGTGTGGTCACATAACCGCTAGAAAGTTACGTCCTCCTCCACCACTAAGTTGAAGCATCTCGAATAACTGGTTAATCCGTATACCTGAAATGGACTGATTATCGGACGAGAAGTTGCGGGTTGCCGTACGATTAAGCAGTTTCATCAACTTTCCTCTTTTTTGGGGATAAATATGAAAATCATATCCTGACACAAAATATGTACTCTAGGAGTCTTAACTATCATTTCGCACCTGCTTTTGTCAGCTACAACTTCTCCGGAACAAAATACTACAATGTCAACGACAACAGCAACACCAAGAATCACCGCGTCGAAGGAACTCCAATGCTACGATCGAAATAATCGCATATATTACAGCTTAGGTCAAAGCTATACATGGAATAGAGGAAGAAGATCTTACTTGTGTGTCTGTACCAAGCGACGTAATGCGGCTATATCTAGATGCAAACCTGTTAGATATACGTCATGATTTGTAAACAAAATACTTTGATAAAACAAGTCTAAGACGGAAGATAGAAAGACGCAAATTACAAAAACTATTAGAGAAACTATTATTGTGAAATGTTTTTACATCGATTCCATTTTAACTAACTAAAACCCAAAATATCTTAAGACGTTTGAGTCTTTATTTGTGCTGCAAAAACAATAAACAGTTATATATACTATCCAATCGCTGCAATTAAGTTAAAGTTAATAAGGAAAAGTGTAAAATCATTCTCAGTACGAATGGTCGAAAGTAGCGCCGGGTTATTGTTATTGTAAATCGATGCCCGTGTTGGGCCCGTCGGCCGAGTTCCCATCTCGAAATTATTTGTTTTAACTCGATGATTCTGCCTTCTACTCAGAACAAACAACAGCAGCTCATTTTATGGTGACAGCATAACGCTCTCCCTCGCTGTGACAGACTGTTCCATCCCACTCAATAATGTCATGTTCTGGATGCGTTGTCGCTGGTGCTAATAATAATGCTTGTTGGGGTTGGGGGTTATGAACCTCGAAACTACAAATTACACTGTGCAACACTAAAAAAAGTACAGGGTATCTGCAGCAATTTTTGTATACATAATAACATAGAAAATTTGTTTCTGGCTTTCTTTTTGTTGAATTAGGTATAGTTTTTGCAAAATTGCCACAGTCGTGAATTTCAGTAAAAACGTCAAAAATGGGTTACTGCCGTCTTTGCGGTCACATAATATGTGTATTATATTATAAATCTTGAGAGAAAAACACAGTTTAATATACACATATTATGTACATTATTTATTATTTGCAAAACACAACAGCCTGTTTCAACCAAAAGTTCATCAGGTGTTTTTTATTCAAATAGAATTGTATTGGAATTTGTGTACATTAAACTGGCAGGGTAGTAACTAGCTGTAATGAGTTTACAACAGTGTAGCACTAAAAGAAAGTTTGTATGCTCAATGTTATACTTTTCTAGTTTCAGTTTATTGAAATATGTGACTTACCAGTTTGCAACAAATTACTACTCATAGCTAGGCCCCACTGTTACTGCTGGAAAGACCTACCCTGATGTGCAGATGTAACATAAGTACTAGAGTGGCAGGCAAGGGTTATAGTATAGGCTTTGACGATGACTTCAAGACAGTGCAAAAATGATCCAAGCAAATTCTGCTACATATGTGGCGAATTAACATTTGCTAAAGAAAGGCGCAGCATTACCAGCCATATCAAGAAATTGTACAAGGCGTACTTTCATTGTCATATAGGAGACCAAGACAAATCATGGGCTCCTTATGCCTGTTGCCTTACATGTGTGAAAACATTGAGCGCATGGTATGCAAAAAAGAATGTGCACATGAAGTTTGGTGTTCCAATGATTTGGCGAGAGCAGAAAGATCATTCTAATGATTGCTATTTTTGTCAGCAGGACTATACCGGCTGTACAACAGCAAAAAAGAAGAAACGCATTGTTTACCCAAATTTGCAGTCAGCAATACGCCCAGTTGGGCACTCAAAAGAATTACCTGTACCAAAACCCCCTGATCAGGAAATGTGGAGTTCAAGCAATGGGGATGAACATTGTAGTGATGGAACAGTAGGATTTTCTGATTCAGAAAGCAATGATAAACCAATACTATTTTCTCAAGATGCTCTGAATGACTTATGTAGAGATCTTTATTTAACCAAAGACAAAAGTGAACTTCTTGCATCAAGGCTTAAAGAACGAAATCTTCTTAGAAAAGGGGTGAAAATAACATTATACAGAAAACGTGCACAAAACTTGCATGTTTATTTCACTCTGGCAGATGATTTATGCTTCTGCAATGACATTGTTGGACTTTTTGAACAACTGGAAATACCATATGATAACACCAACTGGCGACTTTTCTTAGACGCATCCAAGGAAAGCATAAAAGCTGTTTTGCTCCACAATGGTAACACCCTGCCATCTGTTCCTATAGCTTACAGCACAACTATGAAAGAATCATATGAAAATTTAAAAACAATTTTAACAAGCATACAGTATAACGTCTATAAATGGCATGTTTGTGCAGATTTTAAGGTTATAGCCATGCTCACTGGCCTTCAGTCAGGCTATACTAAATTTTGTTGCTTCTTGTGCTTATGGGACTCTAGAGCAAGAGTTGAACACTATGTACGCAAGCACTGGCCCGCTAGAGATGAAATTGAGCAAGGAAAACATAACATCAAACACAAACCACTTCTGCAAAGTGATAGAATCCATTTACCACCTTTGCATATTAAATTCGGTTTGTTCAAGCAGTTTGTGAAAGCACTGGACAAGGATTCCTTTGCATTTGCATATCTTGCAGAAAAGTTTCCTTCCTTAAGCCGAGCTAAAATAAAAGAAGGTATCTTCATAGGTCCCCAAATTCGAAAAATTGTTCTTGATGAAACTTTTGACACACATCTCACGAGAAAAGAAAAATGTGCCTTTGAGTCATTCAAGAAAGTTTGTGATAACTTCCTGGGAAAACATCGTTCAGAAGACTATGTGCAAGTTGTGAATGATCTACTGCGTCATTTTCATGATATTGGATGTAACATGTCTCTAAAAGTTCATGTGCTCCACTCTCATTTGGATTTTTTTGCTGCGAATCTTGGCAATGTGAGTGATGAACATGGCGAAAGATTCCATCAGGATATTTCATTAATAGAGAAACGTTTTAAAGGAAAATGGAACACTGGCATGTTGGCAGACTATTGCTGGAATTTAAAAAAGGATGATGCCACTCTACACAAGAGGGTTAAGAGGACAAATGTTGTTTAAACTGGTGAATTCGGTGTTTTTTTTTCAAAATAAATAATAATAAAATACATGAAAATGGTACCTAATCCAGAGAAATAAATGTCAGATTTGGAATCAGCATACTTTTCTTACACCGAGACAGGTCTTATATATCTTGTACTTTTTTTTCACTTCAAATTTGTTGCACAGTGTTATTATTATTATCAAAGAATTGCTATTTCTGTAGCAACAGAAGGAAGTGATTTATAAATGTGGTACGCATCCGATTGTTCCTCCGTGCTTTTTCAATGGCGAACTCGCCTGAGACAGCGGCTAAGCACAAACTGAAGAGCGACAAATGAGCTTGCAGGAAGCTAGTATTAATTTATGTTATAGAAAGTTAATATATGTCTATACAGCGAGGGAGACAACTATAAATTGTCAATTGTAATTAACGAGGCGCGCATTTTGTAGTTCGTTTTGACACGACAAGAAACGAATTTAGCCAAGGCGCAATTACGGGTAATAATTAGCGGCGCTTCGCTATCACCGAGGCCCAATTTTCTCGCCGTCCAGACGAGATTCCACTACGTCATAGTAATGCTCAGGTGGTTATCTACATTGGCATCTGAGGCATCGTATATTGTTTGAAATCCGCTGCTTTCTCCGATAAAGTAGCGAGCACCTTGTTCGACAGCGTTTTACCAAGTTTTGGGGTTGGTAAAAATTTTGGAACTCCGAGCGTTTGGGGTTTGCCCAGTTGCAAAAACCTTTGTGATTAATGATTAAATTGGGTCGTAAATTCGAAAGGTATATGACGAAAAGGTTGAAGCGAAAAATTTCAAAAGAATGAAATACAGTATATCAACAGTGACAAATTTGAATATTTTTATGACAATGGGCCGATAGCAAAGAAAAATTGAATTTCACGTTTTTCCAATAATGTACTTGTTTTAAGTGATATTGCCTCAAAGCGCGCAATTTTGTAATTTGTTGGCGAGGGCGACAAAAATATCACGCTTTAATCCTGACTGGTGGTATTAGCCGTTACTTCTTCAGAATTCACAGGGCAGAGGTGAGTAAAGTTTTACTTTGTGGTTAGAGAAGTTCTGCACGCACAGAAGTGGTCCCAGAAGCGTGGTGATACCTTCTATGGAAAAGCTTGTGACAGTTCGATGTATCTAATATTAAATAAGTTTTACTGACGAATCTGGCGAGATTAGATTTAATAGGACAGCTTCAATTACATTTGATTCAGACCTTTCGGCTTTCATCAAAAAGGAAATCAAATCCTATTATAACCACCTAATACACATAAAGGAAAAAACTGATTTGTGCATAAATATATTTTTTGGTATTAGTAATGAATTACAAGTGAAATATGAAGTACCTGTGATGTAATAATGAGAGAAGTGAACGGGAACTTTACAAAAACGGGGTGAAGCCAAGCTTTCAATCTAATCTAATTATTGCTCAATAACAAATGCTAAGGTATGCTTCATTAGTTGACCACAGTTAAACTTAAGAAATATAGAATCCAATTTTTCACTAGATACTGCAAAAGTTTAGAACATAAAACTCTATTTGTAGTGGACACATCCGAGTATGGGCCTCGGATGCAGGAAGATGCTGTGTTATTGATTATATATAGCTTATGAATGAAAACCGATATTGATAAATAAATCGGATATACAAAAAATAGAAAACACATAACTTATGTGAAAACATAGCATTATGCACTGTCACCGTTTCCAGTAAAATGGAAGATTTAGAAAATAATACAAAAACTGCTCAATTTTTAGTTTAAGTGAAGAAGAAACACTAAAACAGATTTTATCAAAAAAAGTTTTCAAACTATCCTGAAGAATGGTAAAAAATACAGTGGATGATATGTGAAAAAAAAATAAAAAAAAATCACTGGAATTTCAATGCAAATGATATTCGGAACTTCTAAATGGTTCGATAACATGGTCACACGACTAATATATTGCTAATTAATAAACAAGCTCGTACAAAATTTCATTTAAAAAGAAACAGAAAAATAAAGACTAAGTGCATGATCTTGAAGGTGCAAACAAAACAACATAATTGCCGCGACTGTCGAGATACAATAAAAAAATAAATTATACAGTGGTTACTATTTATAATAGACAACTTTAATGAAAATTTACTGTTAAATAACTCACTTTACTTGATTTTTTGATTTATATTTAGCTCACGACTAACTATGAAATTCAAATTTATTTCAAATTCAATTTTACTAGTAATTATGAAATCTGACAGAAAAGTAAATTGCTCTGAAAATATCTACGAACTGCAAAACATATTTGAACTAATATACTGCAGGCTTTTTATTCTACAAAAAATCTATTTACAAAGTACTAACTGGAAGCGCAATTTTTACAAATGCTTCATTTTATCTCCAAGATCTTTGTCCAGTTGTTTGGATTTGTTAATCATATGACTTCTCCTCAAACGTAGTTTATGGAAATGTTCTTGTTGATCTTCTGTAGCAGGAATCTCATACGAATCTGAACAGATGAAAGCAGAAATATTGGTTTAAATGGGTTTAGGATAGAATTTTCATGTTTATTCTGGGGAAGAGAAAAGCAGGCAAGAGGACTTAAATAGATGACAAATCATGGCTTCTCGTTTGGGTTTGTGTACCAGGTCAGGGTTAGGCCATAATTTGATCCTGATTTTCCTTATTTTAGCTCTATTACAAGTTCGGGAACTATTAGCCAAGTGAATATACCCCCTGCCCATAGGTTTTAGTTCCTTTACACAACTCGATGTAAAATAGGTGAAGAAAATTAGTTACCTCTATATTGGTACACATACTTCTGGAGCACCCCTAGCCCTGTGATGACCCAAAACCGTTTGCCAAGGACCAAGGCCTCTGACACAATCCGACATTGACTGAGATCAAGATGAGATGTCGTGGCTCGTGATATGATTAAGTCATTTTATTGCCCCTCCCCCTTTTCCCCACTTGGTCAAACGAGAAAACAAACCTTCATCAACTGCTTCCATTCCTTCAACAACACGAACTAAATCACTTGAATTATCAACAAATTCTTGATCCACATTATCAACATCATTCTTTATTCTTTCAACTTGCTGTTTCAAAACTTCTTTTGCAGATTCACTCTTTCCTTCATCAAGTGGAAGAACTTTAGCAGATGGACTAGAAAATAAACAATAAAAAATATAAGGATTCATTCTTTGGGAGGAACCATGCAAATGACTGGTTTTAAGATTGCAAGAGTATAAGTTTAAATTTTAAAATCTACTATAGACATGCAATTTGATGCAACCATTCCACTACCATGCGATAAATATCCTATTAAAATTCGTGTCTAATTTCACAATGTCCAGTTTGCAAAAACATGAAATAATGTAGAGAAAGTTAATTTTTATTACCTAATAGGTGTGTTCCCAAGTCCTCTGAGTTTTCTTAGTCTTTCAGCGACAGCATCTTTAGCAGTATCGTTTGCGATGTTAGATGTTGTAAGAAGTTTCTGCACCTTCTGTTTGCTTTTGAAATCATCATATTGAGATATTCTGTGCTGGACATTCTGGAAAAATTGTAAATGTGAAATAGTTGGATAAACACTGGCCTAGTGGTTAAAGCGATAGACAATGATGGCATCACAGGTTAAAATCCCATGACCCCCACCTCACCCTGGGGTGTAATAAATTGGGTAGACAATACTGAACAGAAGGAAATATTTCGATTCTTCAAACCTACAGTAGCTCTCTATATGCCTAGCAGAGTAGCAGTAACATCTTGTTCAGAGTGAAAGATGCATAAATATGTCATATAAAAAAATGATACTTCTTAGTTAAGAAAGTTGAAATTATGTCAGCATACCAGGCTAAGATGCTGCCCATGTGTAGATATTATTGTTGGTATTTCTATTTTCCACACGTCAAAAGTTCAAAAATGCCTTTTACATACAGGTGGCCGATTGGACATAACCTTACTTAGAGACAAGGTGCGGAATACCCAATGAAAATGAAACAAGACTAATTAAAGAAGTCTAAATTCCAGCTCACAAATTTTCAAATATAACTATATCAAACATCATTTATTTGGCAAGAATACGGAGAGAAAAAATATTCACTCAAATTATAAGTAAAATTATTTTACTAATTAATTATTTTAACAAAATCCCATCCAAACAGACTTACATCCTTTGAAAATTCTTCAGAAGATGGAATGAAAACTTTAATGTCAACAAGATCTTCCAGCACACTTGTTTTTTCTTCCAAAGTTTTAGCACTTTCTAGAGGAGCAACATCAAGACCACTGGAGCTTGAAGCACCGGTATATCTAGTAGTCGATTTCTTTGCTGCTCTAGCTCTTGCAAAAAACAAGTCTTCACATGCACTCTTCATTCCCTGGAATGATTGTCATGTAGTTTAGTAACTTGAATTTATAGAAGAGTGCTATTTTGTAATTACAGGTACTAAAAAATGAAACTAGGAATAAACTTATATATACGAAATAGGAAGTATATTTATGAACTTTTGTTAGATCATAGTCTTCTTGATCAACTTATCTTGTTTTGTTTAAAGAAGTTAGACCTATGATCTATTGAAAGCTCAAAATTATTCTTGTTTATCACTTTAATACTATCTCGTTCAAGCATCACTGTAGCAACGGCCACATAGAGATTCGCAGTAGGAAGTAGCAAAATAGGAAAAAAACTGCAGTCCAATACACAATATCCTTCTACCAAGGATAAGATGGACGGAAGGAAAAAAATTGAAAAAAATATAAATTTAGAACATTTTGATGTCAACTACGGTAAATATCTAAATTTTAGTATTTATTACAATAATTCATAATTTGATTGTTGTATTATAACTTTTTCCTGATTTTATGAAATGCAACTTCACACTCAGCTCAAAGAAAAAAACAATTTGTGATGACAAAATCTTTGGCGAACGTATGTCCTTTTTAGATGTTGTTTTTGTGGACATGACTAACTGTGTTGGCATCATAGGATACACATCTCAGATCGCATGCCCAACACCTCAACCAGGATGTAATAAATTGGGTAGGCAATTGCGAACCGGAAAGATTTCGGTCATTCAAAAAATAGTAACAACTTACATAGGCTGCTTGCAGAAAGCCTTGTTTGGAGCAAAATACATGAAACGAGTGTCATACAAAAAATTGCCTGTTTAGAATGGCTACTCAACTTGATGCTTTAGTTTAGTTTTTTGTATAGTTTATTTGAATAAATTTATTTGGAATTCTGAAATTCTGACACGAACAAATTCAAACTTTTTACTCCAATTCAACATCTCTTGTTGTAGCATATAATATAGAAAATGAAACAACGTAAGTTACCTTATAAAAAGCTCTCAAGAAATATGGATCAGAATCATCTTCCATTTGTCCAACTGATATGTGAGCCATAGAATGCACAATAACCATGATTAAATCTCCTACAGATGTAAGACGTTCTCGACGAATGAAGAGAGTAGAGTTAGGAGCACGTTGATAATGTATAGATCGACGGAAAGCATTTTTATGATAGTTGTTGTTTGGCAATTGGCTTGCAAGAAGAAGATTGACTTCTTCCGTCTGTTGAACAGAAAATAAGTAAGTTAGGTGGGTTCACATCAATACAATATGGCTTAGTCATAAGTTAAAATCTCAGTGCTCCAGAAGTGTGTGTACCAATATGGCGATAACTAATTGGTTGACTGAAACCTATGGGCAGAGGGTATATTCACTTGGCTAACACAGACAGTCCCTGAACTTGTAATAGAACTAAAATAAGGAAAATCGGAATAAAATTATGCCCTAACCTGGTACACACACTACGGAAGTTCCAAAATCTCACCACCTCACCCAGGGTGTAATAAATTGGATAGGCAATGCCGAATCGAAAAGATTCCCAAAGTTACAAACTATAGATCCTTACATCATAAGAGCTGCTTGTGCATAGTTTTGTTTAGAATGAAATATGTCATATAAAACATATTATAAAATTATATACTATTTATGTTGTAAGTATAGGGTAGAGCATTTCTAACCAATTACTTGAGATAAGATGTACTATTTGATTTTAAGAAGAAGTGGAATCGAAGAAAAATGCTGTGGCATTGACAGACATTTGAATCCAATTACAGCTTATTTCGAGAGGTCACTTTGTACGAATGCAATCGAAGAATGCACTTAAACGCCTTTTCCAACACCATTTTGCCCTACTCTTGAACAATTTACTGAAACCGTTCCTTCCCTGGCTTGCTATCAATAATCCTTCCACCAAATAAACCAAACAAGATAGATGAAAATATGCTTGTAAGCCTTAGATACCCTCGAGAAAAAAGTATGGGTACTCCTGAAGTATGCGCACCAAGATGTCGCATAACCTGAACCCTAACCTGGTACAAAACCTGAGTTCAGGTTGTGCGCCATCTTGGTGCGCATACTTCAGGAGGTCCAAAGTATGTCTGTAGAGCGATTCGTTAAGATATTGTTAGATATCAGTGGCTACTCTTATTTGGCTTTGTTCGAAGAAAAAAACATGAGTGAGCGTTGTATTCCGTTCTATGCATACATACATAAGTATTATGTTATAGACAAAAAAATTTTGTCACCCCTCAAAATTTTGGGCTGGCTAGAATCTTGTGGGACATAAAGGCTGAAACTGATTTAGCTTGTTATGAATTACAAAAATAAAACTTACCTCCAAAACCTGTTGCATCATATTTGTGACGAAAACTCCAAATCGATAAATAACAAATTCACTTGGTGATATTTTATTCAGATCAACTGGATCTAGTTTGCCATTCAACATCCATTGAGCATCCTAGAAATAAAAAATTCAAATCTGCAGAATATTCAAAATTCCTTTATCTAGACTAGAGGGTATGCTGACAGTAAATGAATAATAGATGAGCACTAAAAATTTTTTTAATGGGACAATTTCAGAAAGTTCGTTATTCATAGCCGTTTATGAATTTTGCTATAATCTGACATTTATTGCACTAAGGTAAGAGATATATCATTAATTTTAAGTCAGTACAAAATCTCAAAGAACCATCAAAGCTAGTTTATTAACTGTTGTTACATGATAATATTCATAGTTACCTGAATATCAATGAAAGGTGTTGATATTGAACTCTTTACTCCTTGTGATTGTTCATTCAAATGTTTCTTCAATGTCTCTTCCACTGATTTTAATTCCTATAACAAAATGTCAGTGTGATAAAATCAGATTGAAATTGTAGCTTGTATGCAATATAGAAAAATAACAATTCTTGATATCAGTCAGGTATATAAATAGTGACTGTAAGTTTGAAGAACATCTCACATCACGATCACAGTGTCATGAATTTGTGTTGTGTACAAATCCCTAAACTTCGACTCATGAATTAGAATGAATATGGCCAAGTCAAGTTATTGTTGTAACAACATTATTTGATGTGATAAATCTTATTTCATTTAAATTTTGACTCAAGTCACTCGGGTAGTGAGTTGAGTCTGAGTACATATTTGAGAAAGGTCATTTCGTTTAAAAGACTCGAGTGACTGCTAGTCTTTGAAAAAGGTGACTCAACTCTGACTCCCGTTCCAAATCTAGAAAGTTAAGTTTCACTAGTGGTTAACTCATGCAGCGTCCAAGTCATTTCATTTAGAGACTCGAGTAACTAACTCGAGTATTTTATCAATGGTGACTCGAGTCGAGTAAATGCCTTAAGCCGCCATCACTGTCTATTTGTTGACCGATTTTAATTGTCGTTAAGATAACTCAATTCAGTGCATAGGGATCTACTAATCACAAAAACATACAGAAATTGCCCTCTTTCCCAAAGGTGGGTAAAGTTTTTAGACCAGGGGCAAAAAATTTTGCCCACTTAGACTGACGGGCCATGTAGATAAGACGTAAAAAGTTACATTTTATGAACAGAATTTTATTTACAGTATTACAAAAGTAAAAGTGGAAAACAATAAGCCTCGTAAATTTAATAGGAATCTCAACAAATTCATTGTGCTATTTTTTAGCTAGAACATCAAAATTCGGTTTTAGTTTGGTTGTGGCAATTGTCAACCTAAAATATAACATTGACCACGATCATAATCTAACAAGCCTATTGCACCGTACCGTTTCCAATGACAACCACTATGAAGTGCATGCAGAATTGGTTAAAAGCAGAAATTCATGATACCATCATGAGGGCCAGATTGAATAATCTAATGGCACGGATTTGGCACGCGGGTTGTAGTTTGCCCATGTCAGCTCTATCAAAATAACCATGTTTGTAAAAATCATACAAACCTGGAAGAATGGAGAAGCTAACATCAAAGCACTCCAGTCTTCAACTGATGATCCTGGTGAAAGAGGAATTATTGTCGATGTTCCTGCTTGCTGGGATGACATTGGGTCAAATGATGCAATGGATCCATCCAAGCTAGAAAAGTTTTACCGTTGTGAAATTTGAAATAGTCAGAAAGAGACTGAATTAAAGCCGGTAGAAAGTGGGTCAAGCAGAAATTGTGTTTGAATTGAAAATATATACCTGACTGTCTCTTCCTGTTTGGCTCTTAATGCATTTTCAGTTTCTTTCATTGCTTTTTCGCCTTCTTTAGCAATTGCTTGCATTTTAGCAGCTTCTTGCATTTGTAATTGTGCTTGTTGTTTACCAACTTCTTCTTGCAATTCGTTCATTTTTTCTCCTTTACGTTTCTTACGTCTTTCTTCCAATTTTCTTTGCAGTTCAGATCTGCTCTTTGCTTTGTCTTTCTCCAGTTGTGACTGCAAAAATTATTGAGTAAACATGGTTGATCATAGATGATCATAATATGACTGTTTTATTACCCAAACTTATTTAATAGTGCTGATGTAGGATTGATCCTAAAATACCTTTTTGCGCTTTCTTTGTGGTTAAAGCTTTAGATTTACTTATGCTAGTATCGGAGGTTTCACATCTTGGGTTCAAATTCCATGACAATTAGGCCATTACCTCACCCCGAGTGTATCAAATTGGATAGGCAATCTCAAACCAGAAAGATTCTGGTCCTTCCAATAAATAAAAGCTTTTTATGCATCATTAGATATCAGTAGCTGCTTATACAGGGCTTAAAGGGAAATAAATGAGGTAAATAAAAAAAAAAAATTTGATTTGATAAAACTGAGTTACAATAGAAATACATTCATAAATATAATTTAATAAAACTCTAGTTGGAAATGAATTGTATGTTTGCATGACCATCGGCTCATTCTTTGTTTAGCTTTTTTTGTTCAAATTATGGATCGATATATGACGATGCTTAGAAAGTTCAAAAAGATCATTAGAAAATTTATTTACTTAAATATTTAGGTTACCTTTTAGGTTTAGGTGAGTGAATAAGGACCACTTATTTTCGGCAAAACTTTCCAATTTCAATTCTGTATACTTTAAGCCTTACTTGAAGTTGTTATGTTTGCTCTCCTGATTTTATGATCAGCTTTTATTTATTTGTTTTCATCAATTATTTTATTGTCTGTTCTAATTCCTATGTAGTCGAAATAAACTTATACTTATAATGTTTAAATTGTTTTGTTTATTCCACTTTTATTTTTTCTGTGTGGTATGGATTTCAAATGACTAATAACATCTTTGCAGCAAACAAACCAATAGTAGTATATACTGACTTGAAGTTTCTTGACATGTTCATTGTGTTCCTTCAATAATCTTTGTTTTTCATCTTCATCAATATTCGAGTGAAGTATACCTTCTTCTTTCTCACGAGCTTCTCTCAATTTCATTTCACTGTCTTGTTCGAGTTTCCTCTCCAGTTTCTCTTTCTCCATGAGAGACTCAGATGAAAGTTCTCTCTCAAGGGCAGCAAGTTCACTATTCATGTGTTTGTTTGCTGAAATAAATTTTTTTTTTTTCATAGAATTTGATCGCACTCGATAGGCGATACTCATCTCTAAGCAGTGACACCATTGACCACTGAGATTCTGAGAGTTCCTGAGTTATACAGATTTATTTCGGTGAAATGGTGTAAATGGCCTACACTATGCCAAACAGAAATGATTTCAATTTTAAGTAGTTGTCTAACTACTAAGTGGCTAATAGTCTATTAAAAATTGTATTGGTAGGCTCAACAAAGAATTACTTTGAGCAACTATAAATATAAGTTAAATCCCAGGATATAATATTATAATGTAATGCAATCACTGCATACAATAATTCGATTTATCAAACGATGAATGAGAATAGCATAGTTTTATGATGTGTCTTTTTCAAACAATGAACAATATCAATACCCTCATTCTCCTTTCTACGTCTTTCTTCCTTCATTTGTTCAAGTTTTCTTTCCATTTCTTTAGCTTTGGTTCGACGGAATTGTTCAGCCTCAGCTGCGGCTCGTGCTGCTTCATCACTGTATTTCTTGATCAACATCTAAATTAGAAGAAAAAAAATGTTCAGAGCATTATCAACTACGAGAGAATGAAAGATAGGTATTCTGCCATAATATGGGAAACTTGATAACAGGTTGATGAAGTTGAGTTGACGATAAGATGAAATAATCACATCTTAACACTGGTCCACGTCCAGTACGGGAATAATAAATTTATCATTCAATCATTACAGATGCATGACTTGGATGATGTAGGGAGTCATCATCTATTAGGAGTTACATAACCCACATTATAAAGCCAACAACCCCCATCAAAACCTGGTGACAAACATATAGGTACCAATATCAACTATATTCCATAGTCAGTGATTTTCAAAGGGGATGAAAGAGATACAATAGGAGGTGATAAAAGCAGGAGGGGTGATATGTGGGGATTAGCGCATTCTTGAAAGTCATATGACATCTGGCCAATACCATCCATCCATATGTATGAAGGAAGATCACGATCATTCTTGATTTCCAACATCTTATTTGATAGAAAATTGGTTTTGTCCTTCCATCAGAAAATGGTATGATTTGGGATTTTATCTGGTCAAAAAGTTTTCCAAATATTGCAAAAACTTGTTAAAGATCACCAAGCTCATTCATTGCCTTAAAAATACTACTACTACTATCTACTACTAATTTAGTCTACTTGTTTAATAGATTTGTAGACTTTTTTTTAGTAATGCCAAAGGGTATGATAATGTATGCAGTGCTGCAAAGTCAATGGAACATAAAAGTTTGAGAACCACTGTTCTAGAAGACAATTATAATTTGCACCCCACTCGAATAAATTATCAAAATACCTCTTCTGGATCAAGACTTCTCAAAGTATCAGCAAGCTCTTGAAGATGTTTTTCTCTCATTTCGAGTTTACGTTGAGCATGAGAAATAGTGAGAGGAGCAGTAGTAGCAACAACAACTGATTTCAAATATTTTTCACTGTCTTGATCAAACTCTTTGAGTTCTGTTTGAAGAAACACAAAAATAAAATAATGAATAAAATTCCCTTTCCCTATTTCAAAGAATGCTACATGTGCAATAATAATATAAAATTTGTGTCGAAATGTTTTTTGACATTGAATGGAGATTAAAATGGGAAAGTCGGATAAAGTAAGTTTGAACAACAGGACATAATTGTTAGGCCTCTGTGCCCTAGTTTGCAGGTTCGAAGCATGCGAGGGATAATTATGTGTGAGAGGATTGCTGGACTCCTTGCTGTCAGAGGGGGGTCCCATGAGTTCTGGTCAGTTACAGCATCCTTCCCCATCAAGTCCATGCATTTAACACAAATAACTGGTCAACTACCAGACATGGACTAGAGGCTGTCATTCGCCATATGATTAAACTGTGTTGATAGCTTTCCTCTCAACCAGGATAAATATGAAAATCCTATCCTATTTTGAGATAAACAATTCACTATATAATACAATGTACTAAAATTCAATGTTATGGCACCACAAACGAGTATATATATATAACAGTGCTTATTACAACAGAAGCTGTTTGGCAGAAATTTAGACAACATGAATACGAGTTGATAACAATTATTTCATAATGTAAAATTATTTGTACCTTTCTCATGTTTAGCTTGCAATTTTTGTTTCAGCTTGATGACTTTATTGGCAGGTTCGCCTGCATTTTCCAATAACAAATCAGCAATTTCTTTTTCATGTCTTGCAACCATCTGTTCTCTGATTCTGTCACGATCAGCTTCAGCCTGAGAAATTGAATATATATTGGATGTTACTCAATTCTAAATATGGGCTAAACTTAAATGTATATGAATAGAACTTAGATAGCTGAATTGAAAGAATTAAAAGTAAAAATCACACTTTCATGTAATTAGTATATTATAAATGAATAGTTCAAATGTCACAAATTTTATTATTGCTCTAAACTGCTTTTCTGAAGAAAAACTTTGGTAAAGCAGAACATTACAGAATAGAATTTGTGGAAGTGTTGTGCAATCTTTCGAACTACTCAATATAGACATGCAATCTTTCGAACTACTCAATATAGACATACTATCCTTGCTATAGTATTCTTGCATTATTTGCATGTAAATCCACTAACACAAAGGCAAAAAGAAAGGTAAATTAGTCAGATACTAGACAGATACTCCAATACCGAATTGAAAATGATTGCAACAAAAAATTATAAAAAAAAAGAAAATAGACTAAAATCCCAAAGACACCCAGAACAGAAATGTGCAACATACAGCACATGTGCCAAAGTTTGGCTCATGGTCCCTATTTACGAAACCTGTGACAGACTTCGTAATCCACCTATTTTCATATTCTTTATCTTTTTTGAAAGGGCACTATCGCGTTTTTAATTTTATATTACGTCACACTGCGATGAATTTTCACAATATTAATGTGGTGATGGGAGCCGTGATGTACTTGTGATCAAAAAAGGATGATTAATTAAAATGTCAAACAGCATGAAAGTAAGGTTAGTTTGGAAGTTCGACACTGATTAATGTCTGAATATGTCATTTGCCAGATTTGTCAAAGGACAAAGCAGTAATGAAGGAGTATAACATCAAGTGACATTATTTTACAAAACAATCCGATAGTTACGATAGCTAATGAGTTGTTTGATGGTTTAGACCTCAGTGTGAGAATTATTTTACATTTTGGTCATAGCAATTAACAGTTGCACTCCCCTGCCTTGAAACAACTTCACTTATGCTTACTCACACTAATCAATGAACTCAACTATATACCTTAGCTTTGGCTTCTAATTTAGCAGCTTCCATTTCTCGTTCCAGTATTTGTGCAAGTTCCGTCATTTCCTTCAAATGTCTTGGAAGAAGAACTTCTTGAACAAATTGTTCCATAGATGTTTCCAAACTTTTATCTGTGGCCAGTGATTGAATAGCCATTTTTTCAACTTCAGTGGTTTGTTTTTTATGATCTTCATTTCTCTGTTCTTTAAGGGCCAACATTTCTCTTTCTGTGTCCGCCTGAAGACAAAACAGAAAAGATAACATGTGGTTATCATAGAAAAGATAGGATTATTAATAAGAAAATGTAGATATTTTGAACTCTATGGCAAATGCAATAAATGCGCAACAATTTCATCAGGTGTAATCACCACATTTAGGGCATTTGAAAAGCTTTTGTGACCGTGAGCATTCAGAAGAATCTTGTCAATTCCTGAGAATCTTATTCAATCTGTATTAGCCAATTGCTGGACTAACAAATAATGTATTCAATACAACCAAACTCAAAATCCTGGGAAGAAAATGAATACGTCTCAATTATTTTTTCAAAATGATTTGTGCGAAGCAAGGTTCGTGCACTCCTCAGAGAAGCACTCATCTCTGAGTGAAATGACAATGGCTACTGGAACTATACAGAGCAGTGGTTCTCAAACTTTTTGAGGCCCCTCTTAATTGTCTACATCTCCCTGGAGTTATGGGGGTACTTTTGCTCCAGCAAAAGCTGCTTTTAAAGTTAACGAGTATAAGATACATAAATGGCACTAAGCGATAATGACACCGAATACATGAAAAAACTTACAATGAGTTGACTAGTTGTATAAGTGTTATCAATAGCATCGATTGGGCGGATTCATATGCATTTAAGGTGAGAATATTGTAATAGTGAACTTTGCAAGATGTAAGAGTCTGTCAAGTAGTTGATAAATTATGTATGTCTGAGGAAGTTTGACTTCGATCAGACAGAATATTTGCAATGGAAAGCATCAAGACTCTTGTATTACTTAGAAAAACCATATTAACTACACACAGCTACTCACGTTTTGTTGAGCATCAAGTTGGTTTTGTTTTCTCAATTTCCTTTGTTTCATGCGTTCTTGCAAAGCATTCAATTGTCGGTTTTTCTCAGATGAGAGAGATTTATTCAATGCTTCAGCCTGAATAATTATTAATGGGGTATGTTACGGGCTCACAGCTATGCAAGAAGAAAATAAAAAGGTATATTTGAGGGCGCGGTGGCCTGACGGCTAAAGCGTTAATTATGATGACATCGGAGGTTTAAATCTGGGGTTCAAATCCCATATCCACCACATCACCAGGGTGTAGAAGATTGCGTAGGCAATGACGAATTAGAAAGATTCCGATCCTTACAAACTACAGTAGCCACATATATCAGTGGCAACTTGTGAAAAAAGGAAAAGAATACATGGTATAAAATATGACATATTCTGAAAAACCTTTAATCAAAAATTTCATTCATATAGAGAAATTTAAACAGTGATAAAAGAAAACTAAACAATCAGCAATCTAATACCTGTTTCTGATATTGCTTCATCAATTTTTCCGTTTGTTTTTCATTCAAATTTTTCTCCTCGGCTTCTGCTTGTGCTCTTGATATTGCTGCTTGTTGTTGAAGTTTAGCTTGTTCTTCCATTTGTTTTTCGATCTTTGATGTTTCTAATATAACCAAAAAAATAATAATAATTAGTGGCCATGAGCAAAGTACTATTAGAAATGAATAAAGAAGTTATACATTATGCAGTAATGGATTATTGTGGAGTCTATAGTGGTAATTTAATTGATAATTTAATAAACGTACATAAAAACAAATATATAATTCTTCTAGTTACTGTCATAAAATAGTTAATTGTCTGGTTTGAGTATCCTATAGAATACTTTATCAAATATATTTATTATTCATTTAAATCTACCCAGAATGGATTTACGGACTTTTCACGCTTCAAGGTGGCATGAGACAGTTTGAGTTATGAGTTCAATTTTCAGTCACTTTGGAAGTTGCTCAATATTTATAATAATATACAAATACATGTGAATTTATAAGACATTTGGGCCGGCACCGGTAAACTGCAATAACCAGTCATACATTTTTTTTGCAAATGGTGTTTTCAGGTCATAAAGTATGGATTCCTTGAGTAAAAGTGAATTATGAAGTATAACAATATACTACTGCACCTTAACCTAAAACCACAAACGTTCCGACAGGCCATCTCATGGTTTAAAGAGGCCTGTATACCCGCAGGATGCCATTGTGTAACATCTGTAACTTTAACAACAGTTAAAGTTATATTTTTATTTCTACATACCTTTGTTCACTTCGTTGTCCAATTCACTCTCTAGCAACTCTTTTTCTTTCAGATGTTTTTCTTCTAATATTGCTAGTTTTTCGACCTGAATGATTCAAAGATAATAAAAATACAAACATACGCAGAACCATGTTCAGAGCATAAAGCCTATAAAAGTGCCGTATAGAAAATACAATTAAAAATCTTAATCGCAGTTCCAATGGTCATTTCATCTATAATTTTTACTAACTTGTGCATCTAACAGTTCATCGTCCAATACAGATGCGACATCAACTTTATGTCCTTCTAGATTGAATACTTGTTCTTCTTCAATCTTTTCTAATGTTCCGACAATCTTCGCTTTTGTTTTTTCATCAGTGCCTTCTGGTAATGTGCTGTTTGATGTTGTGAGTTTCATTTGTTTTGCAACTGCTTTTTCCTTTGCCATTTCTTCTTTCAGTTTCTTTCGAGCTTCCAATTTGGCAAATAGTTTTTGTTTCTGCAGAATATTTCATAAAATCATGGAATAGTTGCATGGAAGAAATAAATCAACGAAATTTACAGTTGAGAGAGTCAAGTAGTTGATCTAATTAGTAGCGCATTGAGCCTATTGGCATGTTGGGCATATTTACACGAATAAAAATCATAGGTTAAGCCACATGCCCATCACCCCACCTTGGGTGAATGGGGCAGGATGGCCCAGTGGTTAAAGAATTAGACGTAAATATGTTGGTATCGAAAGTTACACATCTTGGGTTGACATCCCATGCCCATCACCTCACCCAGGGTGTAATGAATTGGGTAAGCAATGCCGAACTAAAAAAAACTCCGTTCCTTCCAATATACACCCCTTAAACAGTAGTAGTTATTAAGTTTTTCCATTGATTGTTGTAATATGTCTGCATAAAAAATTCCAGCCATTCTTCTTATGTCTTAAATATTTGTATATAAACTTTAAACTTCACAAACCTGACTTAGCTTTTGTGCATTCATTCTCAGTTGGACATTTTCAGTCATTTGTTTATATTCAGCAATAATTTTATCACGTTCTTGTTCATCAAGATCTTTATCATCTGACAGAAGTTCTTTCAGTTTTTTGGCACGATTTGCTTCACTGACTTCAAATTCCGCCTAAGATAAAAAAAAAAAAAATTTAGTGATGTTTATTGGAGTACCATAATTTTTTTTAAAAGTTTGTTTTGACTGTAATTTTAACAACATTTCCTTTAAAAGTGTTCGCCGACCTTTTTTGGCCACAGATTTTTTTTGAAGCACAATGAATGGCAGTGGTCTCAAAGTACAAGAATCGTTCACTTTATCTAGATTTGTATATTAAGCAACAATAAAATACCGTTTGTCCTTCAATGTTTGCAACATTTAGTGAGAACCTTGCCCCTGTACTTCACCACTTTATAATAATTGGGGTCTACATTGGTAGTCAAAGTGGATTTAATTTTGTCTTCAAGTTTGCAGGTTTTCATTATGCCATGAATGCGAGTAAGTTGGTTAAAAACTAAAAAAGTCTGAACATTGTAATATTTCTTATCTTTTCTCTGTATAGAAAGGACCATCATGGCTGATATATCTGTGGACTCACCAGGACCCTCAAATGAGTCCGCGACCTCTGGGTTGAGAAACACTGCTTTACAATCATAGAAAAATCTGTTGTTCAAGTCATTAATTCAATAGTCAGGTTGATACAATAGATTCATATTACCGGTAATCACTATTATGAAACTGTTTGATATGCTAATATAAGTTTGATCGATAAACACTTGTATCCATAGTATGAAAAAATAGAAAATTTGGAGACTGAAGATAAAACTGAGAAGAATAAATAAATATCAAAACTTGATACGATGTACGATTTATATTACAAATCAAATGTGAAATAAAATAACCTCTTCAAATGCAGATAACACTGCAGCTTCAAGTCTATTGCTATTGGTTTCCTCAATTTGTTCGACACCAGCAGAAAATATTTCCAATTCCTCTGAATTCAACAAGCCACCAGCACCAACTGTATAAAAATGCAGATCAGTCATAGTGATTGAAAACTTTGAACAAAGTTAAAAAATTAATTCTGAAAACCTAAAAAAGTATAAATTAAAAAGTTAAAATAACCTTCTGAAAGTGATTCTCTTCTTATCGATTTCTTTCTATCTCTCCTCATCTTCATTTTCTCTTTCATGTTGGCTCTCATGCTATTAATACGATCGTTATCTTTTTTTCCTGTGCTGAGAAGTTCACTCACGTCATCTTGTGATATAAGAGATGCCTGAAAATTTCAGAATAAGAATATGTATATATTTCAACACAGAAGGCTATGTGGTAAACATACAAATCCTTAAAAGAGCAAATAACTATAATAAAACCAACTGAAAAATATTGCTATTTCTTTATGACAGGGGTATTCAACGTGGGTCAATAAGTAATAAATCATAATTTAGCTATAATGTTTTATTAAATAGCACCCGATGGCCTGGTAGGTAAAGCCATATGATGCATGGCAACGCAGTTTAAAATCTCGACTTCAAATTGAAATATTCTGTTTCTTTCAAAATAAAGTAGTTCCTTACATATCAGTGACTTCGCGTACAGAGAGCCTTGTTGAGAGTACTAACAAGCATGTAAATACTCACAGCTCTTGATGCATTCAATGCTTTAATTCTTGCTTCCATTTCTTCATCCAATTTCCGTTTCTTCTCATCAGGATCATCACCGTCTTCATCTTCATATGCTTTCAATAATTCAGCAATAAGTTTTTCTTGTTGTTGAGCAAGAAGTAAAAGATCTTTATTGACTTCTTCTTCATTTTCAGAAGTAATGTCGGTGACAACCTAAAAATATGAAATATATTGTATTGCATGTTGATTATGTATAGCATGACAGGAACTAAAGCAAATGTTCTCAACTGCCAATCCTCGGCCTGGTTGTTCCTTATGAAAAACAGATTGTTCTTCAGCATATTTTATGAAATTATTGAACATAAAGTGGATGGGCCCTTTTGGTGCCGTTATTAGATAAAAAAAAAACTTTGTTGTTTTCGTTTTTTTTCCAATTATTGGGAGCATTGTGATATTGCATGTTGCATGCTTCATAGGATATCTCTTCCAATTATTTTCATCATTTTGATGACATTGCGTCTTTATATTTACAGTGCCTAGAGTGGTAACCCCATTGAATTTGTTTTAGCTGTCCTATTGCATGTATTGCAATATTTACTGTGCTATTTCTATTTGCCAGTATAAATCCGTTTTTTTTTTTTTTTTTCTATATGGAAATTAGTGGTGTGACTCTTTTATAACAAGGCCTCAATTTTTATGTATGGTAAAACGTTATCCATCAAGAGAAGGCTATTGCAACAAAAAGGTTAAACTGCCAGTCTGCATGAAAGAGGTTTACGTTTATCTGTTAGCTATTGTATGATCATTGAATATTTTTTTTAGTAAGAAGATATATATATATAAATACATATATATATTTGGCGATTAAAATTTCGATTAAATATATTTGTGCCACGAATTAAAAAAAAAACTGTCTCCATCATAGATTGAGTAAGTTGAAATGTCGTATTGCTATTGCAAATTGTATCGTTGCCAAGTCTTAAATAAATAAAAATAGGAGATCATGAGGTAGCATAGTCTTAATTTTCAGATTCTTTAAAAAATATGGTTCCAGAATAACTCTGCGCAATCAAAATAATATGAAATATTTAACAGTTTACCTTCGATGGATCAAGTCCAGCTTCAGTAGCTTCTTTCAGTTGCTTGTCATAAAGTTCTTTCTTTCGTCTTTGTCTTTCTTCCGCAAGATTTTTACGCAAGTCAGCAAGACGTTTTTGTTTCTCTTTTTCCAATGATTCAGCAACATCTCGGATCTTTCCTGCATACTCGAGCATGACCTAATAAAATGAAAAATAAAGGCTGCAAACTAGCAACGATCTTCAGTACCACTGGTGCCTCCTAACTTTATGAAAAATCTGATTATAAAACATGATGTTGTATTAAATAATGAACATTTTCTGAAGCTTTGAGTATTTCATAAATAACGATCACCCACCTGTTGTTTTTCTTCATCAGTTTTACAATTCTTCAGTTTATCTTTCAATTCATTTCTTAATCTTGCAATTTCATTCTTTTTCTTCTGTTCTACGTCATTAATAATCTGAAATAAAATCAGTATTAGAATGATGCCAATAAATTGCCCTGTAAGAAAAAATCAAAAAATCTTTGGATCACTCAATCTTCTCAGAACGAAGCAAGAACAAATGATAACAAGTTTTGAAGATAGAACAAGGTAGTGTACTTGGAATAATAGTTTTTAGTTAGATTCAGAAAAATGACATAACTAATATGGCAACCAAAACCAGCAATCGGTTGTGTGTGATCGTAATATTCCTTCTAAAACACTATATACTACTGCAGAAAAAATTGAAAATAACATGAAAAAAAAATCAGAAAAAGTACAAAAAAATTGATGCTGTTTAAAGCTGGTATCGAAATTTGAAGCAATATTCAACAATGTATTTTAATAATATGTTACAGGAGCTGAAAAACAGAAAATAGTCATTTTGCTCATATTCCCAAAACAGTGTGTTAGAGCCCTCGGGATGTACTATTTCTAATGTCACCTTCCAAATATTTATCATTTCTGCACACTTCATTGAGAAAACAATTCTTACCTCATTAATTTTCGTGATTTCTTCACTTCTCAGTTGATTTTCAAGTTTGGCAATTTGAAGAGCATGTCGTTCCATCATATCTCTCGCTTCTGCAGCACCTTCTTTTTGTGCTGCAACGGCGCCATCTAAGATACGTTTGCTGCTCATTCGGCGCATTTGTAGTCTTTTCAATGCGGCTTTGTCATCAGGATCAGATTTTCCTTCCACCAATCCATCCATTGATATTGTCTGATCCCCAGCACGAGTAAGAGCATGTTCCTGGAAAAGATTTGATTATGAAAAAAAGTTGACCCTATATTAGAATTATCAGAATCCAATAACCTTCTTGGATAAAATCAAATGCTTTTATATGTTTGCTTAAAGAACATTGGCAAAACAGGCCTTCAAAGTGAAAGACACTCACTAAAAAGTAAGGTTGCAAGACAGTACACAAGCAGTTAAAAAATAAAAAAATGCAAATGCATATCTGAAAAAAAACTGATATATATACATACAATATCCAACAATTGAATGTCACCTGTATAAGCACTTTTCTTCTATGTCCTGAAGCATGCAGCAATTGACCATCAGCCTAACAGATATAAAATTTTATGTTAATTGTCATCTGTGCATGAACCAAATATTTGGTCACATAATATGAAAATCTCAAGGAACAACATAGAATAGTCATGAAATACACAACAGAACATTCGGAAAAATTTAGATGAAATACTGATAATATAATAGATCACTTATGTCAACATAACATAAGATTGCTTTATATACTTGCACGTAGTTTGGAGAAAAAAGGATAGTTTTAATATTGCATGAAAAATCACTAATCTTCTTGAAGACAAAAAAAAATGTTGAATGCACTGCTGCAGTATGCTTTCCCACTCACCCCATATATTGGTCCTTCCCCTTCGTTATAAATCTGTAGAACACCAGGTGCACCAGGTGTGAGTTGCTGACCAAGTGCAGCCTGCCTTCTATGTGAAGCAAGTTGTGCTTGTTGCTGTATAGCAGTTTGTCTTATAGTTTCCAAAATCTTTGCCTAGAAAATATAGAAATGCATTATTTTTTGTAGCAAAAGTATAAACGTAAGTTGGCACATATTATGTGGAAATCGGATCATGTAGTTCTTCCTAAAATCTAGTATAATAAAAGTAAAAAGGTATAATATGTGTAACAATGTGAGAAGTGTTGATGTGATCTTGATTTGCAGTTTTTTGATACGACTTAATTAAATGGTTTTCACTCTGAACAAGTAGCCCATGCTGGGTAAGGAGGAAGCGGAATTTATTACCGATAAATGGGCAAGGAAGGGCATTTGAACCTAAGAATTTACCTTGTGATGCCATTATAGTTAAGTCCAGCACTTCAACCACTAGGCCACCGTGCCCAGATATTTCGGACCAATACTAAAAACATAACAGTGCAATTCTAAAGCACACCGATCACTCATGAAGCCTATTAAGTGATTATTTGACAGATAACTAAATAGTGATAAAACCATGTTATCAAAAAAATACAAACTTGTTGCTGAGATGAATGAGTTTGTTGAAGAGCCGTCAACATTTCAGGAGCAAGTTGAAAGTTAATTCCACTTTCCAGTAATGCTATCAATTGTTTGAGTAATGGAACAAGCTCGTTTTGTCCACCCATCTGAAAATATATAGTATATAGGAAATAATGTAGATATATGATGGGAATTTCCTATTTATTATGGAGAGAGAAAAGACAGCTTAATCACATACCAACCATTGTTATGTCGGGTTTAGGATTAGTTAACATGATATTTGTTTCAGTTGCGTGGACTCGATGGTAGAGGAAGCTTTAACCGACCAGTGCCTATGTTAAGCATCCGGCGATGGCGCGAAGTCTAGTGATTCTCTCGCACATTATTATCATCCAAAGCATTCGAACATGCAAACCCTCACAGGATATTCTTAGGTAAGAAGGCACACGTATTCCCCAATGTGTCAACCACTGAGCCTACACTAAATACAAAGTGCTTGACTTCTTTGGTATATATAAAAAATTTCAGGTTATTACTGCTGTAGAAAAATGTATTAAAAACAAAATGTGCAAAAGGTTTATTACGACCGTCATCAAAAAGGGTGGCATCAGTAGCGCCACACTTCGAAATAGAAATAATATCACAATATGATGTGTTTGTTTTTCTTCTATGATTCGGGTTGAGTTGAAATTATTTTGCATAATAAGACAATCGAGGCCAAATTTTGATACAAATCCACTTTCTAACTGTTATAAGAATATAATTTTTTTGTTGTAATATCATTCAAAATCGTTAATTGTTAATTTATCTATTATCCTCTACTTTGATGTCAGCTTGCGGGAGGTTTGGGTGATTGTTTTATGGCTTGAGGGTGTTCAATGAGATAAGGTTGAGATGGCAATTTGAGGTACGGTACGTTGGGAAATTTGAGAAATAGAACTCTAGCAATGAGAACACCATGGATACTAAAAAAGATTGACTGCCAACAAATAGAGACTTTTGGTTGTGTAGTTCTGTACCTGTAAATCATCCCCATATACTCCTGCAGCTACAACTTCATAATCTCCTGCAACAATAGATGATCCTTTCAATAATTCACGAGCTTCAATAGCAAGTAACTCGGATATTTTTCTGTAATATTCCAACGTCGCAATGTTGATGTTTGAGGATTCAATCTTGTTTTCCAAGTGACCCAATAATTCACTCTAGAAATGGAAATTATTAAGATGATTTTGTAATTTTAACTAATTCAATTTAATCATTACAAATATTTTAAATTTGATCAATTTCAATATTTTTTTGATTACTTTTATAGTGTTGTAGTGTTGCTCTTGTAGTGTTAGTATAGTTAGTTTGAGAAATGAGATATGACATTCTGGAACTCCGAACAAGATTTTTTGACAGTTCAATTTACCAGAAACATATTTTTTAATTGTTTAATTCCAATAAAAATGATCAATTTTATTCTTATTTTATAAATTATAATGAACTTTAAAAATAGTCGTCAATGTATATCATCGAAGGAAATGATCTAGAAATTAATTAATATAATTAATTACTGACCCCTTCCCCCCCAAAAAGAAAGAAACCATAACTTTCTCGATTATCACTGCGAAACAATTTATTAGTTATCCCGTAGTTATACATTGTGGATACTAAAATTAAGAATTGATCAGTGCACTATACTAACTAAATAACATCATAAATTATGATTCGAATCTAAATATATTTCAAAATACCGCACTAAATCTATATGATAAAATAGAAGTTTTTGCCAATTGTACTAACCTGAATCTTTTTGTGAGCTTGTTGATATCGTAACATAACTGCTTCTTTTGCCGTTGCTGTAGCAACAGGATCATGAGCATCAACACATTCAAGTAATCTTTCAGTCTTCCTAGTTTCCTCCATTTGTAGTTTGCGTATGAAATTACGAACCTGCCAAATAATGTAAGTTAAATATAGCAGGAGAAATGGTGATCATTAATTCAGGTAAGTGATGATTTATTATTATGATGATATCGGAACAAGCAGAGTTGGGAGTTGATTTGAAATCGAAATAGCTCCAGCTCCTGAGCTAAAGTATATTCAAACTGTGTCTCCAGCTACGAAACCTCATTAATTTACCATGAAACATCATCATAATGTAATTTCACTATCATATCTATCATTTTATATGTTAAACCAATGCTAAATATAGAGCTACTATAGTTTTGGGAAAACCGAAACTATTCTGGTTCGACATGTCCTACCCAATGTACATACTGGGTGGGGAGGTTGGCATCGGATTTGAATCCATTTACTAGTCTGGTAAAAGTAAAAAATAGGCAAATTTCACCATTTCCACAAGTTTATTGTAATCGTTGTGAACAGTTTCCTCATTCAGTTTTTCTTCTTCATCATTTTCACCGAGGATCGCAAGAACATCGGGAGGTAATACAACACTGAGTTCATCTTTAGCAGCCTACGAGAATAATAATATAATAATTTTTCATTCAATGTATTAAGACGCCTTTTGGCTGAGCAAGGAAGCAGTCACTGATATTTAAAGAGGCTATTTTATTTCGTAAGAAGATTTTTGGATAATTACAAAAACTGTCTGTTTTGAAATTTGTCATCATAAAATAGGATCATACCAATCTTCTTTCGGTTTCTCTCTTCAAAGCACCAGATAATTGATAACAAGAATCTGAAATTGATTCCAGATTTTCCTCAATTTTTTCAGCAGTCAGTGATTCAAAATTCATAGTCAAATCCTAAATAGAGAATGTAAATACAAAATCATTCGTCGAGCCATAGTTAAAAATGGGTAAAAAGATATTCAGTTTCTGCTTAACAATTTATCGACACATCAATTTCTTTCGTTCGTGCAGCAGACTGGATGGGTATACAAACTTTTCGAACGGCTGACTTCTCGTTGGCAATGGTTTGGGGTATAAATTCGATTTAAGCCATCTTGGGAGTCGATTAATAATAAAAATATACAAATATATGAAGATTCACAGAACATTCAGGCATATTCACCACAGCAGTGACATATACCGGTAATCTGCTGATAATAAAATAATCCCGGTTAAGATATATAGATAGCTAACTTCAAAACAAAAATGAAATTGTAGCAAGACTTTATGAAAACCCTGTAAATAGAAACACATTTTAAATGTCAGAGACTTACTTGTACTAATACAGCCAATCTCTTTTCCAAATCAGTTTCCCTCTGTCTTTGTCTTCTCCAAAATCCTCTTCTTGCCGCATTTTCATCTTCTAGCATCGCTAGTGATCCAGGTGCTGGTTTTCTTTGTCTTTTATTAACGAGACTCCCAGTTTGTACAATAGGAACAACAATTCCTGAGTCTGTGTTGATTTTTGCGCCAACCACCTTGCCGGATTTTGCTAAAATATAAAATAGAATAGAATTAGTAACTTATTGCCCAAAAAAAGATGAGACGTCTCAATTATATGGAGTGCCATGGCCTCCACTTATCAGTACATGTCAGATAAAGGATTAGTCAGTCAGCAGTTATGTGAATCACCCTATGGCGGTGAGGAGTCCAGCAATCCTCTCATACATATTCATACATCACAAGATTTGAACTTACAGGGTAATCGAGATGTGACGACAAGAGTATTCCTAATGATTAGCACTAAAAAATAGAGGTATCAAAAATAACCGTTCAAAACTACGCCAACAGTAGACAATATTGTGCACTGACAACAAAGGAACTATCCTTCATTACTTTAGCAAAGCCAAACATATCCTAAATAATACTATACAAAATTTGTCAAACTCATCAATTCTGTTTGGACTGAATTTTTAAATATAGACACGACCTAAAATACCAAAAGCAAGAAGCAGATAAAAAGAATGCTCCCAAAAAATTACTAACATGTAGTTTGATCCACTGTTTTTGCTCCAATGACAATTGGTATCAGTCCAGCACCATTAGGTTCATCCATGCTTCCCCCAAGCGGAATGATGTTCCCAGTAAATTTGGCTTTATCAATTCCTAAAATAGGTACTTGCAGATCAGAACCAGCAGGGTCTTTCATATCAGTACCAACAAGGATAGGTAACAACTGTCCGGTTGCTTCGAATTCCATCATTCCAGCTGCACCTCCACATGAAGCGAGAATATCAGCACGCTCTTCGGAACGAAGTAAATCGTGAGATTGCCGTAGCATGTTTCCAATGCTTTTACCTCTTGCAGCAGAAAGTTCTTTGATCGCGTTTTCTAGTTGTGAAACCTCCATTCGAGCACTGAATGAAACGCCTTGTTCGTTGGCTTCAGGACCTGGATTTTGAGAAAGTTTCATAAAAAGTTGGGTTGAAAATTCGATTTGAAACTGCAAACCCACTCAGGGTAATGAGTTATACAAGTATACACCCAACCCAATGCACCACAAGTATCTTAGTTTATCAAAACAAGCTTTAAATTATAACAATATGTGGGGAAGATCAAGGCTATCCTAATACAGAAATCAACATCTTCGAACAATGAAATTAATATGATAATATAAACATCTCACCCGTTAGAGCATCCAAATAAGCCTTCAGGGAATTTATGACTTTAATTTCACATCCGAGTACACTAGCATCAAGTAAAGCATTATATCCGCCCGCACATGGCACTACATCGATGTCAGATGTTTCAGGTATGACAAGAGGACGAGCAGAATTCAAGCGTACATCTTTTCCGCTCAGAGGCTCTTTGAATGAATTACCAAATAAAAGGGGGACTCGCAACCTGGAGCTAGATGATGCACTCGACATTGTGGTTCCACCCAACTGTAAAACGCAGAGATTGAAATAAGATGATTATCATTTCAAAGTTGTAAAATGATTTGAATAATGTTATTGATAATTCCAATATACCTTAAACGAGGTAAAGTCCTGTTACATTTTCAAATTTTGTTATGAAGTCAGTATTCTATATATCATAACAAGGTTTGTTTAATTTTATTCAGTGTTCACTTAACCTGTTTTAGACGCCCAATCGAGCCCAATTTTGAATACCCATTTTTATTAATGTCATACGACTCCCAAAATTTACCCAATATACAATAATTATACACCATTGGAAAGGTATTTTAGAGTACTATACGCTAGATGTCACTGGAGGACCGTAAACTAAAACACCTCTTTCAAGAGGTCTCTCGTAACGTCAAAAAATAACAAAAATATTTACACTCTCTCATTCTATCAGCTGTTGGACGTCTATAGCTATTGTAAAGCTGAAATGTGACTATACAGTTGACTGCACATTGGTTTTCTCTTTCATATGATACTAAACGCTTTTCCATAGCGCGCGTCGTTCAATCGTTTTGGAAATTTTCCGTTTGAGAAGTCACCACATCGAATCAGGCCAGGCTAAGCTTGATAGATCGATCGGTTGTTTGTTTGTGCTTTATCGCGTTGAAAGCTTTTGTGAGACATAATAAAACATTTATTATGAATCATAAAAGCTTATAATCGTCAGACAAGGAGAATTTGCGAGATAAAACGCCTAACTTTTTTTCGGTGAGGCAGCTGCGATCAAACGACTCGATATTTTTATAACTTCCTGACGTTGTGAGATGTCCACTCTCCTATGTTATGTAGCATATAAAATGACCTTCAAAATAAGACCTCATCATACTAGCTTTTGTTATTGGTTAGCGCGCAACGCCAAGGTTTATGGAATCATTTTCTTGTTGTGCACCGTTTTTATATCGCAGCGGGAAGTACACGCGTGATATGTAAGCGAAATTTTATCACTTCTAAATGTCATATAAGGTTCATTCTCATATCGTTGTGTAGGGATTTCCTTTCAAGCAAGACCATAACAAACATTCCAGACCTCATGGTATACACACAGCATTGCAAAACGTCTGAAACGTCGCGCATGCGTCAGACCGGGAGGATTAGGTTAAGCATTTTTACTTTTTTTAAACATCTTTACATCAGACTATCAGTTGCATGAAGCACATCAGAGTTCTTTTACCTATGGTAATTGAATACAGGACTTTATGAACCACCTATACATTATAAAAAAGGTATTAGGAATGGCTAAATAATTAGAATACTTAAGCTCAATTCAAATTGCAAATTCTGCAAATGATTTTCGGGAATATTCAAATCAACAAATCACGAAATTCAAATTTTGGCATGTTCTGCTATCTTTTTCTTCTCTGAAAAGGTAAAAAAAACCTACCGGTTTCACTTTTCCGTTTTTGTCAAATGTGAGTCCAAGTATGATAACAGGACGATCAGAATCTCCATCAATCATTAATGATCCAATTTCTATTGCTGTTGGTAGATTTGTAACTGGACTGTTGAACGAACCACCTGGGAATAAGAATAGTCAATAACACTGAAAACTGGTGAAAAAGATAACAAAATGTAATGTTAGCTGTCAGTTTTTGGAGTATTCATAAACCTTCACTTCAAACTCGGCTCAGGACATGTAGCCAATGATGAAGACTTTAAGATTACTATGTTTTTAGAAGGAGCTGTTAAGCTTATCATGCCCTATTTATTGTACTATCTTTGAGGTGATGCAGATAGGGCTTGAAACTAATATCTTTATGTCGTAGAACCAACATTCAACACAATCTTTCCACTTTGTGAATAACTTCCAAGTGCTTAGTAGAGCATTGGACTTGACTATGTATGTTGCAGGGAGCTCAAAATCAATACCCACCACCCTACCCCTGACAATGCTCTATACAGGAAAGATTTAGGTTTTTAAAAAAAAAATAGTCGTTTACTGTGTAATCAGTGGAGCTTGTACCAAGAGTGAAATGTCTGATAAAAAAACAAAATCGAGAAGATTGCTGGGACCCTCGACAGCACAAAGAATTCCACAGAATCCCTGCTTGTTTACGGCTTATGCCATCAGCCATAACTATGCCATAGCAAATTGAACTAGACTTATCTCCAATTAAACAGAAACTGGTATCTATACCAAAACAATTGGTTTTCCATCCGCAAAAGCCAATTTGTCCCCTTTCCCTTCTCTTAAAATGAATATAAACCCATACAAGAAATGGAAAGTTACTTATTACAAGAACAAAAATGACAATCTTACCAACTGGATGAATAGCTCCTGTAGTTGGATGAATAGTGACTCCACATATTGGTACAGTAAGTCCAGTTCCAGGATCAATCATCGGAGCATTGTATCTTAAATCAGCTCGTCTTTCAAGATTAGGTAAGTCAATAGTTAGTGGATTTCCGGTTGATTTATCGGTAGGATAAGGCACAAATGGAATGAGATGTTCTTCTGATTTAGACATTTCACCAGATGAAGCGTCAACAGCGCAAATAACTCTTGATGAAATTGGATCGTATACAAGATTTCCGTGTATAGGAAGCACACAGCCTGGAAATATTTTGATGTTTGAAATTTGGGTAATAAAAGATGCAGTAAAAAAAGTTATTTTTATTTCATAAATGTGATACATTTGAACATTTTTTTGCTCTGAGCAAGGCAGTAAAAGCATCCACTAGGTAAAATATATAAAGTTTGAACGAACCCGAATGCCTACTAAATCTATTACACTATGGGTGAGGCGATGGGCATTGGATTAGCACTGAAGATTTTACCCAGCGATGCAATCATAGTTAAAACCCCCACTTTACCCTCCAAGTCATTGTGCTAGACAAGAGACTCATTGTAATTTGTTATCGAGTATTTTTGCAAATGCTATGTGTTTCATTGTATATTGTGCAGGATGGCAATATCAGGTGAGAACTGGTAAGTTTTAATTAAAATTCACTTGAAATTGCAAATCAAAATTCTTGAATATCATACTATATGAGTACTGTAAATGTAATGAAATGAATAAAGTCACACTACCTGTATCAGGATGTACAAAATATTCTCCATCGGGAATAACCATAGTTTGGCCATTATGCAACAACATTTCAGTATTATGAGAAGGAATAACAAGTCCAAGGATTGAATCAAATTTACAAGTGTTTTCATCGACTGCCAAACTACCATCAGGAGCAAATATTTCATTTCTTGACAAAGGTTGTCTTGTACCTGAAAATTTGTGTCATTGGAATAATTTCTAGTTGTTTAATTAATCGCATTTTTAAAAATATTCGCCCTAAGCAATCTACTCAGAAGTGAGAAAAAAAAAAATCACTCAAACGTAAAGAGAGCGAGTACTATTATTTCATTATTTGTTGAGACTGTTATTTGACTTAGAGAGACATGTATGTCTAAGACAAGTCTTTCATGTAAAAAGATGTTGTGTCTCACAAATGCTCCGTTCGAATTTTATTCAATTGTTACGCTCTGCATATGATTGGTAACTTGTGGAAATTGTAAAGTACATTGCTAAGTGCTCGCCAGTGTTTATGGGCTCCTCATACATAGTAATGCAATGTAAAAATTTGCCTACTTTTGTCCCCACAATCCATTCACTACATCCAGAAAGATTTTGTATCTTTGGAACTTTTGTTTGTTTCACTGATTATGACAGTTTATGCCAAAATATCTCATCTTTGAGATACTGATTAGTACCGTAATTGCCTTTTGAGTATTTTGGACAAGCCTCCAAATGTGAAAATTAGTCCTTCAAAAATTTACATTTAAAATCTGAAATATAATCTAGAATGAAAACACAACAATGATCTTACGTGAATCTAGCAATTTAGCTCCAGTAGCATCTCCTATCACTCCCCAAGCACCAAGTCGAGTGCATTCTTCTGTTACAAGTGTTGACATTCTGTTTGTTAAAACTCCAGAACGACCTGATACTTGGAATTGAATGTCTTTACTGTCAAGAGTTCCTACGAAGAAAAAACATTGTCATTGTCTATATTCTATGACAGAGTACAGTGTGTCGAATGTTATGACAAGGGCTTATAAACGGCATTCGGCATATTCGAAAAAACCTGCGACCTACAAACACTTTGATTTTCGCATCGCATGAATACAAAAACGTCTTGAATATAGAGATTTAAACACTACTGCAAAAATCAGCTTAGTAAATATTGAAAAACAGTGAATAGCCAAGCCCGTTAGCCTTCATAATACAATATATCTCGGCTACCAAAATTCTTTTTGGTAGCCGAATTATTATTACATCAAGTACAGTACAGTAATTTTAAGATGATTTTGCTAACACTGTGGCTCATTTCATTCAATACAAATAAAAATAAACAGCACCTTCTTGCAATGATTTTGCTGCTTGATCAAGTGTTCTTCGAGCAGCATGTAATGCAGCATCAAAATTAACTTGATGATGTTTTCTCATTCTTTCATCTTCCATGGAAATATCTCTCTGCTGTTGAAGTATTTCCTGCAACAAAAACAAAAATAATCAATTTCGACACAAAAACATGAGATATAAAAATGTAGTGCGGAATGTTATCTTGTTTCGTTTCTGTCAAATAATATTCAGAAACATGAAATTCTGTACATTTGAATTGATGTTTTTCTAAAAAGAATTTGGCCGAATCAAGGCCACATGTGCTCACTCACAAATAAACGAAAATCGTCACTTGACAATGTTGTGCGTGACCACCGAAATAGCAAGATCTACAGAAATTTTACAAATTTATAGTGGTACAATATGTGCTAATGAATGTCGGTTTATTCAGTCTATACACCAGAAATGCTTGTACCGAGCCGTCTTCAAACATATGTGATATGCAAAATGATAAAAAAAAAGAGTTTAACATAAAAACCAGTCATTTAATTTTCGCTTTGCTTCAAAAATCAAAAGAATTACTTTGAATTTTTCTCCTAGAAGTTTTCTTCGTTCTAATTCGATATCTAATTCCTCCTTCTTTCTTTCATATTCAGCAAGTTCTTCTTGTGTTGCAAGAGATGCTCGTCCTTGTAGATTTAATTTTGCAGCCCACAAATCTGAAATAATAACATATAAATTTATTTTAATATGTTAGAGTTATTAAAATTATTCTGTCATTGGTAATTTTTATTGTATTTGTTGTCTTAAACTGCAATATATCTTGTGTTAATCAATATATGCAAGTGTTAATATCATCAATCACAGAGAGTTAGTGACTTTTTTTTTTCAAATTGTTTTCATGAAATTATGTTCTACATGTGATTTTCTTGACTGCAATGATTGTAACATCAAATATTGGGGGTTTTAGGACAAGCTTGTGATGGTTGAAACTTGGAAAAAATTGCATTTCAAATCATAACGAAACACAAGCATCTTTCAAGCTGGTATCTGATTGAAGTTTGAAGAAATATTCACAAAAGTATTTTAATAAAAATTTGAGGAAGTTTGAAAATCGAAAATATATGTTTTTATCATTTTCTTAAAACAGGTTTTTTAAGCGGTTGAAGCCCTCAATATCCCCTTATTATCAGATATTTGTGTTCGGCGTGACTTTCAAACCAAATATCTTTTTCCCTGCGATGCCAACATTGTTAGGCTAATGCTAGGTCGTCTTGTATTTCTTTCACCTTTCTACATTTTTTGGAAGTTTTGCCACAATCTTGTATTGTAAATTGTACCTTTCAATGATTGTGTTTGTTGAGCAATCTTCTGGTACAATCCTTTAATTTCATCTTTTTGTCCTGATACTTTGCTAGTCACACCATGAGATTGTTTTGTCAATATGTTGTAAAATTGTTGACTACTGAAGTTTTCCACATCAACCTATATAAAGTATTCAAAAAAAAGTTTTTATCAACTGACGACCAAATGCGCAGATCAATTATACCAAATATAAACAAAAAATTTGGACATATATTGATGTGAGGTTAGTGTAATATAAATCACTCTTTAAGCAATTTAAGCAGGGTTGTGGATTCCACAGTAGCTTGATATACCGTCAACTGCCGGCACCAGTACAACTCGAACTATTGCCAAAGGTCCTGTAAATTCTAAATGTCCTGAAAATTAAACTCACAACTCCTATGTCACCTTGTGGTACAAAATGTCTGTAGAGTGAAACGTTTTCGCCCAAATGTCTGAATAACTATTTTTATATGTTTGTTATAATGGTTTTTGGTATTTATATGTGGTTACTCTAATATCAAACGTGATAAAATTTTTTACCGAAATATAAACAAACCTGTCTCTCATAATCCCAGAACTCATCATCAGCCATATTAGCAGAATCAGAATCTACGTTAACAGCTGCAGCCATGATGGCAGAATCTCCTGCATTTATATTTGGATGATATTTCTTGATTGAATGAACTGTGGATCCCTGAAAATGATAAGAAAGGAAATGAGTTTACATCATAGCTAGCTGCAAATGGAAAGGAAAATAGCCTTTAAATATTTTACATATCTAGTATATATATCTGTGTAGTTAAATACTCAAGAATTCTGTATAGCAGAATAAGATTTAATTCTTATCCCTGTAAATAAAAAACGGCAAGAAGGCTTAATCATACAAATTACTGTGGCCCCTTGTCCGATTGCCAGACCAGATTGAGTATGAAAATTAATAATTTATCAGTCGAGCATTTCGGATGCATAGACTTGGACTGTGGAAGGTGTGACCAATAATTGGCAACATGAAACCACCCTATGATTATGAGGAGCACATAATTACCCCCTGTGAGGTTGTAACCTATAAAGCCATCCAATGTAATCAGTGGGGTGATGGCCCCCAAAGCTTAGCATAATGCGTCACCTGTCATTCGATTAATTTAAATCTTAAATAAGCCAAATGGATCCATTTTGCAGAAAAATCTCTATATTCGGCCAAATTGTACTCCATAAAATCCGACAAAAGTGAAATTTTAGTATAAAATAAGAATTGTTTTTTTGAAAATCGTAGATACGAATATTTAAAATCCTGAATAAACCGGTATTTCACTTAAATTGAAGACTTTAAACTTTTTCAATCGCTCTCCTGACCAAAAATTAATATACGCTTATACCAATCACAAGAAATACCTTTGATGAGTATGTATCCAAATTGAATGCATATCCCACTGCACGATAGTAAGCTGACAGGAATGATGTTTTAGCCCATCCATATTTTCGGAATAAAATGAGAGCTCCGACCAAAATTAAGATTAAAAGTATTGAAGTCAGAAGAAGAATTGTGATTAATATCCAATCAGGAGCAAGCAAGATGGTGGAGTCTAGACTCAAACCAGCCTGTATCATATATCTCGGTGTTTGTGGGAAAAATGGTCCAACTTCTGTACATGTTCCACCCACATCCATAACTGAAACAATAAAAACCTTGAAATAAGTAAGAAGTAGGAATGGATATATGTCCCCAATCGTTATTTAGAAGGCATCCTCCATAGAGGGCTATTGGTCTGCCACATAGATTGCAGGATTTTTGGGTAGCTTCACAAGATATGTAATGCTAATCAAAAGCAATGTTTAATGAACCGTATTTTACGGACAATAGGGGGGCGCCTTAAATATCTTTTATTCTTAAAAATTGTCTGTGTGCCTGATATATGGATCATAACCCAACTCATAACCCGGTGTGCCTTATGGTCCGTAAATTATGGCATGTTTTTTAATGCGTCCAGATTTCTCTAGCCTAAATGAAAAACAGCGATAATTGTGCAAGATTGTGTTTAAATAGTGATATGGTAAAAGAATATATACATGTGTATCGATGGTGTATAAATACATCAGGCAAATAAATATCTCCCACGGATCAGAAAGAACCTCTTGCGAACCATCCTTACCCATCTCCGGGTAATCGTGTTCCAACAGTTAGCACAATGCGATGGTAAGAGTGTTCCCAACACCTAACACAATGCCTCACCTGCCGATTCATCTTCGTCCCACACAGCAACAGGACCAATGAGCACAAACTAAATTCTATATATCTTCACAAAATGGCACAAAATCAGTCATTGCATAAAGGATAAACTTGGGAAACAAATTTTAAAAAAATGGTAAATTTACCTGCAACATATGTCTTTCTGTTATTATCAGAACTCAGCATTAAAGTATAAACACCAGGATCAGAAAATTTATAAGAAAACAATGTAGTTGTGCTTCCCGTTAAACTCATTTGCTCATCTAATTCACGAAATCCTCCAAAATCAAAATTTTCATTGGTGTTGTATAAATTGTTTTGATCGTACATTGGATAGTTTGCATTGCTGACACTGGATATTGCAAAAGAACAGAAATATTATAAAAAGGATAGAATAAGATCTTTTCGTATTTATCCCAGAAGAGAAAAAAGCTTATAAGATGGCCTAATCATATGCTAAACCACAACTTTTCATCCGCTTATCATTTCAGGTCGGGGATGGGGATAGTTAACCAGTTAACCAGCTTTAACTGACTAGCTGACCAGTCAAAAATCCTTTCGGCCACAATTACCCCTAATAAAATTCGAATCTGCACAAATTTACAAATCTCACTGTTATCCCATGTTTGAAAATGTTATTTTGAAATGCATAAGATGCAGCGTGGTTATCTATTTTTTTTAAATAAAAGTGTCATAAAACAAAAATTTGGCCAAGATCTTATGATCAACTTTCCTCTGAATAATTCAACCATAAAATAAATACCTGAATAACATAGATGATCCAAACTCAACACAAGTAACTGGATTCAATATCCCAGAATAAACAGTGGTTGTTGACGTTTCAAGTAATCTTCTTTGTATAGCTTGAAATGATGAATCGAATTCATATTTAAATACAGGTGCTTGATAGTTTGCACCAGGATACATTGAATATTCATCTTCCAATGACCGGCGACGACGTCTTGCTGCTGCAGCAGGCTGGTAAAAAAAGGAGGAACAAAATGTAAAACGAAGCCGATCTATAAATTGTTATAGTCTTGATTGATTATTTAAATTAATGATAACCAATCTATCTACATTAGTTGAAAAAGTATGGTACAATAGCACGTATACAGGACGACCCACCAAAGAAACGAAACCCATAAATTTCTTAATTACTTAAAAAATTTAACAAAAATTTAATTTAAAAAAATTTAACACATCATTTAAAACAACTTCTGTCAGTTAGTTCTACTCAAAAATTTCAGTAAGTAACAAGCTTTGCACAAAATTCAGAATAAATTCCAAATGATCTGAATTCGTCAATGTAGGTTTTAGTCACAACGACCTGTAGATCACATACATACTACTCTAGCACTGTTTAAAGTATCTTTTCAAATATAAAAGGAACAGAATATAATATCTCAGCCCACCTTCAAATTACTCGTAAACAAACTATTAGTCTGTGTTGAATCAGGGTCATAAACACCAAGAAATCCAGTACCAGCCACTTCAGTGATGAAGAGAGGTGTACATACTGCTGTGCCAGATGAACATTGACTACTTGATATTGCATTTGCAAAATTTATGACGTTTAATTCATCAGTTGTATAATATGTGTAGTTGCCACTTGAATCCAATACCCTGAAACAAATATAAACTACGATAATATATTTTATTTCAAAGTATATTAGATCCTGCATGATTCCAGATTTTCAAAATATTAGAGAGGTAATTCCCAGCCTTTTTCGTTAAATTGCTCCCTTTGCCCATATTGAAATTTTTTATTCCTTTCTGACTATGCATTGAAGTACTGTATTCATTTGATCTATAATGAATCCTTAGCTGGAATTAGGCACAAGTCGCTCGTACAGTTCAAGTATTTAGTAATGTGAATAAATAAGTATTATAGTAATAATAAAGAATTGAAGAATATTAGTAACACCACAGCAAGTACAAAACAAAATTCCTTCCTAAAAACGTCAAAAATTACTCACTGGGGTGGAATTTCTTCCTAGTTGGGAAACGTGTGTGAAGTTCGCTCAAGGCATGTTTTTATAGATACTAGAGCCTGAGCAGCTTTCCAAACTCGGAATCGGGAGTGAGAGTCAAAATTTGATTATTCCCATCAAAAATCAGATAAAAAAGCTTAAGTTGAGATAATTTTACCTGATTTGTGGAATATCAGAGACCAGTGGATCAGGACAACAGAATTCAACGAGTGAAGGTTGCCTTGCACGACATTGAGCATCACATATTGTATCAAGATCATCAACCAGACATTTGCAAGTTCCAAGTACTTTATCAACACCTGAAAATCGCAGTATATTATCAGAAAACAAAATTAAAAACATGAACACAAAAATTTCACAACACTTTTTATATGACGTATTTATAAGTATTTTACTCCAAACAAAACTGTGCAAAAGTAGCCATCACACTACTAAAACTCTGAGGTATCAGAATTTATCCTGTTTGGCATTGCCGAATTGATCTATCAAACACTAGGCGAGGAGGTGGAATTTTTACCTTACGACATCATCTACGAGTCTAGCGCCTTCCCACCTTATAAATGATACATACCGATACTTGTAAATTGTACCTTGATATGCTTCAGGTGTTTGGCAAACTTCATTTCTACAGTGGTTATCCCATTCTACATCCGTGAAACACAAACCGCTCTGAGTTCGAGATGTTCCGTCAGGACATAAGTCATAAATTTCCCTGCAATAGAAACCAAATATAGTTTATTATCAGGCTTCAAATTGAATAATCCTAATATGCTGTGCTGACCGTTCAAATTATATGAATAATCAAGAATTTACCATATTGAATAAAACCAAATTTCAATGTTTAAAATATTTTATTCAACTTCAATATCTCCGTCTAAATATTTCCATCAAATCAATAATAATTTCATTACCGGTACTTTGATATGAAGACAACAAACCTGACACAATCTCCATTTCTTTCCAAACTTATTTGATAACCAGATGCACAAGGACACTTTTGATCACTTGGTTGAAAATCTCTTCCAGATCCTGAACACTGGCATGCTGATTGTCCTCTGCTAGGTTGAGTAGCTTCACCGCCACATGGGAAACATAATGTTTGTGCCTGGGAAGGTGAGATAGATGTTGTTAATAAATAAAAATAAAATAATGAATAAAATTAGATATGTTTATTTCTGAATGGTTCAGAATTCTAATTAACATCTAAGTAAATTTATTTTGAAACAGGTTGCCATACTTCAGCAGAAATGTTACAGAATAAAATATGCTAAAATGCATACAAATCCACTTACAGAAATGAAAAAAAAGAAGCAGTAAATATGTACACACTACTTCAACCAAATTAAGCCAATTTTAAATAAATCTCGGTTTGATCTTGATATATGACCAATTCGATCGAATAGGAATGGGAGCCTAGGCTTATAAAAAACACACCCCTTCCAGAATGATATTTATCAAATTTTTCTTAGAGTAACTCCTTTAGGATTTATACAGATTACAATAAGAACAAAATTTTTTGTTCAAAAAATTTACTCACTGCGGAATTCAGTATCACACAGCGGTTTTCCAAAACGTTTTGTCTTAAACTGCTTCAGTTTTGAGCAGGTTACTGACAGATAATAATGCACTGGTATAATTCTATATAAATTCAGTAGCTATTGGCACTCATGTGGTCAGGTGCAGCTTTATCGACAGATCAGGCTTCTTTACTTCAGAGCGAGTGAATATGAAATTGCTTTGAGCAAATTTCGATGAAAATAGAACCCCAACTCATCACACATTGCTAGTTTCTTTTTATATAAAAGAACAAGGAAAATACCTCCAAATGGTTGAAATAATTGACAGCACATGGGATACAAAATTGATCAGTGTTATCTTCTGCGTATTCATTGGGATTGTACGTTCCAGTAGGACAAGCAACAGGAAAAGTAGCTCCACTCCGACAAAAATAACCAGGCGGACATGGATATGAATTCGTTATATTGGAAGTAGCATTTTGTGGTTCTGGTTCATCTGTTGTGGCAGCTTCCTTACATACAACTCCAGCTCTACAGATTGTGCAGTTCTGAATAAAAAATAATTAAAATTATGATCACCGGTTGTTTTGAAGCTCGGCTGAATAATTTTTTTTTATGCTAAATTTAACCTGATTAACTTTAAAAGATCTTCCTAATACTTGACAGTTGGCACATTGTGATCAGAGTCAGTAACACCTCTGATTAAGATGTGTCGATTCGCTGATTTAAATCATGTAAGGGGACAAGTATGTGCAACAAAAGGATTGCTGTCACAGGCTGGTTCGCGTAAACGTTGGTTCGATTATGGCTTCTTGAAGCATCAAATCTGTGCATCTGAAATCGATAACTGTTTACTATTCGCATACCTAACAGGGACTGGTAACTGGACAAGCGACCTTGGTTTTCCATGAGCTTAAGTCGTCTTATCGACCTTCTCCTCAGGAATTTTGATGATGTATTTCAGCTTCAATGTATTTCAGGATAGGAACTAATATTCTGACTTAGCATGTAAGATGGAAATTATTGTAAAATGATGGTTCATATAAAATATGGCACCAAATGTTTTTGTACACCCAACTCAAACTTTTGGTGTCAGATATTTTCCTTAATGAATTCATAATATATATAGCAATAATCTTACTTGTCTACCATCAGTTGCACCAAAATATCCAGCAGCACAGGGTGAGCAAGTATCAGCGAATGAATTTCGTTGAGATCCATCAATTTCATAATATCCCAGAGGACATTTGCTTGGTATAATTGCTCCTACTTCACAATAACTTCCATTAGGACACGGAATAGGTGCAGGCGACCTTTCAGGACAGTAAAAACCACCAGGACACAAAATTTTATCTTTCGTTTCATTGCAGTAATACCCAGCTGAACACCATTGATAAGTCGCCGATCCAGCGGGACAATACATTCCAGAATCACAAGCTACGCCGGTCACCGCTGAATCAGAGCAATCGTAACATACCGTGGTGGCATTGGGGCAGTAAAAACCAGCGGGACATGGATAGCACTGATCAATGGAAGCAGCCCCGACATCGCTCCTATAAGTACCCGGTATACATGGAATTGGCTCCAAAACTGATGTAATGTTAGGAACACCACCTGTACCAACTGGACAATAGTGACCCACTGGACACGGATATTGTGTAGGGTCAACAGTACCGTCATTTGAGCACCAGTATCCTGCAGTACAGGCATCACATTCCCCTGAATTTGTTGCTTTTGTTTTGTTGGAATAAGTTCCTTTCGGACATGGAGTCATAGGGACACTGCCTGGACAGTAATGTCCAGGCTCACAGTCTAAGGGGATCGTGCTATTCGCGCATGTATATCCAGCAGGACATAAAGTACAGTTGTTTTTCGTGCTTGCACCTATGTTACTGATCACAAGACCTTCTGGACAAGTGAAAGGATCGATTGTTCCCTCTAAGCAATAATATCCAAAAGGACAAGGAGATCCCATCTCTGGTGAACTTCCATCTGGTGTGGGAGTTGGATTTCCACTGATGCAATAATATCCAGCAGCACATGGTCCTGTGTTTAAAATAAAAATAGTTATCAGTTAAGATAAAACAGATATTATGATTAAGTCTGAGCATATTCACCAATATAAAAGGGGTTCAGTATAATCTCAATTTTGGTATGAAGTCAGTTCTCAATATATCTTAAACGGGTTTGTTTTATTTTAATCAGATTATTTGAGTGTATACAGGTGTATACATACATACTCTTTGAATACACCTGTAGGGACCAACAAACTATATATATATAGCATAAATTCCGTTTGCAATTTAAAAGTTTTTAGTAATTTAGGTCAGGAACTGATGTTATTTGCTACATGTACAATTAGATTTTACTGATCTCATTCAACAAGCTGCAGTCGAGACAAATGCCCCGGTCTGCAGGACGATTTTAGATATATCACAACCAGCCAGGATTTTTAAAAGGGGGGGGGGGGTCAAAATCGGAAATTACTAATGCCGTCTGTAACAGTCACCGCGATCACGCGCTCGTTAATAGAGCCGCCTTTTCAGCTTCTGTTGCGTAAAATATTCAATTCATGACAACTACGAGATTCTAAAATGTCCTTACGTATATATTAATTTTATTGTTCCCAACGCAACTCGCGGTTACGACTTTCTAAGTCAAAATAAAAACATTACTGCCGTGGACATAAAACAACGAGATAATCTGCCTGATATATTTAATTTTGATACGTATTTTTGCAATCTTGTCACGTTTAGTACAATTTTACTTCATACAATGAAAATAGATATAAAGTATACCAGTAAATCAAAAATACAAATCCACCGCCTCGAAATCCACGCCGAACAGCCGCCGCGATTACGTCACTTGTTAAAAGAGCCGACTTTTCTAACGAAAAATGATTTTTCTCTTACGCAAGGTAACCAATCTATGACCGATAAGGGCATATTTAAAATGACCTGCTTTATTAATTTAATTGTCTTCAATTTGACCTGCGGTTGCGCCGACAAAACAAGAGCCACTCTAAAACACCACGGAATTCCGCATAAAAATGTGTGGTAAACTGCCCTATTATATATTGTTTTGATCCTTATTTTTTCTATTTTGCGAATTCGACAAATTTGAGATGTGCTTGTAACATTGACTCCGTTCAATTGCAGAGCTGCCACTCCGATTATTTTTAAAGATAAAAGCTTTCGAAAAATTCTGTAAATCTGCTGTAAATTCTCATGGAGTAAAATTTATTTCAGTAGAATAAAAATTGATGGATATACTTCAGATTAATTATCTTATATATCATCACTAACAGGGAAAAAATCGCGTTTTCAACCTTGTTTAATGATAACACTAAAATTTTCGACGACAATTTTAAAGTAATGGATCCCACCCACAATTAACCGTGTTTCGATTTTAATGGCGGTATGTTCCTAAACAGCGAGGAAACATAATGTGTGTCCTGGGCACACGAAATTTTGCGATTTTCAAAATCGTTTTTAGACTAGAAAAGCGTTTTTAGACTGTCGCGGGACTCAACAAATCTTATAGCCTATTGTTTACGGTTTTGTTTTCAGTATTTTATATTGTCGATTTTCAGTCAAAATTAGATCGCGGGTTTACTCCTTCATTTGTCTTTAGAACCTCGCCGCCGATGAACGTATAATAACTCTCACCGAATTCACAATTCCTTGCAAAGTACAAAATTAAAATGATCATCATGTTTATCGTGGCACAAATTTGTGATTTAGAGAGAATAAATACCAACGAGAAGGCGTTTACGGCCTAAATAACACGCCACCTTGATGAAAACATACAGCGATTTTAGCAGAAAGCAATTGCACGCGTTATCGGCGACTTTTTCTGTTTTCGAAAAAATTCAAAGGGGGGGGGGGGGGGGGGGGTTCGACCCCGAAAACCCCCCCATGGCTGCGCCACTGATCACAACCATGGTAATATTTCCATCTGGTGTGAAATCAACAATCGTATAACAAACCTCAATTTAAGCAAAATTGTAAAAACATGTACCCGGTATATTTACCAATTGATAGAAACCTCAAAATGGATCAAATTTCTGGATAGTAGCTTACCTGTGACGTTACCATGAGTACAATAAGATCCAGTTATACATTGATTACAGTCATCTGGAGATTGTAGTGCTGAAGCATTACCATATGTACCATTTGGACATAAAATTGGGCCGCTCACATCAGCAGGGCAGTAACTTCCAATGGGGCATTCTTGAGGAATAATTGTGCTTTCCAGGCAATAAAAACCCATTTCACATCCAAGGCATGCAGAAGATTGTTTATTAGGTTGATATGTACCAGGTGTACAAGGGGTTGGATTTGAGGTCCCGTTGATACAGAAATGACCCTCTGGACATTGATATTCTGACGGTTCTGCGGATGAAATATTAGCATTGGCGGGGCAGTAGTATCCAGCATGACAATCTCCTGTCTCAGTTGATGCAGCAGGACCCTCACAATATTTCGAAGCACTACATGACACACAATCAGAAAGAGAAGTCCCTCTAGTGGTAGTTCGCATTGTACCTGGTGGACACTCCATCGCAGCTCTAGTACCTAATAAGAAAAACAGTACCGTAGTTGATATAAATTTGATGACACAGAACAAGCAGATTATAGAACTGAAACACACACGGGTATATCTATCTATTAATATCTGAATTTAAGAAATTTTATTATAAAATATTTACATGGCTTTCACTCTGAACAAGGCTCTGTACAAGCAGCCACTACTAGGTAAAGAGATAATCTAACTTGGAAGAAATGGAATTTTTCATGTTTGGCATTGCAACTTAAGTTATTACATCCGGTGAGGTGGTGGGCACAGGATTTTAAATTATAGTCAAATCTAATATTTTAACAAGTAGCCACAGCGCCAACAAAATATGCAAGTAATTGACCATGTAATAAAATGCCATAAAAAAAACTCCTTAGCAATTAACCCTGCTAAAACGCTTAAAAACAGTGAAAAACCGTCAAAAAACACCAATAACCCTGCTAAAACGCTTAAGGAACGAGACTTGAATTTTTTTGCAAGGCTTCTGATTTGATGCTCCGAATAAATCATCACTGATACATACAAACCTAATATGTAGGAAAACACTGAAATCATCCCAGTTTGGAACACATTCAACCAAATTAGGACATCAGGGGAAAGAATGTGAGCATGAAATTTGAAAAATACTTAAAAAGGTGTGTGACCAAAAATCCAGACTATATCTCCATATATATTCCCTGCTAAATCCTCAATTCTAAATTCAAAACATTTTTTTTACCTTGAGGGCAATAATAACCAGCAGGACAAAATCCGTTTGTGCCATCATTAGGTGTACTACTTGTTGCTCCTTCAACACATAAATAACCAGCTGTACATAGTTTCGATGATGGATCAGTAAGAGCAAGTTCATCACAGTATCTGCAAATCATAGCAAAAAGGAGGGAATAAAAACATGTCGCAATTTTGATAGACTTCAAAAGTACTTTAAATCTGAATAATGGTTTGCAGCCTTTATTTGATCAACATTTAAGAATGTACATGGGATATCTTTTACATTGAACCTATGGTAAAAGAACTGAACTGAACAATTTAGAATTTAAATCATACAACGTACAACTTTTTTTTATAAAAACAACATATGGTGATTTAAATTTGACAAGGGTCTAAGAATGCAGCCGCAAATATAGCCCATAATTCTGGCGCAAAACTTCGAATTCATTCATCAGACATTATGCCAAGCATCTCCAAAAATAAAACCTTGAATTAGAAATCAGAATCCCAAATATGCTGCAAAAAGCTCAAACCTAATAACTGACCATATGCACTTGGTTTGTTACGAACAAATGTGGATACAACAACCCATTTTGAGAATTTTAGAACCAATCGATTTTCATGAATTCGTTTGTTGATTCTAGTTCTCAAATGAAAATGCTAAAAATATAGACGATTGGGTATGGCACCAGGGTTGTGTGTCAGGTTTAGAGTTTCGTATGTGCAAGTGCAAGCACCCAAATATTAACCAGTTATACCTCAGTTCTGCTTTAGTACAGTTTTAATGTCATTTTTCACTGGAAAAATGTGAAGTGCCAGTCGTCTATATTATTTGGCTATGTTGGTAAGTGCTTCTCATTAGGATATAAATAAAATTTAATCCTAAATGTGATACAATGAACCCCCAGATTCAATGCTTCTATTCAGTCCAAATTTTCTTACCTTCCTGATGGACATGGAATACATTTTGATGCTGCATCTAATCCCGTCTGATTTGAAAATGTTCCTGATCCACATTGTCCGAGATTCTTAGCAGTTTTTGCAACACAAAAATATCCTTCAGGACAAATCAAAGGTGTTGACATTCCAGTATCAGGACAATAAAATCCAGCATCACAATCTTTACATACGCTTTGTCTCGTCTCCGATTGGTAGGTACCTTCCTCACAAGCAATTTCTTTTACAACCCCAGCCGGACACCTATGACCAACTGGACATTCATAACCAGTGGTGTTGTCAACAGGGTTTGAGACAGATGCTCCACCAATACAAACGAAGCCAGGATCACAGTTATTCGTAACACCAGTAACTGAAGACTCCTCTGTACAATACTTCCCAGCAGCGCATGCTTTACAATCCTCTACTTTTTTGTTGTTAGTAGTTTCGGAAATTGTACCAGCTGGACAAACCTCAGGAGAAGAGCTTCCTTCTATACAGAATGAGCCTTTCGGACAATCATGTTGAGTGCTTGTAACTGCACCACCATCACAATAATACCCTGCGTCACAAAAACCATCTCCTGTTCCTTCTGTCTGTCCTGGGTTGTAACAATAATATCTCGGAAGACAATCCAGACAATCAGATGCTGAAGTTCTTCCCGTTTCATTATTATATTTTCCAGCTGGACATAGGTATTCATTTTCTGCCTTAGTTTCTATAGGACAATAACTACCGACTGGACATAATGTCGGGGTATCCACAGGCATTAAAGGACTTGTTGGACAGTAATATCCCGCCGGACAAGACTGACAATCGCTTTGCTTTGTTAAATTTTGAAAGAATCCTGTATTACATGGTATAGGTGCAGCGGGATCGCCAGATGGACATTTATAACCAGGTTGACATTCATTGGAAGAGTTTGTGTCTGATATAGAACCTTCTGGACAATAATACCCTGGTGCACAAGGTCCATTTACTGTGCTACGACCAACAGAGTTACAATAACTCCCTGCAGGACAAGCAAAGCAGTTTGCAATAGATTCACCTCTTACGTCTGGTCGGTATGTACCTATAGGACATGGCATGGGTGATGGAGTGGCCTCTTCACAATAAAAGCCCTGAAAACAAGAAACATGTTACAAATATAAAGAATGGAAAACTGTTAATAGACCTGATGCCGTAAGACTATAAATCTCCCATTTATTTGAGCAGCTGCAACATTTAGATAGGCCATATTTTTTCTTTGTATTTACAATTGACATGGTAAATTATCATTACATATTCAATTTATCTCTTTTTTATTTTAGTCTCTAATATGTTAATTGTTTTCAATTTTCTAAATTCTGTTTTTGCTACTAACCCTATGTGGGAGAAGACAAAAATATGGCTAAAAAAAAAAATTGGTGTTGTATTATATGGAACCTAAAATATTGACTTGCTCTTAAAAATATACCACCATCAGTGCTAAAAGTTCCCATTAGCACGCAAAATTTATTGGTTTGTGATTAATAGATTTTATTTCGAAAATTAAATAAAATGTCACTATTATAAACTTTCAACTGAATTTACCAGCATGAAAGATCACTTAAAACTGCAAACAAACAATCAATAGACAAATCTTTGCATATTATAACCAAGGCATACTCAATATCTTAAAATTCCCATGTATGTGCATTTATGCATTCCTTATAAATAAATTCTTGTAACCTTTACATACCTTGGGACAATCTTCTTGATCAGCAGTACTTGAACCATTTGGACAATAAAACCCAGGAAGACATTTTCCCGAAACCTGATCAAGACTCGGACTTTCGCAATAATATCCAGCTGGACAAATCATGTGATCTGTAGTACCTTGCGGACAATAATACTGAATTTCACATGGGGTTCCATCTTGGGGTGTTTTGGCCCCACCGGTACAATACCATCTAGCATCACACAAATTTGGTTCAGGATCAATTGTCCCAGTGCCAGGACAGTAGCGCCCACGAGGACAAGACAGACAATCTGATTTTTGTGTTTGTGTTGTCTTGTTATTGTAAGTACCAGCTTCACAAGCATACTGAGTTGCAAATTCTGTTCCTTGTGGACAGTAGTGGCCTGCAAAAAAAAAAGACATTGTTTTATATAACTATTAGCTGGAGTTATACCTATCCTTATGGGGATTTTCATTGAGATGAAATGACTTGATCATGTGGCGAACCACAGCCTCTGGTCTAGTTACCAGTTCATGTTGGGTATTGGAATAGAAAACCAGTCAGTTGTTACAAGTTTATGGACTTTATGTGGGAAGAGCCGTAACCGACCAGCAGTTACGTGAACCACCCTACGACGGTGAGAAGTCGATACTACTCTAAATGATTTAAGAGTCTTGCTGCACACTGACCAAAATATATTTTCGTAAATGTTTCATCTGTCCAAAATAGAACTCCTTCAGACAAACATATTTGAATATTATAGAAATAAATTTGTGTCAGTGTGAAGCAAGACTACTGAAACACATACATTGCTTCGTATCAGAACATTTTGTAATCTAGAATTTTTGAAAAGTCAAATTAATTACCGTAAGTCAAATCAATTTTAAAGGTAATGTTATACAAGTTTTTATATGACCAAAAATATTGTCAAATTTAATGAAAACTGTTATGTTAAGGTAGAGAAGGCAACTTTTCAGTCTGTTATCAAATGAAATACAAATTTCCCCTGCTCAAAACAAAACTTTGACATGTTGAAACATTACTTATTCATGTACTGCTGCAAGCTGACAAACAAAATAGTGGAACACACATAGTACATACCAAGTGGACATATATTCGGCAAATATTGTGCTGTTGCATTCACACAGTAATAACCAGGAGGACAAGGTAAGCAAGCTGATTTTCCTGGTTCATCAATATATGTTCCAGGTGCACAAGGCTAAAGAGAAAAATAGAGAATTTGCATCTTGTTTAATGTTAAAAGCAATTCATTATAGCACATGATGTTCCACATTATTAATCTGAACAAGATTTTGGTCAAGCCGCTACTGATGCATATGAACCTGCTATATTTTGTAAAAAAACAGAAAATATTTCCGATTCCATATAGACTTGGGTATGATGGGTATGAATCTGTCTATCTGTTGAATTTGCCAAGTAGCCATTTTGTAAAAAGGGTAGAAATATCCTGAAAACAACTTTGGGAAAAAAGTGAATCGCACACATATAAAGTAATAATGCATAGTCTTAACTATACTATTGATAGAAATCAATCCATTAAAGCACTCTATGATGCCACCTTGATCCATGACCCTTGGTTAAAATGAATAATTGAAGTGTATTCGAGAATTGCATAAAGCATACCTCAGGTGCTGAACTGCCAGCTTCACAAAAGAATCCGGCAGGGCAAATGTTTCCTATACTTGGATAGGGTGAACCAAATGTGATATTGCATACACCATCCAAATTAACAGGCTGATTTGTCCATACTCCAGTTTCACAGTAATATCCTGCAGCACAATCTCCAGATGTTGTAGTTTTTGCTGTTCCTTCGCAGAATTTTGACGGATCACACGCTTTACAATCAGACACTTTCTGTCCGCCAGGTGTTGGTAAATAGGTTCCCGTCGGACATGGTTTATAGTCAGAACCTAGAAAAAAAAAAAGTAAAATATGATGGCATAGTGGTTAAAAAGTTGGCATTGCAGGTTACACAACTTGAGTTCAGATCCCATGCCCCCAACCTCACTCATTAAATAATAAATTGGGTACGCTATGCCAAACTGGAAAGACTATAATACTTTCAAAAATAGTAACTTAATGCAGTGGATGATAAGAGATTATTTCGAGTTGATCAAAAAAGTGAAAGTATAAAAATGTTTGCTCCTTTACTACTTGAAATACTATGCTTTCTTTTTTTTATTGTATATTAATACTGTATATTGGTACTATTGAAAAAAGGTTTTTGAAATGCAGTTAAGTGTGAAATGTTACTTCACTCCGAACATATCTATAACTGAACTATAATCTATAACTAATCTATAAATAATCTCTTGTCAAGTTTATATGAAGTAAGTTTAAATTTGTCATAAAGAAACAAACCTCATAAAATATTCTTACCTGTGCCTTCTGGACAATAATACCCTTGCGGACAATCTACCAATAATGAACTGCCATCTCCTGATACAATGTTACTAGTCAAACAATAAGAGCCAGCAGGACATGGAACACAGTTTGATGATCCAGGTGATGGTGCATACAATCCATCACCACATGCCTGTGGTTCTGAAGATTGTACTGGACAATACATACCAATAGGACAAGTTATTTGCGTGGCTGAACTGCTTCCATTTGGACAGTAATATCCTGAATAAAATACATGAGATTAAATCAGAAGTTGATATAAGAAAAAACTTGAAACTTTTCCAGCTGTATTACCCAATTGACTGTGAGCTCTTATCCAATTTTTATTACTGTACCATCTGAACAAAAAAATTTTATGCAAGAAACTCTTAAAGAATTTTATGCAAGAAAATTTTTTCATAAAACTTACTAATCGTACCAAGTTGAACTTTTTAAATATACCCTTTTGACACAGAAAAGTATAAGCAAAAGTTTTTTCCAACAACACCCAGTTCCCTAGCTGTTTATCTATCTATTTTTCAAATTTTATTACAGCAACTTGATTCCTATGATCGTTGTATTCGCAGTTATAACTTGTTTTGCCTAAAAAACTTGGACTATGAAAGAGTTTGTTGAAATGAAAGAGTTTATAAGATTATATAATTTATCAATCCGGTACTATCTAGTTCAAGGACACATGCGGATCCGAATTAGAGTAGAAAAGGAAAATAGACTTGCAATTCAATTCACATTATCCTAGTACCCTCAAATGAAATAATATGCAATAATTTTTTACCATACCTTGCTGGCATTGTCCTGTAACATTAGTTTGACCTGTAGTATCACAATAAAATCCTTCTAAACATTCCAAACATTCAGATTGGGCTTTTAAGCCTTCAGCATTGGAAAATGTTGAAACCGAACAATCCGTAGGTGTGCTACTTTTTGCAGGACAATATGATCCAGGTGGACAACGAATCTAAACATCAATTTATTGCATTTTACACCTGTATGAAACAACTAAGTATGAAGATTCCTTCTACCAAAGTGTGTTTAGCAAATAGTGATTCCCATTGTAAAGACTGAAGCAAACTCAAGAAAATTCTTCAAATCAGTTTTTCTCAAACATCCATGATCCATGGTCCCCTTCTGAAGTCTCTGCTCTTCCACAGGAATCCTTCAATGTGTTTTCATCAGTATTTTTATGTTTGACATTGAAATACGAAGAAAAATACCAAACGAAAGCAAAGGAATACATTGCAGCCGAAAAGTTGAAGGTAAATTAATGCAATCATCGTCAATGGTGCCTAGTAAAAGTACCATGTATAATATTATTTACCTCTTGTGCATTGCTTGATCCTGTAGGACAATAAAACCCTGCTTCACAATCACCTGCAACTGATGTTAAATTTGTTGCATCACAATAGAACCTTGCAGTACAATTAGCGCATTCTGACGCATCCATCAAACGTGGAGTATTACTAAAATAATTGATATGATACCATAAAAAATCAGATTCACAAAATTAAAATACCGGCACAAGAACTTTACAGTTATCTTTCATTGGAAATATATGGATTTTTTCTTTCAATTTTTGTATATGACAATTTATATGCCTTTGGCTTCGATTGAAGCTCCGTACAATCTGCAACCACTACTAAGTAAAAGTCTAATATATTTTGGAAGCGCCACTCTAGGCATATACTATTTTTCGTCTTGTAGATACACCGACAGTAAACGGGTGAGAATTGACAGCAAACTGTATTGCATAAATCCTGCATTCACTGTAGTCCAAATTAAATTTTTTTATCATGATTTATATAATATACACACCAAAGCAACAACGATGGGAACAGAATTTTCATATACAGTTTTATCAATAAGTAAAAATAAGTAAAATAGAGCAATATTTAAAATAAATTCAAATCACTAACCTGAAGGTTCCGATTGGACATCCGATAGGTTCCGCAACTCCTCCAGGACAATAAGATCCAGGTGGACATTCGTTTGCTAATTCTGTCGATAAGTTTGGTGTCACTGAATCTGCTGACGATCTGTTAACACACAGAATAAAAAATGCCGGAATTTTCGTGTCAAAAACGAAAAATTTACAAATTCTCAATTCCAAATATTGGTGAAAGGTAAGAATGCAACCAAACAAGAACAGATAATAGTAATATGAAAAAAAACGTTTTTGTATATAACGACTATTCATGATTTTCAAACAAGGCCCTATGAAACAATTCCGTGAAATCAATACAAATAAGCAAAATGCTAGAAATTTTGAGTGAACTAGTGGGAGTGGAATTGGAATCGGAGATTGTAACTTGCGATGCCAACAAAACTAAGTCTAACGTTTTGACTGCTAAGACATAGCTCTGTACAAATAATATCATAACCATACTGCAGTGAAACAATACTATCAAGATAGCTGTAATCTGTAATTATATATACCTGCAATAATATCCAGCATTACATTTCCTATATGGATATGTCAGACCAGTTTCATCACATGCATACGTTCCTAGGCATTTGATGCAACCTGATTCAGTTTGTAAACCTGTTCCGTTGTAGAAAGTGCCTGAAAAAAAATGATTTGTCAAAATAGTCAAGAGAGTATTCGGCACTAAGCTGCAAATTTGAAATAAAGCAACACTGAATGGAAGTTTGGTTGTTTCTGAAAAAATGGGGAAATGCAAATAACATCTTTTTGCAGTAATTATTCGATCCTCAGATATTTTTTGTGACAAGTTATCTCAGATTTAATAATTTATACTTGATTGTTGATTATGGATCAAATTTCTTGACAACCTTTAAATCTGTTGACATCAGGTTTATAGTGCTTGAAGATAGAAGAGGTCACTTGTATGGAAAAATTTTCTTACAAGGTTAATATGTAATATCAAATTTTGCTGTTTTTTAATCAAGTATTGGGCACACCTTTCCATTACAGCAGCGTTTACACAAGTATTTATATTTACCGGGTATATATTTGAAAGGAATAAAATTACTATGAAATTATGATGATTTTACTTAACATTTTTACAAATTACTCTATACAGTGCCATATACAGTGTTTTAAACAAAATTCAAGCCAAAAGCTATTGGATTTTCAAGTAGAATGTTATCAATTCTTCATTACAGAATTTCTTGTCATCAGATTTAAAATGAGAATAAAATTTTCTGCTTTGTCTACAATACCTTTAGGACATGGGAATTCCTCAGCATACTTTGTACCATTCAGACAATAGTGACCTTCTGGACATTTAACAGCACATGAACTGACCACTGGACCAAATGTTGCATTACACACACAACCTGCTGGACATAGTTTGCAATCTGGTTGTCCCAGTTCATCTTGATAAAAACCTGATGTACATGGGTTTGGTAGATCTGAGCCTTCGGGGCAAGAATGACCTCTCGGGCATGGTGTTGAGATTGGATCTATTTGTATGTCTCCTCCTGGACAGTAATATCCAGCAGCACAAGGCCCAAATGGAGCTAAAAGTCCAGTATTATTGCAGTATTGACCAGCAGTACAATTGGTGCAATCAGAGGCACTTCCTAATCCTTTTGCATTGCTGAAAGTCCCTATAAAACAATCTTCTGGGTATTCCGTACCACGAACGCAAAATTGTCCTTCTGGGCATGGATACCCCGTTGAATCAGTCCCATCTGGTGTAGGAGACACTGAATGTAACACACAATAGAATCCAGCGCTACAAAATCCTTCTGGTTCAGGTAATTTTGATTTTGAGCAAAACTTTCCAACTGGACATGAATAGGGTGAGCTCGCCCCAGCTGGACAATAGTACCCCGGTCCACATTCTCCGCCAACTGTCGGATCAGTGGGGTCAGGCACAGTATTATTAGATATACAATAGTATCCTTCCGAACAATTTCCATCTGTTGATGACATTCCCATTATGCTGCAATAATGGCCTGGGAGACAGGCAGTGCATGCGTCTGATGATTCAGACTGGTTGTTTGGATTAAATGTACCAGCCGGGCAAGGAAATTTCTTTTCAGTATCAGTATTTGGTGGGCAGTAATGACCAGATGGACATGGTTTATCTGTGTATGTTTCGCTTTGTGGTGGACAATAATATCCAGCTTTGCAACTCTTACAAATCGCTGCACCTAAAGTATCGCTATATGTTCCACCATCACATGCTCGAGGCGTGATTGACCCTTTTGGACAATGGAATCCGAGAGGACAAATTCCACCCCAACCAGTGTTTTCTTCACCAGGACAAGTACAATTATCACCAATAACAGTACCGTTTGTTGGTTTCCTTTGATTAACTCCAGAAGTGCAAAAATAACCTGCAAAAATAATGAAAAACAATCAAAAACGATAGTTGATAATTTTTTCTACCTGGCTAAACATATTATATAAAAAATGAACTGGACAGTTAAATCTATCAGAACCAATTATTTTTCATACCTAAAATGGTGGCTTCAATAAAAACTTGCTACACTCGAATTACAGCCCATATTTAAATTCACCATACCTTCATCACACTCTGCATTTGGTGCAGTAAGTACAGTTCCATCACAAAAATATCCAGCTTCACAATCTAAACATTCAGCACTTGCAGATAATCCAGTTTCATTGCTGTATTTACCAGGTGGACAAGGTTGCCAGTTATTGCCTAAAAGAAACAATTTAGTCAAAAACAAAAATCATGTAGGCCTACCCATTAATAAACATTTCACAATAATCCTTTTTTTAATCTAGAAGGATTGAATAACATTAAAGTGAAAGTGATATAATGAAGACAAATCGGCAAATGCTCGAAAATATAAAATCATCATTTAGGTTTAATTATCAATAGAATTAGCTCAAGCAAGATAATTTGCACTCGCTTGAAACTAAATGAAACACATCTCCAAGTTATGGGAATGTCAAGAGCTTGAAAACTTTTGGTTCGTGGGTGCGGTGGCCATTAGGCGTTAAACTTACCTATGGTGACATCGCAGGCCAATATGAGGGGTTCAAATCCCATTCTCACCATTTCACCCGGCATGATAAGATGGGTAATGCCAGTCATCTAAACTAGAGTGACTGCTTGTGCAGAGACTTCTTTATAGCGAAAAACATATAAATATGTCATACAAGAAAAGCAGTCAGTAGAGATGTTCAACTTTTGATTGCGTAACTTCACAAAATTCGGACAATAGCAAACTCTGATCGGATTTGTTAAATTAACCATCTCTTTATATTATAGCCTACCTGTTCCATTCGGGCAAAAATATCCAGCAGGACAAGGTTGTATATTAGAAAGGTCATTCGCATCAACTGGTAGACAATAGAAACCACCTAAACATTCATCACATGAAGATCGTCCTGCAAAAAATGTGAGTTTTAGTGAAGCCCAGTTAATCAAATTTACTCACCAGAAAGAAGCCAAGTTTAAGCTGAGCAAAGAGTTATTATTTTGAAACTAAACTCAGACAAAATTCAGCTATGAAAAGATAGACTATGCTCAGTTAAACAAAATTCTTATACAGAACGCCTCAAAAAAGGAACTCCAAAAATTTTGTAACTGTTTCCACAAAAATGAAAAAATTCATTCAACACTTGAACTTCATTTTGTGTATGATTTGCACAACAGTTATGTTCTTTCTAGAATAGGTTCCAAATGAACTGGGTTCTCTTGCTGAATCACCTTGTAGGATTCCATGAGTAAACCAGTGCGTCCATGAAAGAACACTTAAATGTTGTAGGTCAAATAGCGAAACTCTAAAGCAATGTTCATTATTTTTCATTTCTGGTGAATCATACCTTCAGAGTTAGTATAAGTTCCTTCCAAGCATTGTTGATAAATTGCACTTCCATTTGGACAATGAACTCCATATGGGCAAATGTTATCAAAAGATCCACTTTGACCTTCTAAGCAATAAAATCCCCCCATACAAGGATCTGTAACACTCGTCTGAGCAGATCGTGGGCAGTAAAACCCAGCTGAAAATAATATTATTTCCTTGATTATCTTGGAGATTTCTGAATGTATATTTTAGTTAAACTAGTGCTTTATTTAAATCTTCATTTGAGAACATTTAATATCAGAACTTTGTTCATTTTTGTGTAGTCCAATGTTGGCCAGGTTGGGGAAAAATTTGAGAAAAATTGAAAAAAAGGAACTTCTTGAATTATAAAAAGATTTGGTGTATATTACCTATTTTATGAAAATAAGGAATCTTTATATTTAGTGAAAAACACAATAAAATGTATATGCAAATATATTTATACAATAGATAGAAGGATTTCGTTGAAAAGGGGCATTTACTATTGAAAATTTGTGACATCATGATAAGAAGTCATATTTTTATTTTAAAAAATGGAAATATTCATTGTGACATCATATCAAATTTCCACAAATACATTTTGATGAAAGTGTGCTAAAACATTTTTGAGGCAATGATAAATATATGAATAATGAATATAACATTCAACAATATATGTACCCATCACTAGACTAGGTCTACATTATCTAGTAAATTTCCAGTATTTTTATGAAGAATAAAACCATACCTGTAGGAAGATAACATAAATCAACTACAGTAAAACTCCTACAGTATTATTACAGTAGAACATTTTGGTACAAATAATCATTGGAGACACTTTTTTCTAGAATTTGAAAATCACAAAGATTTTATTCCTATCTTTTTCATTTTTTTTTTACCTGAGCAAAGGGTGCAATTTGTTCTCATTGTCAGACCAGTTTTATCACTCCATGTTCCTGCAGGACAAGGTTGGGGACCTCCTGCACCTGACTCACAAAAATATCCTGCCTCACAGAGAACTTGGGTTTGATTGCCTGATCCAGATGGACAATAATAACCTAGAAAAATGAAAGTATATATAGAAACTAGCTGGGATAGATAAAAAATGAAAAGCAACAAAATGACTTATTAACAAAATCTTATTACATAAAAGTAATACCTAATCTAGAAAAAAAAAAATAACAACCAAACATACACAAATTTATATTAAAAGATATATAAGTTCAATGAGTTGATTTATTTAGCATTGCATGACTGTATATTATTTGTCTAAAAGTAAATTCATAAAAATATATCAATTTAATCTCAAAGCTTATTTCAATTTTTTTTTCATCTTCAATATGAAAATGTTAGCACAATGACCTAGTGCAGTAGTTTTCAACCTTTTCAGTGGAGCAGAACCCCGATTAAACATTCAATAACACTCAAGAAACCTCTGTTCAATAGTTTAATTCCTCATGCAAAAAAATAACATTCAAGAAACATCATCTAAAAATTACATTCAGATTCATTTCAGCTCACTCAATATTTAACATGTATTACCTTCTTTACAAGGAAATCCATCAGTTGTCATATTTTCAAATGGACAATAATTTCCTTCAGTACACGGCAGACATGCTGATGAATTAGTAGAACCAGTCTCTGGGTTGTAGGTACCGATACTGCATGGATAAGGTGATGTTGTTCCTTTCTCGCAATAATGACCTGATAAAGTTAATTTAATGATATTTTCTTTATCGTGAACTCAAAATTTTGTACAACTTTTTGTTGAATGGCCCCGGTCAATCCAATGTTATTAAACCACATCCCATTAAAACCGTAATAACGAAAAAAAGGTATGCCAGATGGAAAGATAAAAGTAGAATATAATATTTAAAAATAGATAAATTTTTCCAAACACAAGATGGTTTGAGTTATAAGTTTGATTTTCAGTTGCTTTGTGAGCTGCTTAAAAAAAAAATTCTTTTATAATAATAATTATAAAAATCCTATTGTATCCTAAATCCTATCTGATTAATATAAATTTTCAAATATCTAACATACTTTAACTACTAAAATATATTTGCTAGGAATTTGTTACTGAATGAAGTTATATACCTGGTGGGCATGGCCCTCTTTCATCTGAAACTTGAATTGGTGCTGATGAACTGGAACCTGATTTACAATAAAATCCTGGATCACAATCACCAGTTGGTGAAGGAAGTCCTGGTATCTCACAGAATCTGAAATGATGACATTTGATTTGAAAAAGTTTTATCGATTTAATCATTTTTGTGGGCCCGGTGGTTGTGGCCTCTTGATGTCCAATATATCTCTACCTCAACTAAGAACAACGAAGAAACGAGACAAGTGTGATAAAGTGGTAAGGGTGTGCTGTAAAGGTAAATGGAGGAGTCTCACAAGTGATACACTGTTCAACTGTCACCATACAGAACCTGGTCATCTTGGCGCATTTACCATTCCATGGTATTGACATGAAAACACTACCTCATAAGAACCCTAAATTTCATGTGATTTATTCAACCAAACAAAAATATCAAAAGCTTTCAGAAAGATGGGACACATAGGCTATTTTATCAAATAAATAAAGATAATCAATTGCAAATCATACTTTCCACCAGTGCATTCAAAGCATGATGTTTGTGCTATCCCTCCAGTTGTATCTCGATATGTTCCTGCGGGACAAGCAAACTCCTTAGCTCGTGTTGTACCATTAGGACAAAAATGTCCTTCAGGACAGATGGAAGATGCATTGTAAATAACAACAGGAGCCATTGTATTATCACAGTAATATCCTTCCAAGCACTGAAAAGTTAAAATTGGTTCTTGGTAAACATGAAGTATTGACAAACTGTGACAAACTTTATCCTTATTTTATCAAGTTGATTTTTTAAGGATGTATGACATTTAAGGATATATAGTTTAAATTCATTTTGATAATTCAGGGTTTTGTAACATTCAATGCTATTTGGTTAGCATCCTGCAACTGATTAATGTAGAAAAACATTCTTATACATGCACTGCAAATTATTTTCTCTCCGCATAGCTTATGCATAGATCACTCTACGGCAGTGCTTCTCAACCTTTTTCCCATCACAGCCCTTATTAGTTAACTATTTTGTGCTCCCCTGCCACCTCTTCTTGTACTATCTCAAATATTTTGAAAAAAAGGATAAGGGGAAACAGATATAAAAGTAAACTTTAGTTAGCTGAGATAATAATGCTTACTGTTTTACAAGTTGATTGAGTTTCTTCATCTTGATAATATCCAGAATCACATCTGACTGGTTCTATAGATCCTTGCACACACATATGACCAACAGGACATTTATATGCAGATGGTGTTGAAGATATTATATCTCGAGTTGTTCCAGTGCAATAATACCCAGGATCACATAATGCTAGAAGATATTATAAACAGACAAAATAAAGTTACTTTAGCCTCACAAAACTGCGACTTTAACATTGACATTGAGGAACGTTGAAAAGTCGGCAAAGACAAATATTTCTTTGTTTAGCAGTATTGGGAACCTGGTTGTTTGATTAGCCAAATTCCAAGAATAATAGCTTTTCACAAAACAGTGTCTTCTTTTACAGAGCGTTGTTCCGAGTGGAGGTGTAAATAGTCGCATAAAAAAGTAGTGATTTTATAGTCATTTATTAGATATTTGATATTGAAAAAATAAATTCAAACAACTACCCATATTTCAAATATAGGATTATGTTATTGCAAAAGTTTGAAATTTCTTTGAACATCTCTGGACTATTCTTTCTTTAGAATAGCCTGACAAAAATTTCATACAAAAGGTCAAATTTTACCTGTTGGTGTTTCTGATCTTGGGTCTTCACAATAATAACGAGGATCGCAAGTAAAACAATCAGCTTCTGATTTACCATTCGTAACATTTCGATAGGTACCTGATGGACAATCAAATGGCAACCCACTTCCTTGTGGACAATACTGACCCTTCGGACAATCACCGCCTGTAACAAAACAGTAATAAAATTCAACTTTAAAATCAGCCAAAATTCTGTTTGAAATGTTTACAATGACAACAATGGGGATGGGCAAAATTGCATAATTTGAATATTTTTAACAAATACCAAATATTCAAATACTAAATAATTTTACCTAGAGTTAGATCTATTTGGTTAGCACATTGAATAAGTTTCATTGCAGTTACCTTACTTCTTCATTTTAATCTACATTTTTGGGTGCTTTGTTGGTATGTTGTACATATATAGGTTAAAATAAACATTGTAGTCTACTATATCCTACTAGATATCTTTACAACTAAGATCCTGAAATTCACAAATCATACCTGCACTACTTCCATTAGCAAATGAAGATCCAGCAGTACAGTAATACCCAGCATCACATTCAGCAGTTACATTTGAAAGTTGAGGTGTGTCGCAGAAATGCCTGTTTCAAAAAAATAAGAAAGCATTGCTCAAATATGTAGACATGAAGGAATAATGATTACTATAATTTCATCAAAATTCCATTCAAATGTTCAAAATAATTTAGTAGATGTCATATGAAAAAGTGTACTGGATGTGTAGTGTACCATAAAACTGGAGGTAAAATATCAAGATACGTAGGCTGCCAAAAGTGAAAAAATTAAATTACTTTTTAGCTATTTTTTCAATCTTTGAGTACTGAAAATAGTAAATTGGAACAATAACTAAAAGGAAAAGCAATAAATCGGCTCAATTATATGGCAAGGGCATTCACAACACTTGCACCAATCACCTAGATGTTAGGATAGGAATTACATATGTTTCCATGGTATTGGTCCATGTCAGGTATGCGATTAGTTATTCAGTTATATGTTTCAGATTCTTGGCTTGATGGCTTAAGGAAGCCTTAACCTACAAAATTCTTACCCAGCTAAGCAAGTGAATGGTTCACTTGATCCTTCTGGACAAAAAGAACCAGGTTGACAAATGTTGGCTGTACCACTAGATGAACCTTCTGGACAGAAATGACCAGGTGGACAGGAAAGAGTTGGAGTTTCAGTTCCTGGGTTAGGACAATACATTCCACCTGAAATAGATTGAAATCAAATAATTTAGTTTTTATATATTATTAAAAAAGGAATATAAAGACTCAAACAAACAAGATACAAATGAGAATATCGGACGGAGACCGAAGACTTATCGATCGAAAGTTAGGGGATTCCCCAAAACAGAAACCGTGGTTTCGATTCATCCGCTCTTACTCCATAGCGATACCATGTGTCCCATCACTAATTAATTAAGAACTCGCTAATTATACGACATAATTCATCCAAAATCAATAGGCTTCTGGTCCGAGATATGATGAATGCACATGAAAAATTTGGAGCAGATTCAACCTCGCTTTCGTGAGATATCGCGTGCATCTAACAGACAAACAAACAGGCAAATACTTATCAACATATTACCGATCAAGATCGATAAGTAATACGATATAAAGTACCATAGAGCAGCAGTTCTCAACCTCTTTTAGTTTGCGGAATGGTAAAATGTCAAAAGTATTTTTGCGGACCGGAGAACCTCAAAAATCAGGCCAAAATGTCAAAAACACAAAACATTATTGAAGGAATGTAATTATAACTAGAGCTGCGTGCAGCTTTAACAGGCTTCCCGCGTAAAAAAAACTGAAGACGCGTTTTGCTCACTGGAGCGTGAAAGCGTGGTCAGTCATGCATAAAATTCGCAATTTATGATGGGGGACTTATTATCTGCATGTGATGTAAATTTCAAGTCTCTAAGTAGTGTCGTTCTCGAGAAGAAGATGAAAATGTAAAATCCTATATTGCTTACTGGAGCGTATCGCCGAGGTCACTCATGCGTGTCCTTGACATATCGTATCCGGAACATGTCCATTAATCATTGTTATGAATTTCAACCCAATAGCATGTATCAATTTTGAGAAATCGCAAAAAAACTGAAAACGCGTTTTGCTCACTGGAGCGTGAAAGCATGGTCAGTTATGCATAAAATTTGCATTTTATTGCTAGCTGAGAACTTCTGCACATTTGAGGTGAATTTCAAGTTTGTAGGACCAATTTGAAAAAAAAATAATAATAATAATAATAATAATAAAACACAGGAATACAATAGGTTCCCTGCTGACAAGCAGCGGGAAGCCTAATTATACCAATTTAAAAGTAAATTGAGCATAAAAACATATTCTAAAAAAAACATTTCATCATGGAAATTCTATTTTTCACACCGTAATTTTGATTTCTATCAAATTAACAAAATAACTGACTCACCTGTGCATAACACACAATCACTTTCTTTAGATTTTGTTGTTGCATTGTTATATTTTCCAGCAGGACAAGGATTTTTCATAGGAGTGTCAGTTCCCAGCAAACAATAATGGCCAACAGGACATGGAAACATTGTATAATCTGATGTTCCAACCTCACAATAATATCCTGAAATAAAATTGACAATAAAAAAAAATTACTCAGATATGTATGTCATATTTTTAACTAGTCAATGAGATGTCTATATTTGACTTTGTAAGGCAGAGACCTCTGGTTAAAAATCTAGTATGTCTATTGCTCATCTCGAGATCCTCAACTCACAGAAAAAGAGAGGTGCTGAAATTTACTCAAAGCATCTCACTCTCCTCGAAATATAGATCTCTGATCAAAGTAACAGATGATCACTAAATTGCCAAGAGCTACTGAGATTACAAATCATAATAGTCTGAAATTGTTCATTAGTAAATGCCGATTGACACGAGCCACGAGTTCTCCTTATAATTGTGACATGTATGTAGCCTTGTCCCAAAGTGAAATTGTCAAGGGTTACATAAAAACTTTGGTACTCCCGTAGTGTGTGTACCAGGTTAGGGTTAGGCCATAATTTTATTCCGATTCTCCTTATTTTAGTTCTATTACGAGTTCGGCAACTGTCTGTGTTAGCCAAGTGAATATACCCCCTGCCTATAAGTTTCAGTCCCCTTTCACAACTTGATGTTAAGTAGGCGAACAAAATTAGTTACGGTAATCATTTAGCAAAATATCAAAACAAATTATTATGTCCACAAACCTTCAGGACAAGGATCACAGATGCTTGAACCATTAGCAATTGAATAATTCCCAGCAGGACAAAGTTTGGGAAAAGTAGATCCTTTTTCACAATAAGATCCAGGTGGACATTTCCCACCATATCCTTCTTGTACACCATCATAGCACCAATCAAGAACTGTTGACGAATTTGAACCGTCAGGTTCCGACCTGTCCATCCCAGACACACAGAAATATCCTGGTGCGCAAAGGTCTGTAAAAAAAACAAGAATCGAATTAAACAAAAAATATAGCACTGCAACACAATAATATGAAAAACCACAGCTCTTGTTCAGTTACCGATACATGTTTGATTTCAGAATAGTTATTCAGTTATTCCACTTTAAATGTTTCAATTTGATAGCGGAGGAAGCCATCATCGTAAAATCCACTCACATTTAAAAACACTCTCAAAGAGAACATCCAAAATATTGCAATAAAATGTAAAGAACTTTTCTAGGATCAAAGGTCCAGGAAATAATCTCAAACAAAAACAATCTCAAAATATGCATATAAAGTTTAGCAATAATAAAAAGAAAAAAGATATTCATAGGATCAAGGATAAAAAAAATATCCATCATTGACTGCGTTACCTGTCCAAGTAGATAATCCAGGTGATTCACAATATTTTCCTCCAGGACAAGGCTGACATTGGCTTATATTTACTCGATTGATATCAGGATTAAAGGTTCCACGAGGACATTCCATTGGACTTGTGCTTGTTCCAGCAGGACAGTAGTGACCAACAGGACAGGCTTGTATCCCTGATGCAGATGTACATGTCCATCCTTCTGGACATGGTGGACAATATGTTGCCATGTCCCAATCCACCTATAGATTCATTCGAGTTGAAATATGTGTCAGGATTTTATGTACTGAACATGATATTAGTTCATTTAATGCTTATCTTCAGAATGATAGTCAACTTTATTTCATTTTCTCAAAGTTCAATATAAATTTATATATAGATTTGTAACTAGAAGATTCACATTTATCTCTCTTCAGTGTAACAAAAGTAATTTTCCTTGTGGTAATAAAAGCTTTTAGTTTTCCTAATGCGTTGCTTCACAGCCATTGTTTGTGGGCTATGCTGTGGGTGGACCTGGAACCGTTTAGAAACCATGACCTGATGCGCTCATGATTTTAACAGATCTTCTGCCACCTTGATGATTACCTTCAAATAAGTGTCTAACAATGTTACTTCAATCTATATATCCGGTGAAGAAGAAACGTGTATGTTTAGCCTATTTAATTTGCAATATATAAAATACAACAAAAATTCATCTTTTTGGCCAAATTTATTCTACAGCAAAATTATATATTGATCATTATACAAAGATGTGCGCAGGAGCATAGTGGTTAAAGCCTTGACTTCACTATGAAGGCATCACAGGTTAAAATCTAGGAGTAAAATCCAAGAGTGTAATAAATTGGATAGGCAATGCTGAACCGGAAAGATTCCAGTTTTTCCAAACTATAGTAGCCACATATCTAGTGGCAGCTGCTTTTGCAGAGCCTTTTCGAAGCAAAGTCATACTCAGTATATAAAAGGATCAATTGGATCATAGATACATTGCAGCATCACTTTGAGGTTTTATCAACATGGATGTATACATTTATATTACATATTGAAAACAATCAATTTACTTACATAAGTACCATCTTCACATTGTTTCGGAGCAGACGATCCATTTGGACAATGAAAACCGGGCCCACAATAGGTTGAAGGTGTTGCATTCACACTTCCTTCGTTGCAATAAAATCCACCGGCACAATCTCCTTTTGGTTCAGTTAGACCTGTTTCATCACAGTATTTACCAGCTGTACAAATTGTACACTCAGACTCTGATTTTCTTCGAGTTACATTCGAATATGTTCCTTAAATTTAAGAAAAACTTGGTAAAAATTTTGTTTCTAACATGGTTCTCAAAAGTTTCTCACTACTTGAGTAACCGATGCCAACTTGAGCGCAAACTTGAGTATTAGCTCGCAGTAAAACAAATATAGGCATAGTTTTACTTCTACATTACTATTTAATAAATTTCCATAAACATCATATATCATACAAGTATCTACTTGTATGGATTCTTATGTAGAACGCAAGATGCACCATAAAAATATGAAAACTTACTATAAAATATGGGGTCACTATGATATTGCAATATTTGGTTTACGTATACCGGTACTTTTAACTTGAATTGTTGTGATTAAACTGTGGTATTTCAACTCCACTTGAATTTGGACTTGATCAATCAATACACTAATTAATTTAAGATTTTGATTTTTTATTCATACAAATCTAATCAAAGCGTAGCGTTGGTTACGGTTTTCTTCACCAAGTCCATACATCTGAAACGAATAACTGGTCAACTAATCCCACACCCGACTTGTCTATCCTATGATTTCTGGCTTTAAGATTGATGAAAGTAATTAATGAAAACCTATTGGGCAGTCTTCAGGTGATATTGTTCCTTCCAAACAATATTTTCCCATTGGACAATCTTCTTGTTGAGGACTTGTAGAATTGAGTGGACAAAAATATCCTGCATTACATGGGCCAGATGTTGTTGTCATGTTGTATTCTGCACAATATTGACCTGGAATAGAAATGAATATACGTAAGTCATATAGCATATTTAATATGGTTGTTAGTGTTTTTTCTATATTTATGATAAAAAAAGTTGGTGAATTGATTTAACAATAAGTTAAATATACTACCTAAGCAAGACAAACTCTGCACCAGTCACTGGTCAGTGTCAGTGATTTGGTTGAAATAATGCGATTTGCATAAGCACTGCAGTTATGTGCACTGCAACTTCCCTATTACAGGCCCATTTTTCCAACCACAATAGCATGACAGATTAAACTAGGCAATGGTACTTACTGGCATTTAAAATGTCACACTAATATATAAAAGAGTTTCTTATGTTTCCTCTATGTTAGGTTGGGTTAGCGTTAGAGTTAAAAAAATTCTCATAAATGAGAAAATCTTGAAAGCAAGGAATGATATGTATCAATAAACTGTTTATGAACAAATCTAAAGGAAGTTTTTCCACACAAAATGATCATGACAGAAATATTGAGAAACCAGAGAAACACCGCTTGTTTGAAGAGAAAAGCCTGATGGCAATGGTCAAAGGGGTTTCTTAGTCGTATATGCTTTATGTTTACACACAATTCGATTTATCTCAAATTAGCTGCAAAAATATCTGCATAGTTTTGGATTTAGTTCGTTTGGACAGCCAAATTAGGCCATACGAGGTGTGGCTAAAAAGAAACGAGACTGACGTCACAGATTGCGCAACACGATTAACCATTGGTAATCAACACTTTTACAGAGTGGTGTAATATGTGTTCTTTGTTCAACAGCTTTTTTGACACAATATCGCAATTATTTTTGCTCTTTAGGAGCCATAGGTGAATGTGATTAATTGCTTGTTGAAAAAAAAATTGCCGTGCGAGATCTGATTGAGTTTTTTGGCGATAGGGGGTTCAATTGCAGAATGACGATTGAGCAATGAATTAACATTAAATTTTGTGTCAAACTTGGAAAAATGCATGTCAACTGGGCAACATTTAATCGTTGAGCTTTCTGCTCCTCAGTCAACAGCCTTGGCACCATTTTGGCACTCACCTTTCACAAGCCAAAAGTGTCAACCAAACTGGTGCGAACCGTTTTTTTTTTGTCTTTTCCAACTTCGCAATGACGCGAATTGTTGAGCGACGGTCGCTGCGAATCAACTGCCTTTCACAACTGAACTCACAACTGATACCTTTTCGATGTTGGTATCAGTTGTGGAAGTGCAAGGCCTTCCTGACTTCGAATCATCCTCCACATCCTCCCTGCATCCCACAAATCGCTTGTGCCATTCAAAAACTCTTGTTCTGGACATGGAAGAATCTCCATAAACATCACACAATTTCTTCAAAGTCGCAGTCGCCGTTTTTCCAAGTTTGACACAAAATTTAATGTTAATTCATTGCTCAATCGTCATTCTGCAATTGAACCCCCTATCGCCAAAAAACTCAATCAGATCTCGCACGGCAATTTTTTTTTCAACAAGCAATTAATCACATTCACCTATGGCTCCTAAAGAGCAAAAATAATTGCGATATTGTGTCAAAAAAGCTGTTGAACAAAGAACACATATTACACCACACTGTAAAAGTGTTGATTACCAATGGTTAATCGTGTTGCGCAATCTGTGACGTCAGTCTCGTTTCTTTTTAGCCACACCTCGTACATCCTTATCCTAACAGTATAACATATAATCCTCACCAATTACACATCCTTGACATTGATCTTCAGAACTTCTTTTGCCAACATTATCAAATGTTCCTGGCGGACATGGCTCTGGTGTTGAAGTACCAGATGGACAATAAAAACCGGTTGGACATTCCCCTGTAGTAGAAGTTTCATTTGGAGTAGCTGATGTTGAACCACTCTCACAGAAATACCTGAATTAAAAGTTACATGGAAATATACCAACAACTTTAGAACTTAAAACATTATGTTGTTGATGCTGCAGAGTCAGGGAAAATTCACATTTGACTCCAGATTGAAAATATATCGACACTGACTTTGGATACAGACTCCAGGTTAACGAAAATTTGGACTTCAAAATTCCAGCTCAGTACTCTTGAGAAAATCAAATTTTAATAATAAAAACTTAGGCATATATATGTAAGCCCTCTATGATAGACAGTAAGAATGCTCAGTCAACATAATTTTTTTAAATTTTTGCAGAAAATTTTAACTTTGCTCATATCCATTAACGTCTGAAATTTCAATTCATACTCTCAAATCCGAGAAATTCCGTTTTATTAATGTTTTATAAAAACATTATTCTTCCTCAGTTTATTATATTCAGAATCAAAGTCCAATGTTTTTACAAACATAAATGATATTATATTTCTCTCACCATTTTAGTACCAGCTTGCAATATTGTCTTTACTGCAATTTTCTTCATTATGCGATTTTATGAAAGAAACTACATATTTATTACCTTTATTTCATTTGAGAATAGTTACTTGTTTGCTTATAAACCATGCAATAAATTAATGAGTAACGATTAGAAATTTCAATGAATGACATACCCTCCATCACACAACAAAGTAGGTTCATCCAATCCATAACCAGGACAATAATGTCCACCTCGACATGTAATACATTCACTTAATACTTTGGCTTCTGTTCTGTTATTGAATGTACCAGGTGGACATGGATTTTCATGGTAAAAAGCTGTTCCTTGCGGACAAAAGTACCCTGTGAATAATATGATAATTTTGACGACTCTCACAAAGAATAGTAATAAGCTTGTACACTTGATTACTAAAAACAGCATTGCATCTTGTTAGAAAGAAGATAATGACGGATATTTTCATAGGTTTGAATTTGTGAATTGGTATCATAAAATACTCATTGCGTCTCAAAATAAGCAAATGAAGTCTGGCAAAAAATATTATAGAATAAAAATTATCAAGAAATATTTGAAAGTGACATACCGTAATAATAACCAAAATCATATTACATTCCCTGTTTCGTATTCCACCATAGTTAAATTTAACAACTTATAGGATTTTTGACTAAATAATAACGATTAATTGTTCCAAATGAACTTGGCGGAAGAAAAAGCTGCAACAGACCAGTGGTGTTATGTGAAGCACACTACGACAGCGACGATTCCTACAATCGCACAAACTTTTTTTCATGTATATAATCATCCCCCATGGAATTCAAAGTATGAGCCAAGCATAAACGGCAAAGCAATGAAAAGCGTGTACCTCAGTAATGATTAGCAGGATGTGCCAATTGTCAAAATTTATTTGCAGTAAAATTTAAGTATAAAAATTACCTTTAGGACAAACAGTGTCATTGAAAGAAATGAGTGGACCAGGAGAAGCATCACAATAATAACCCGCTGGACAAATCTTGCAATCTTCTTGCTGTGTTAAATCTTGATATGTTCCATTACCACATGGTAGCTGATCTTCAGAACCAGCTTTACAGAAGTACCCTATGAATATAGAATGAATAAAATTCTTAAATGCCCAAAACCACAAAAATCTCTAAGATTAGCATAACTTGTGAAAAGAAATATAACATTCCACTTTATTCTATAAGTCACAAGCCACAGTTGCACTGTGGTGTGTGTAGTTGATTAGACAATAGGTTGGAAGAAAATGGCTGATGTCCCTGTGAAAATCCCAAATCCCATGCGCATCAACTTATGAATTAAGAGGGCAATGATGACCTGGAAAAATTCTGGTCCTTTCAAAAATAGTGTCTGTGCCCTTGTCAGGTATCAGTGGCTGCCCTGTTTGGGGCAAAATTCCTGAATAAACGTTGTATATACATATTTTGAAGAATGATAAATATGTAAGAGTACTAGACATAGCTTGGTTGGAAATAATCAATATCAGTTGTTTCCACATGTTCTATACTGCTGTTATCAAATATACAGTGTAAGTGTAATAGTGTAAGTGTAATAAGTCAACTTTTTACTTTCTCATAATTATCAATACACAGGATAGAGAAAAATTGTATCACTGAAATAGGAAGTCATGATTTCTTATGAAAGATTGAAAAAAAAAATAATAATAATAAATGAAAATAAAAAATTGCTCACTTTATACAGAAACTTAATATTAGAATATTAATTCACCTTGATCACAAATAAATGCTGTTGGTGTTTTCGAAATTTGCCCATAAGGACAGTAATATCCAGCAGAACAATCTCCAGATACATCAGGTAATCCATATGCATCACAATATTTTCCAGGTTTACATTGTTTACAATCACTGATATTTTGACTTCTTGAGGTATCGACGTACGTACCAGGAGGACAATCTTCTCCTACGCTTGATCCTTCGATACAATACTTTCCTGGTGGGCATTCACCACCTTTAGACAAAAAAATACTGGTAATAAAATGAATCAATGCAATACCAGTTACCAGCCCATGTCGGAAAAGAGAATAGTTGACCAGTTATTTGTTTCAGATGCATGGACTGGATGGGGGAGGAGGCTGTAAACGACCAATCACCCTATAATGGCGAGCGGTCCATCAATCTTCTTGCACATAAGTTATTCTATGCAGGATTCGAAACTGCAAACCTGTGCAGGGTAATCAGAGGTACGATGGCAAGTGTATATTTATTCCTAATGCTTAGCATGATTCACCAACTGCCAAGCCCCCAGTGGTAGCAGACATATCCATGCTTATATATGATTAGGTCATGTAATTCACTTCCTCTCCTTCAAGATAAATATGAAAATCTTATCTGCAAACTCTTAGCGCATCAATGATTACTAGCCACACTCTTTCCATTTTTAGTTGAATACTATGCTTTAAGCAGAGTTGTGTTAAAACGGGAATAGCTTATCATTAATTCATAATATTAATTGTGTGAGAGAGTAAAAAGAAATTGAAAATTAGAAAAAAAAATTCTAATCATGTCCAGTTACAGCTGCATCTAAGAATATAGTTCCAATGTTATTCATTTTGTTCAAAGCACCCCACATTAAGGACTAGTCTGTAACCCAACATAAACAATTTTACCTGTACTATCAGATCCAGTAGGTTCAGCAGATGAGCTTCCATTAGCACAGAAAAAACCAGCAGAACATAAGGCCTGAGGAGATTCTAATTCAGCTCGACCACAATACCATCCCGGGTCGCAAGCAATTGGTTCTGCTATGCCTGGTGGACAGTACTGACCAGCGACACAACGACCACCTCCAGCAGTACTATTGGTAGGTTTTGATGTTGTAGCAGAACCTTGGCAATAATATCCACCTGTACAGTTTCCAGTGGGCTTGATAGATGCAGGTTCGCAGTATTGACCTGGGAAATGTAAATTTCAATATAAATATTCGTGTGTACCTAACTTAAATTGGGTGAAGCGTGAAGACTTTTTTATCATTTTTTCCTATAAATTGTAACATCACGCCCTCCCCCATTTTCGTTCCCCCAAATAGTGTGGCTTATTAATTATAACATTATACTTACACGAGTGAGGCCCCGCAAAAAAAACAAACAGAAAACAAAATTTCTCAATGATACTATTATGAGAATAGTCAAAAATTCTCTTACACTCGAGATTCTGTTTGTGTATGATAGTACCCAAATGTTTTAGTAATCCATGGCGCTTTGCACTTAAGCTGGGTTCTCTCTGGAATATGTTCCAAATGGCCTAGATTCTGTTTTTTGAGGGTCAACATGTCCTACTTCTTAATTTAAATTTTGTTAGAGCGGTCTGATGATAAAAATCAAATGATTAACATTGTATCATGCGCCAAATTAGAAAATTGAAGTTTTTTTCAAATAACTTTTTCGATCAACTTTTTATGCAAATCCGCCATTGTAAACCCATTTTAACAACTGAGCAAGCAACTAAATTTCACGAGGTAAATCAAAATTTACCTGCTGGGCAAGGCAAGCAATCATTCAGACTTTTTCCTTCTTCATTTTCATTGTATGAACCAGCCGGACATTTATAAAAATACATTGATATTGTTCCATTCAAACAATAATGACCAGCGGGACATGGTTGCGGAATACTTGTATTTAATAAACAATAAGATCCCTGTAAAATAGAAAGGGTAAATTACGATTTAGCTTTTTAGGATTTGAATCTCCATGGTAGACAACGATTACGAAGTATTCTTTCATTTGCTAGATAACGTTGACTACATATAAAAATAGTGAAAATTGATACATGCCCAAGTAACAAAAGGTAGAATTCAAAATAATCTATTCTAGTTATCGAGAATAAATCTACGCATCTGAAACAAATAACTGATTGATTATTCCCGAACCCGCGGGAACTGGTAACCAGACAAGAGGCTGTGCCATATGATCGAGCCATCTTGTCGGCGTTCTTCTTGCCTGGGAAAAATATGAAAATCCTAACCCGATCTCCTGATCATCTCTTACCGATTGGTATCAGTCTATTACCATCCTCGAAATTTCGGAAAAATTATCTTATATTAAAACCTTCTATTAATTGCTAGAAGTAAATGAAACTCACAATTCAATATCAAGCTTTGAAAATACAACAACGCACTAACCTCTGGACAAATTTTGCAGACAGACTGGCCTTCACTATCAGTATAAGATCCTGCAGGACAAAGTTTTGGAATTTCACTTTGTTCAGGGCAAAAGCTTCCCCTGGGGCAGATATCACCCCATCCCGAAGTAAAATCAGGGTTCGGTACTTGTGATCCACCAGTACAGTAGTATCCAGGTAAACATGGGTTTGTTTCAGTGGTTTGTCCAGTTCCAGTGCAATAATATCTGATAATAATATACCGGTGCATGAATAGGTTAAATAGGGCTTCATAAAATTTCTTTTATTTATGTTTTAGGAATTACAAATTTGCATTTTGACTTTTGTAAATACATGGTTACCCACAAAAAATAGAACCGATATCACAAGTTTTATGGTTTTGTTTCTTATAAAATACTAAAATCATTGTCTGATGGATTTCTGAAATTGGTCCCTTAGCTCCTCAGAAATCTGCTGAGGGCCACTAGCAAAGACATTCACTGGGTACCATTCGGTATGACTATATTAATTGAAATTTGTTTAATTCTATAACCTGTAATGCATTTCTTCTTTTACTTTCGTTCGCTGGCTTTTTATTATTAAACATGATGAATAAAATAACTGATGGAAATGTGCTGAATACAGAACTTTTTTTATTTTTTATTAAAGAGCAGTGCGCCACGAGACATCTCTGAAGAGAGGCCACAGATCATGGAAAATTTGAGACCCACTGGTTTGATGTAACCGATAGAAAAAAACAAATAGTTTTTTCTCGATTTGTAAACAAGCTACATACCCAGCAGTGCAAGTAGTACAGTCTTCTTCTGCTTCAAGTCTCTCAGAATTTGAAAATGTTCCGTTAGGACAATTATATGGTGCTTCAGATCCAGTAGGACAATATTGTCCAGGAGGACATGATCCACAAGTGTATCCGCTAAATATCCCGCCAGCTGTACAATCACCAGTTGGTGTAATGATACCTGCAGCTCCATCAGAGTAGTATCCAGCACGTATTAGACCTGTTGGGAACATTCAAAACAATATTCAAAATTTGGGATAAATAGAAATAAAACAAAAACAAAAAGTGATTGTTAAAGCCCAAATTATCATCTTTCCAATCAAATCTAGAAGTCTATTGGAAAAGTTCAGAATGATGTGATAATACTGGTGATGCTATGTGATTGCAAGGCATGCAAGTGACTCGCGGTAGGAAGGTTTATGCTTATAAGTTATGTTTCGAAGAACAAGGACAATTTGTCTGATCTCAAATCCATTAGTTTATTATTCTATAGTTCAGCTCTTAGTTACTACTTTTGATGTCATATATATATTCTGAGTTGTATATCTTATAGAAAAACCATGGCCAATTTCACTGAAAATCGCACACAGCATAAGATTTCACAGTGAAAATAGGAAAATACCTCCAAAAAGCAATTTCAGACATCTGAAATATCTACATTCAGTTCAAACTAAAAATTCAAATGTGTAGAATCTACAGAACCAGATTATTGAGTACGTAAGCCACAAACCTTTAGGTGCAGTCAATCCTTCTTCATCACAAAAATAACCTGCCTCACACGGTGTACAACCAGTGATTGCATTCAGTCCAGTTTTATTGCTGTATGTTCCAATAGGGCACAATGGTGGGTCAGTTTCCAGCTCACGTTTGTCAGGATCAGGATCAGTTCCAGAACTACCAAGACAGTATTTGCCTGCAGCACATAAAACTGGGTCTTCTCCGATTTCACAGAAGTACCCTGGATCACAATTCCAACACTGTGAATATAAATAACACGAAATTGATAATTGATTGGGAAATGTCTTCTTCATATTAAATTGTGGGTGTGGTGACATAGCGGTAAAAAGCACTAACACTTATTGTGAGGTAAGAACGTTAAATGGCAATGGAATAATATGATATTATAAAAGAAAAGGGTGAAGTCGGTTTTATATTATACCTCAATCATTCCAGTTTGATTCGAGTACATTCCAGTAGGACAAAATGTTGGTTGGTCGCAACCTCCAGGACAATTGCAATAAGTCCTTTCAGGGCATCGATCTCCTCCTTCAGTAGCCACATCCTTAAAATATAAAATTTTACTCAATAAAAAATCAATTTTCAGAAACATGTCATTACAAATTAACGATAGTCCATCGAATATTTCTTATACAGGATGACCATGAACGGTAAATAACCTAATTATGCAACTACTTTTTCTTAAATGGGTCACACAGCATTTGTTGTTATCTGTAATTACTAATATCCACTAAGAGCAATATGGAAACAGAATTTGAAGAGGATATTCATAACTCGGAAAAATGTTAAGACTGATTAAAAACTTTGGTTAATACTTGAATATGACCAACCATATTTCAAAAGAAAACTAAAACTGTAAAAACAATATAATTAAAAATATATTTCTGATTAACATATTTATATATAAGGATTTCCTGGTTATTTTAAACTGTCGCACTGAACAAAATTTTGCCCTGTAAATATTTTTACTTTGCTATTACTAAACATTATGTCCTGTGAATTGTACAAAATAAGAAACTTTATTTTGGAGAAAAAAAACGTCTTCTGCCTCACCTTAGGCTGCGGAGAGCTCGCACCACCAGAACAGTAATATCCAGGATCACAGTCTCCAGTTATTGCAATTAAACCACTACCGTTACAATATTTTCCAAGTGAGCATGGCCTGTGGTATAAAATAATACTATGTTAGTACGTAATAGTGAATTTTTATCTATAATGTTTTGAATGAATAACAAAATTGACAGGTAGTGCATCGTGGGTTTGCAGGGTTAAATCTCCTGAGGATAACTATGGGTAAAGACTCAGACACCTCAGAGTCAAAGTGGATGCATATGGTGTCTTAATGGTGAAAGTATTAGACTTAACTTTGACTGCATCACTAGTTAAAATCATCGGGTTCAAATCCTATCTTACTCAGAGTACAATAAATTGGGTAGACAATGCAAAACAGAAAAGATTACAATCCTTTCAAAAAAAAGTAGCTCCTTACATATCAGTAACTTCTCATGCAGATCCTTGTTTAGAGCGAAAGGGTATAAATATGTTGTGTACAAAAAATTATATAACCGCCGGCCAAATAACGTCCTGTAATGCTAACTAGACAATAGTACTTACTTGCCATATGATTAATAAGCCCCCTAAATGGGGAATAAAATTTACAATTAAACATATCTATTGAACTTACACACAGTCTTCTTCCTTAGCTGCACCAACAACAGGATTGTAAGTTCCTGGCGGACAATCCTTCATTGAAGTTGCACCTTCAGTGCAGTATTTTCCAGCATGACATCTTTCACCAATAGATACATCTACAGCACTACCTATAAAAAGAAAATCAAGTCTATTATAAATTAACTGGACCAAGAACTATTATTAAACATCGCGCTTTAGTTTTTTGTAAAAACATTTTTTACATGGCGCTCTTTCAACATTTTTGGCATTGGCTTTTACTAACAGCCAACGATATGTGGAGAAAAATTATTTTTTAGAAGCATCGGGAGGAAGCTTTTCATTTCGGCATCATGGAAATTCAGCTCTAATGGGCCAAAGGATTGTGTTCGAAAAACAATGACAAACTGAGATACTTCATAAAATGCTATTTAGTACTGAACAATGATGATACTAGAAGAACCTATATCCGTCAGGTCAAGATTTGTTCGAGTTGTTTAAAGTCCTGTGGGACCAAATGCAAAACTGTTAGCGCAAGACCAAGCCTGGGAAATTAACACTTTAAAGAATGAATTTATCCATTTATTTTATTATAATTTAAATATGCACACAATCACAATTGGAGTATCTTTATTTTGAAAGTCTAGAATAGGAAGCCCATGTATGAGTGTAGCGTCTTCTTAAATCGAATAAAACTTATTTAGTTACTTATGAATTAGAAACCCACAAGAAAAAAGTCATACATTTACCTGAAATAAATCATTTGGTAATTAGTCATTCAAAACAGCAATACACATTTATCTGAGTTCATAGGTTATTGGGTCATTCCGAGCAACAAAATAGAAATAAGCTATTACTAATAATAATCTAATATAATATCTACCTGATGCAGCATCCTGTGAAGGTTCTCGTAGAAAAGATCCATTATAACAAATATAACCTGCTGAGCAAAAACCTGTAGGTTCGGTAGCACCAAGTCGATTACAGTAATAACTGATCGGACAAGGAAGGCATTCTTCTTTAGTAGCAGCATCAGTGCTTTAATAAAAAACGTTTTTAGGTATATTACACAGTTCATTCTAATTACACATAATTATTCAAGATTTTCCCATCAGGTAAAGATAGTAAAATTAAATATAGAGTGGTAGAAATAATGTTGTATTTTGTCGTAAAGTCGTCTATGTTGGTGCAATGTGAGCATTGGGCACACCTATGATGGCATCGCAGGTCAAAAAAATCTCGGGTTCAATTCCCATGCCACCTCCTCACCCAGAGTGTAATAAATTTGGCAATTCTGGCCCTTCCAAATTACAGACTACAGTAGCTCCTTATCTTGCATTGTCTGATTTTCATCGGGCCTCATTCCGGGTGGAAGTCATATAAAATTTCTCTCTAAATTGGGGGTCTCACATCAATTATTTTGTTATGATTATTATTTAGTTAAGCCAATTTTTATCCTCGAATATGGCATCAGTTTTATCAGAAGGACTTGTAATCTGATTAAATTTAAGCATTTTTCACCCATACTCACTTTATTAAAAATTACCTGTATGTATTTTGATGACTTTGATAGAAATAGCAAAAATAAATCAAATCATCTAACAAGAATGAGGGTGCTATAAATTATACTATATGTTCTATTATAATATTACTGTGAAATATAGAAATATATAGCCTCAGGCGCGCAGCCAGAATTTTTAAAAAGAGGGGGTTTCAAAATCGGAAATTACTAATGCCGTCTGTAACTGTGACCGCGATCACGCGCTCGTTAATAGAGCCGCCTTTTCAGCTTCTATCGCGTAAAATATTCAATTCATGACAACTACGAGATTCTTCAATCTCCTTACGTATATATTAATTTTATTGTCCCCAACGCAACTCGTGGTCTCGACTTTCTACGTCAAAATAAAAACATTACTGCCGTGGACATAAAACAATGAGATAAGCTGCCTGATATATTTAATTTTGATACGTATTTTTGCAATCTTGTGACCTCGTTATCGCCGTTAGTAAAATCTCGATATCTGATATAAAATTTAGTACAATTTTACTTCATACAATGAAAATAGATATAAAGTATACCAGTAAATCAAAAATACAAATTCACCGCCTCGAAATCCACGCCGAACAGTCGCCACGATTACGTCACTTGTTAAAAGAGCCGACTTTTCTAACGAAAAATGATTTTTCTCTTGCGCAAGGTAACCATATTTAAAATGTCCTGCTTTATTAATTTAATTGTCTTCAATTTAACCTGCGGTTGCGCCGACAAAACAAGAGCCACTCTAAAACACCACGGAATTCCGCATAAAAATGTGTGGTGAACTGCCCTATTATATATTGTTTTGTTCCGTATTTTTTCTATTTTGCGAATTCAACAAATTTGAGATGTGCTTGTAACATTGACTCCGTTCAATCGCAATGCTGCGGCTCCGATTATTTTTAAAGATAAAAGCTTTCGAAAAATCCGTAAATCTGCTGTAAATTCTCATGGAGTAAAATTTATTTCAGTAGAATAAAAATTGATGGATATACTTCAGATTAATTATCTTATATATCATCACTAACAGGGAAAAAATCGCGTTTTCAACCTTGTTTAATGATAACACTAAAATTTTCGACGACAATTTTAAAGTAATGGATCCCACCCACAATTAACCGTGTTTCGATTTTAATGGCGGTATGTTCCTAAACAGCGAGGAAACATAATGTGTGCCGTGGGCACACGAAATTTTGCGATTTTCAAAAGCATTTTTAGACTAGAAAAGACTGTCGCGGGACTCAACAAATCTTATAGCCTATTGTTCACAGTTTTGTTTTCAGTATTTTATATTGTCGATTTTCAGTCAAATTTAGATCGCTGGTTTACTCCTTCATTTGTCTTTAGAACCTCGCCGCCGATGAACGTATAATAACTCTCACCGAATTCACAATTCCTTGCAAAGTACAAAAATAAAATAATCATCATGTTTATCGTGGCACAAATTTGTGATTTAGAGAGAATAAATACCGACGTAAAGGCGTTTACGGCCTAAATAACACACTGATGAAAACAATCGGCGATTTTAGCAGAAGGCAATTGCACGCTTTTTCAGTTTTCACAATTCCATACGAGTACAAAAATAAAATAATTATAATTGTTCCCGTGGCACAAATTTGTGATTCAGATAGAATAAATATCAACGAGAAGGCGTTTGCGGCCTAAATAACACGCCGCCTTGATGAAAACATACGGCGATTTTAGCAGAAAGCAATTGCACGCGTTATCGACGACTTTTCCTGTTTTCAAAAAAATTCAAAAGGGGGGGGGTTTCGACCCCGAACCCCCCCCCCCTAGCTGCGCCACTGTATAGCCTAGTAATGAATTTTCGCTCACCTATTCTGAAACGTTCCAAGTTCGCAAAGAATTCCATCAGCTTGATATGTCCCAAGATAATCAGTAGAATTCACATCATATGTAAAATTACTGTCCAGTGTTGCAGGAGACGGGCAATAACTTCCTAAAAACAAGAGATTGAATAAAGCATTAAATTTAGGTGGAAATTTGTTAATAAAATTGAAATAGTAAGTTTCAAAAATATCTATTTTTAATAGTAAATACAATACAAAATAAAATTTGTAAATTTGTACAATTAAAAATCACATTCCTATTTATAAGAAAATTTGCTCAAAGTCAGGTCACGTGCACTCACTCAGAAATATAGGAGATTAATTTCTGAGTGAGACAGAGGAGATTTTAATCCAAGCAATATGATATACGAGGTGTGGCTAAAAAGAAACGAGACTGACGTCACAGATTGCGCAACACGATTAACCATTGGTAATCAACACTTTTACAGTGTGGTGTAATATGTGTTCTTTGTTCAACAGCTTTTTTGACACAATATCGCAATTATTTTTGCTCTTTAGGAGCCATAGGTGAATGTGATTAATTGCTTGTTGAAAAAAAAATTGCCGTGCGAGATCTGATTGAGTTTTTTGGCGATAGGGGGTTCAATTGCAGAATGACGATTGAGCAATGAATTAACATTAAATTTTGTGTCAAACTTGGAAAAACGGCGACTGCGACTTTGAAGAAATTGTGTGATGTTTATGGAGATTCTTCCATGTCCAGAACAAGAGTTTTTGAATGGCACAAGCGATTTGTGGGATGCAGGGAGGATGTGGAGAATGATTCGAAGTCAGGAAGGCCTTGCACTTCCACAACTGATACCAACATCGAAAAGGTATCAGTTGTGAGTTCAGTTGTGAAAGGCAGTTGATTCGCAGCGACCGTCGCTCAACAATTTGCGTCATTGCGAAGTTGGAAAAGACAAAAAAAAACGGTTCGCACCAGTTTGGTTGACACTTTTGGCTTGTGAAAGGTGAGTGCCAAAATGGTGCCAAGGCTGTTGACTGAGGAGCAGAAAGCTCAACGATTAAATGTTGCCCAGTTGACATGCATTTTTCCAAGTTTGACACAAAATTTAATGTTAATTCATTGCTCAATCGTCATTCTGCAATTGAACCCCCTATCGCCAAAAAACTCAATCAGATCTCGCACGGCAATTTTTTTTTCAACAAGCAATTAATCACATTCACCTATGGCTCCTAAAGAGCAAAAATAATTGCGATATTGTGTCAAAAAAGCTGTTGAACAAAGAACACATATTACACCACACTGTAAAAGTGTTGATTACCAATGGTTAATCGTGTTGCGCAATCTGTGACGTCAGTCTCGTTTCTTTTTAGCCACACCTCGTATGCCTCACGGTGAAATAAAAATTGTTATTGCTAAATTCACAGCAAGGCAGGTCAAAGTTATCTCCTGGGGATAATTTTACCATCTGTTGCAAACCCCTTGTTCAGAAATATCATAATAGTTGACCATGCTTACTGGAGAAACCAAAAAATTTCAAAACATTATATGTATGTAATAAGTAAAAGGAGTTAGACAAACTGATATTGTTTTTACTGTTACAAATACATGAAAATTACATTAATAAAGAATTTACCTTTAGGACAGGATAAGGTTTGATACATTCCAACACTAGGACATGTACGTCCAGGTGGACACGGTAAACATTTAGCACTCGTAGCTGCTGGTTGATACGTTCCTATAGGGCAATCTGTTTCTTGTACAGAACCATATCCACAGTATGTACCTGAAACAATAAATTTAAAAAAAAACTTGTTATTTGTGGACTCTACAAATCTTTCTGTGATTAAAAACAAAACTATGGGTGAAAAATACTGAAGCGTGTAGGGAATCTCTCAGTTCAACAAAATTGTACTTTTCGTGAATATGAAAAAAAATCATTAAAGTGTCCATGGTTAGCCTTGCAGGAATAAATAATTTATGGGCAAGCAATAGATATAATTGGATAAATCAGAATCAAAAAATTCAATATTCTGAAATGTGAGATGTGCGCACACAAATTACCACATTTATAATAGACAAAATATACTATAATTTCTGTATTATTACAAAGTGGTTATAAATTCATATTTCAATAACATGCAATGATATAGAATATTTCCCCCATATTGGGCAAATATGAGCAGAGCTGATTGGTCGGCGTTTGTCATATTTTCATTAACGAAGCCAGAGTTGTATTTTTAAACCGAAATAAATAATCAAATTCAAAATTTTAAATGCCCTGACATTCAGATTTTATAATAGTGATAAGAAAAATCAAAATTTTTTACAAAAACTTCAAAAAATAATTTAACTAAATTAGCATTCCTTATTCCTTATTCTTGGGAGTCCCACTGTGTATTGTCAGGATAGATGTACATGGTGAGAAAAATGGCTGGAATAGTCATATGCTGTGAGATTCATACAATAGGCACAACTGCGAACAAATGATTTATGGGTACCTAATACATTTTTTTTATCAACAGTTATCTTTATATAAAACTATTGTATAGCATTGGCAGTAAATACATTTTGATTCCTCACAACATACCATTAGAACATGAAATATTATTTGGAGTCGATGATCCAGCCAAACAATAATAACCAGGGCTACATGGACCATCTGGTTCTGGACTTGACGCAGCAGAGCAATAAAATCCAGGATCACATTGCTTGCAATCTTTTGCTGTTGTTTGTTTAGATGAATTACTGTATGTACCAGGAGGACAAGCTTCTTGTTCAAATGATCCTGTAAAATGGAAAAAGAAGTGTTAAGTTGAGGTTGAGCATAGTAAAAAATACAAAATGACCAATCGTTTTTCATTTTTTTTCATATGAAGTTCAGGGCATTTACTGATACGCAAGGAGATTCAGCATTGCTTAGCCAATTGAAAAGAACCTGGGTGAGGTAGTTGCCATGAGATTCAATATTTTAACCTATAATTTCATCATAGATAGGTCATTCGATGCACAAGCATCACCACTTAAATTTGACTATATCTTTGAATAAACAGCTACTACCTTGAAATGATAGAAAGCATTGCCTAGAGATTTCGCTACACCATGTATGGCACCATAGCATAGGTAGACCACTGTGCTAAACAAAGGGCTACAACTTAGAAACTCCAGCATTTCTACAATACAGCTTATTTTGGCTATGTAGTACGGTACTTAAGGGCCGCAAGCAATGGCCTCCACTAGACACCATTTGGATGACAACATTAATTTAAGCCACCCAGGGGGTCACGGTGCAGTTCTTTGGGGCCACACGCATTGGGCTTCACTCAATACCATTTGGATGACCACATTAATTTAACCCACCCAGGGGGTCACAGTGCGAATTTTCGGGGCCACAAGCAATGGCCTTTACTCGGTATCATTTGGATGACAACATTAATGTAACCCACCAAGGGGGTCATGTGCAGTTCTCTGGGGACACAAGCGATGGCCTTCACTAGGTACCATTTGGATGAATACATTAATTTAACCAACCTAGGGGGTCACGGTGCAGTTCTTTGGGGTCCATAAGCAACAGTCTTCACCAGGTACCATTTGGATGAATACAATATTTTCAATTATATTTTATGTGATAATTTAATGCTTTGATATAATTCATTTATTTTCTCTATTATCAAGTGTTGAGTATTTGAAAGTGGGATATTTTGAACTAATAATTGGAGAATGAATTTCCATTCCATACCTTGCGGGCAATAACCACCACGTGGGCACGCTTCACCAGTGGTACCATCAACAGGATTAGAAGTATTAGCTCCGCCATAACATAAATATCCTGCATCGCATTGTCCTCTGGGTACAATCATTCCTTCCCCATCACAATAATATCCTGGATCACATTGTGTACATAGATCCATAGAAACGAGACCTACAAATAATCGAAAAGAGATTGAAATGCATTTAAAAATCTGTTTTTGTTACCTATAACTACAATAAAAAATAATTTGCTTCAACACTGTGAAATAGGCTTCAATTTAGATTGAAGTCCACAAATGTTGGAGGGATACATGTGTTAGGTCTAGAAACACACACATTATAATACAGCGAATTAAACTGCACTAGAGTAGGGCTTCCCAAACTTGCGACCCCTTCCAGTATATTGAATTTTCCGTGACCCCTGTTAAGTCGGCATTATTAAGCATGCATGCGGCTTCTCTGATCTGCAATAGTTTGCATAATTGTGTTATGCACCAAAAGACTGAAAAAGTACAATATATATAGTAGTATTTTGTGTGAAATTGGTGTACTCTTTTCGACCCCTAAAATTAGTTGCACGCTTCCGTGCGGGGTCGCAACCCCCAGTTTGGGAAACCCTGAGAGAATATTTTGCCGATGCCTAGGCCAAAGAGAGAAATAATGGACTCTTCAATGTAACACGGTCACGGATGCACTTTGCAATATCATTGAAAACATCAGCCAATGTAATTAGTTGGCAACAATTTCTCACATGTTTAATAACAGTGTATTGCTTAAAAATATTTTCTCAAGAACCTCATTTATGTGGAATTTACATCCTGGGGTTAATAAACTGACGTTCAAGATCACATAATGTTATTCTGTGTAGTTTCAACAACAAATTAAATGATCATTGCTTGAAGGGCTATCATATTTACTTCTTAGTGAGTGCAGTTTACAATGAGAAATTGTCCACAAAATATCAATATAATAAGTTATCATCTCCTATCTTGATGAATATGAAAATGAAAACCTTAGATCATAAAGAAGATTTTTGTCATCGTATTAAAAAGTTGTAACTTTTTGTCCCAACTCTAAATTTCCAATATATGGTAATTGTGCTAAGATTTTTTGAGATAACTGACAACATACAGGGTGTTCATGAATTCCTGTATTAAACTGGGTAAAAAAAATTCAATGTACTTTGCACTGCTGATGTTAGTGATATAAAGCTGTATTGAATGAAGTAAAAAAACTTGAATAAACACTGAAAAAAATAAAATGAGCCTGATTATTAATATATTTTGAAAACTGACTTAATATAAAAATTTCAATTGTAACATGACTTTATGATCACCCTGTACTTCAGAGGTTTAAGCAAAAGTTCATACCAGCATCATCTCCATATGTTCCTTTTGGACAAGGTATAGGTACGGTCAATCCTGGAGTGCAATATGAACCTTGTGGACATTCCACTGGGTTAACCGAAGCTATTGGACAGTAGAATCCTTCAGGACATGTAAAACAATCATCTACAGTTTTTCCTTGTGTTAAATTTCGAAAGGTTCCTCCGGGACATGGTAGCTGTGATAAACAGAGTTGTAATTAAATTTTATTTATATTAGTACAGAATAGGATTTACATATTCAACATGAAAAAGAGGAAAGCCTGAAAGGATGCTTTAATCATATAACAAACGACGGCCTTTCGTCCGGTTATCAGTCCACGTCGAGTATGGAATCAGTTAGCCAATTATTTGTTTCAGATGCATGGACTTAATGGTGGAGAGAGCCATAACCATTCAGTCAATTATTCGAGTGAGGATATATATTGAAACACGATGTCTGTTAAATGTGGCTCTTACTAGCTTTATTAATATCAATCAGAAGAATCAGAAATTTCTGTAATTAAACGCAAATAAAGCATTTTCATACCTGATTTGGGCCATATGATCCAATATATGGAAGAGCTGTCATAGTGTCCGGATATACATTAGGAATACCAGTTGGACAATAGTAACCTGGACTACAATCACCTGTGGGTGTCCAAGATGCTTCAATGCAGAAGAATCTAAGAAAAAGGAAGTTGAAACTTAGAATGATTTATAGTTTCCTTGGGCAAAGTTAAAAGTGGAAATAAAACAAAAACGATATCAAGTAGTTAGTTAAACCTACGGAGAAAATCCAAAAATTCCTTAAAAATGAGAATAGTCAACAAAATATAAACAACTCAATATCAGGTAAAAGTAACCATGATACATAATACATCACGATAATAATAATTATTGATGAGTTATTGCAGGTCAGATTAACAGGGATGGCCAATACCGAATAGTTCACTATTTCGAATACATTCGAAATTATTTTTTTCGAATATGAAATTTCGAATACTTCGAAAATAAAATCCACTAATTGAAGCTTATCTAAATGTATGTAGGAATTTCCATACAATAAGCAATGGAATAACTGCTATCTACAAGTTACAACCTAGCTATATTACCAGGCATTTCATATTTGCAGATTATTGCAGCATATATTTTATATACCATGCGTCATTTTAACAGAATTAAATTAATACGACAATAGCGGTATCGATGATGGATTTGAATATTTGCGCAACACAAAATCATCCTAGTAAAACGCCCATACTTTTAAATACCAACCATTATCCAAATTATTTGTCGAAAAGCGGGATGAGGTATGAGGTATTTTTCCGACTTGTGACAATTTTTTCGTGAGTACAAAAATACGAATCAAAAATTAATTATATTTGGGAACTTTACCACACATTTTAAGTCCGCAGATCGCCGTTGTATGTTTGAGTAATAATACTTTTATTATTTCATAAATTTGAAAATAGGAATCAAAAACTATTTATAATCGGGTAGTTTACCACACATTGTAAGTCCACAGATCGCCGTTGTATTTTGTAAATACGAAAATAGGAATCAAAAATTAATATTAATCGCGAGTTTGCCACACAATTTATGTCCACAGATTGCCGTGATATTGTGCCGAATATAATTAGTTTTGATTCTTATTTTCGTACTCACGAAAAAATTGTCACAAGTCGGAAAAAGAATTTATATTTATCCCGCTCTTGGGAACTAATTTGTTGCCATTGGTTTGTATTTAAAAGTATGGACTTTTTACTAGGATGATTTTGTGCTGCGCAAAATATTCGAATCCATGACCGATACCACTACTTAAAATGCCTCACCGTGTTAATTTAAATCTATTATCATAACTCAAATGTTGGTAAATCGGGCAGTTTACCACACATTTGAAGGCCACAGATCGCCGTTGCATTTTAGAATTATTAGTTTTATTATTTTGTAAACACGAATCCGAAATTAGTTATAATTGGGCAGTTTACCGCGTATTTCATGTCCACAAATACCCGTTGTATTTGGCATTAATACTTGCATTATTTTATCAATATGAAAATAGGAATCAATATTTAATAATATTGGTCAGTTTACTACACATTTTATGTCCACAGATTGTCGATACAACCATGAGTTACGTTGAACAGAATTAAATTAATACGGCATGACATTTTAAATGCTGGTACCAGTCATGGATTGGATTATTTTGCGCAACAAAAAATCATCCTGGAAAGGATCGATACTTTTAACTATCGTTATCAGAATTATTTGCCTAAAATTATTTTCTAATAAATCGACTTGTTTTTCCAACTTGTGACAATTTATTGGATATCGTAACAATTACGGCTATAAATACCGTATTTCCCGGCTAAAGAGTCCACATGGCAAATAGGACGATGTCTATTTTTAGCACTCAAAAAAGGGGGTTTTCCATATAGGCCTCCAATAAGACGGGTAGAAAAATTCGCTAATAATTTTATATGTTTAGAACCAGATCATGTTAGTTTGGTAGAATCATACTCACAGAATTAACTATTTTTAACAATTGAGCGGTAAATTCAAGTTGTAAAGCAGCAATCATTTTGGACAACCTATTAACCCGAATGTTGAAATAATTTTGGAATGTGATAAGTACTACACTGTACGTCCACGGGTTATTTCACAGCTGTGTTTTCCTGTCCCTGTCGTGTTTTGCTGAATCGGCAAAACGAAAGGGTCACAAATCACTTTATCTTGGTGGCCGTGTTTCTCTTTAAAGTAACGATAACCAGCCTGCGATTAAATATCATGATTGGCAGACCCTAAGACCCAAATATAAGGTTACACAAATTATGCTTGAGAAGACTCATGCGAATAAAAAGCAGGCCACATAGAAATAAAAGAAACATACTTTCTCAATTTTTCGACGTAATGGAAATGAATTTGTAAATTAAAAGCCTTGTACACGAATGTCGGCAATGTCCACCCACGCAAACGTGCAAATGTGTCGCAACACTATGCGACGTACGGTCGCACAGAATTTGAACAATCAAAGTGCCGATTTAAAAAGTCGTTTAAAGATTCCCGTAAAACGAAACACCACGTTTACGGCGAAAAGTGGCTACTATTCGGAATTATTCGAAAATCAGCCGAAAAGGTATTCGAATACCTTGATATTTGATTACATTCGAATATTCGATTCGTTTTGGACAACCCTGGTCAGATATTGTGGGTGCTTGGTACAACGCATGTCCACCAATTGCATTATCACTGACCATGCAATATAATGGATAAGTATCATATCAAACTTGTAGTGGTTTACAGTAATTGTAGGTATTTTGATAGGTCATTCAAGCTTCAAAAAGTAACAAAAAACCTAAAATCTCACATAAATGGCAATTGTCAGTTGTAACAAAATTCAAATTTTTTGTGTACGGTAATTGAAGCACTTAACAAAAAGCAAAAAAATCAGAAATTAAAATGCGTGCGACTATAAAACATGTTCATGATAGTCCGCGAGCAATATGTTAATCTGGTCATGTTCTTATCACGGGTTCAATATTTGAGGAGCTTGTGATCACTTACTGTCAGTTGAAACTCAGTCATTTTCACTGTCATTTTTAACATAATATCATGAACACAAAATCTAGGCAGTTACTTTGGTAAAGCCTTACTCATAGCTTAAACTTTGACTGTGGTCCATATAACAAATAATTATTTTATTCTGTAATTCAAGGGATATTTAATAGATATTTTCATATAACATACAATGATTAAGTGAAAAAATTACCCTGCATCACATGGAAGACAGTCTGTGATACTTCCTTTTTGTATATCAGGATTGTAGGTTCCAGTCGGACATGGAATCTCTTCTGGTGTAGCTTCAGGACAGTAATAAGCTTTTGTGCAATCAGTTCTTTCACTTTCTGCTTTCAAACCAGCTTTGCAATAATATCCTGGAGCACATTTTTTATCATTAGTCATGTCCGAATATGAAGTTGTATCGTTGTCACAGTAGTATCTGTAAAATGATGATGAAAAATCTTATTGTCGATCAGAGATTACAGACTAATTTTTTATTCCAATTTTCTAAGAATGAAAGTTCTAAACACTCATTGAAAAGGTGAATTAAAAGCAATTAAAAACTAGAATTCATTCTGAAATCGCTAATAGGCCATAATTTTTATTTTTCTAATCAGACGGTGATTTGGGAATAATAATGAAGAAAAGGGAAAGTGCATGAAATATGTAGATAAGTTCACTTGTGTAAAATATTATTACGGTAGGTTGCTCATATCTATACTTCTTCAGACTGCTAACAGTATAAGATGGCGTAGTTTGCCATTTGACTCAGCCGTCTTATTATGTTTTCTTTGATTTATACAGAATTATAAAACTACTCAATCTATGTTTCAACATTCACTTAAATAAAGGAATTTAATTAGATTATATTGGGTATTACTCATCGACATGGCGGTTGGCACGTCATGCGAACGTTTAAACGAAAACGAAATACGCTTGCCTTCGCACCTATGATTATCCTGGGTGGTTGGCAAATTCACGTCTCTTGGGGGATAATTATGAGCAAAATATTGCTGGACTCCTCACCCCCATAGAATGCTTGAAGTAACTGCAGGTCGGTTACGGTTACATGGACTGGTGAACGATGACAGGACGTGGTACACCATATGATTGGGCCGTCTTATTGCCTTCCCTTTCCCATGGATAGATATAAAGATCCTATGCTACTGAAAAGCCCTTCCTCAGCAGTTGATGTATTGTAGAATAGCTGTCAAATTTGTGATCATAGTCTATTCCAAATCAAGAAGTCAAATAAAAAATTACCCAGCTAAGCAAGTTTCACATTCAGAATTTCCAGGTTTCGAATAAAGTCCTTTTCCACACCCTGTGGTATCAACAACGCCATTCAAACATAAAGATCCACCAGGACAAGTTAAACAATCACTCTCTCTACCAGCTGGAGTCCCAACAACATTCCCGCTTGTATCTGCCCCATATGGCATGTATGTTCCAAGGGGGCATTCTACCGGATCTACAGTGCCTTTTTCACAATAGTGCCCTGAATAATATGAAAAGTATTTCTGGTAAGAATTTTTCAAGAGGATAAAATGATTTTAAAATTTGCATTGAAGGTTATTTTGCTATTCTACCTATATAGGAAAAATAAAGACTTTAGAAAAAAGGTATATGTGATTGATGCAATGTTTAAACTCTGAAAATGTATATACATGTATTTTTATATTTCAAGTATCTTTTTGTGTATTCAGCAGTTGCTATATTAGGTTAGAGAAAAATGAGAAGGCATCAATTAATCTAATGAAAATAAATGCTAGGCTTTCTTGACTCTACTTTTATTTCCTAATTATAATTACTTGAAAGATGAGGAGTTTGTCTCGCGTAATCCCAACTGACAGTTAAATTCAATTTTAAATTTCAAATATGTTTGTATGTATAAACTCTTTAGAGTTACAGAGTAAAATCTAGATGAGCACATTGCCAACATCCTAAAACAAAATATTCTTTCTCTTTGAAGAATAAAATAAACTCAATCATACATTACCTTGTGTACAATTCATGCAATCAGAGACTGCAGATTTTCCATAGGCTTCATTATAAGTTGTGTTTGGACATGGATGCTGATCAGGAGCTGCAGTACCAAGAGTGCAGTAATACCCAGGCGGACATGCACCGGTAACATCAGATTCCCCACCTGTAGAAAAAGTCATTTTCAATAAATTGCCATTATTAACACACTATTATGCAGATAAAGATAGAAATTAGTTAAAATACAGACCAAGTCAAACCCAACATATTTACTACATTATTAAATACAAAGACTTGAACTTTTTTTTAAACATATTTCAGATTACTGAAACTTTAGGATACAATCATATGCAAACAAAAGTTAAATAATCTTAGTTTCATTTTCATAGATGTATTTAAGAAAATATGAGTTCTGGTTTATGGGTTATCCTGATTATAATCACTGAATAATTATGGCAATGTCATTCTTTGTACATGGCGTTTAAATGAAGACAAGAAAATTTACTATAAAAATATAAATGCCAATATGATACTATAGATAAGTCATTGCTTAATTAGGAATGCAAATGATATATTATAACTATACCCATATTATAATATAGTATTAGTAAATAGAATAGATATATAAATAAATAGATATATATATATAAATAGTTTAGTATTGTATAATTATGATCTGCAATTATGAAATCCAAACATTTTACACAAACTCAAAAAGCATGAAGTTTAGTGGGCGTTTTTACAGTCTATTCTAAAAAGTCTAAATTTCTGTTGAGCAAGAGATGGACCCAAATTCTTTAATTCTTTGGACATCATCAATGAGGTAAGAGTTAATGGCAGATAGACTAAATCCCTGTACTATGAATCTCCAATGAACTTTGTAGGAACGTACCCAAGCAATAAAATCCAGGTTTACATTGATCACAATCCTCAAGTTTTTCATTATTTGATTTGTTAGAATAAGTACCAGGTGGACATGCATATCTTACTGGTGTTGGTGTGAACATAGGACAGTAATATCCTGACCAACAATCCCGAGGAACAGCTGAAATATAAAACGAAAAATTATTAATAAAGATGTATATTTTATTTAAGATGATGCGTTTTAACACATTGCGCTTCGACAAGGTCCTATACAAGATTTCTAATGATATGTAAAGAATTACATTTGTTTTCATTATAAGTTTCATCGCTCCAGAAGTGTGTACCAATATGGAGGTAACTAATTTTGTTCGCCTACTTTACATCAAGTTGTGTAAAGGGACTGAAACCTGTGGATAGGGGGTATATTCACTTGGCTAACACAGACAGTCCCCGAACTCGTAATAGAACTAAAATAAGGAAAATCCAATTAAAATTATGGCCTAACTTTAACCTGGTACACACACTACGGGAGTACCTAAGTTTCAACTCCCAAACATGCAGCAAACAACCAAGCGTGATAATTCATTTGCTTGCCGGAATGCTCCAAAGAATAATTACGTCAAAAAATTATGTTACTGGAAAATGAAAGCAAACTGTGCATCAAGACATATTTATCTACAGAGCATCACAAATAATCAATAATTCTTAAAAAATGACTCATTGCAAGCCTCAGAAATGTCTTGTATAGATCGAGTCAGTTAAATGAACATTAAGATAGAAAAAGCTATATTGGACATTCAACCATGTCAGCTCATTTATGTGGACACAAACAAGATCACATATCCCATTTATGTGCATAAATATTTTTTGTCAGAAAAAGGAGTGAATAAAGTTAAATTTGCACTAAAACGCCCCATGATTCGTATTAGAAAAAGTTTATGCAGCATGAGTTCAAAAAGTTTGAAAACCTGGAAATATTAATTAATCATGATGGCATAGAAGGTTACTATCTTGGGCTCAATCTATATTACCCACCACCTCATTCGAGGTTTAGGCAATGTCAAATTTGAAAAAAAAACGGTCCTTCCAAACTATAATAGGTATTTCTCTAGCAGTGGCTGTGAAGAGCCTTGTTCAGAGCGGAAGTTGTATGAATATGCACATAAAAAAATTACTAATAACTTATCTCTGAGGTGAGCAGTTGACCTTTGTATTTATTCCCAAGACATTAAGCATGCTTATTAAATTTTTTACATAGTAAAAAAACGTACAGGTATTAATGGTGCAGTAAAATCCAGCAGGACAAGGACTACAGTCTTCAGTTCTTGTCAGGTTAGTTTCCGCAGTATATGTTCCAGGTTGACATGGATAAGTATCTGGTGATACAGTTCCAGCAGGACAATAATGACCCTTGATAATGAGAAAAAATATTTACTGTAGAGTTAGTATGCAGAGATAGAAGTTCAAAATGAATAATTGAAATGAATAAAAGGAATATTCCATCACAAATTCAGATATTTCTGAAAGTTGGGCGCAGTGGCCTAATGGTCGTAGCGATAGACTTAACTATAACAGCATTGCAGATTAAAATCCCAAATTAAAAGCACAGGGCTCCTTGTCCAGTTACAAGGCCATGTAAGGTATTGGTATAATTAACCAGGTGCATATAACACAACCAATTGTGTTGTATGCATGGACATTATGCGATAGGGGAAGCCGTAGCGATCAACATTATGTGAAACACCATGCAATGGCGAAAACACCAGATACATTCACACATAAAATAAACCCAGTGAACCAGTGACACAGCCCTGGTTTTGATAAATTTGAATCACATTAATGCGACCCATTTTTACCGCTCGTTGTAACCATTTTGGTTCAGGGGAGCCAGAGCTCCGAGAACAAAGATTCGCATGCGGCTCCAGAGTCGCAGGTTGCCGATCACTGTCCTATATGATTGACTAATCCCTGAAGAACACTAGTTAAAAAAATCTTACTTTAACATAACAAAAGTTACCTGAGCACAATCTCCATTTGGATTTTCAAGACCTGTGGCGTCACATGACCGTCCAGGATCACATAAAGTGCAGCTTAATTTATCAACTGAACCATTTTGTGGATTGTATGTGCCCTGAGGACAAGGTATTGCTGTAATTGATGGAGCAGTCTCACTTCCCCATGGACAGTAATGACCAACAGGGCAAATAGTACATTGTGTGGCATCTGAATAGAACAAATTCAATGTCAGTCAAGGCTTGAAATAACGATTGAAGATACCTGAGAGAAATGTTCAAATATACAAGAGTAAAATTTAAAAAAAAATTCTAGCCCAATGTAAATAAAATTTGAAAGGTTAAAAGGTTGAAATAATTATACCAGATGTCATATGAGAATGTGCTAAAATATATCTAATTCTGATTCGAAAAAATATTTTATTCATCTTAGACAATCCTGTATTGTCACCAATAGCCTCAGAGCTCTTTCATTCTCATTGACTTTGTATTCTTATTACGAGAAAATGTACCTCAAGTTTAGTAAAAACAGCAAAAATCATACTTTCCAACCCATCAGAAGCACCATACGTCCCTGGTGGACATGGATTCCTATGTTGGGTAAATTGACCTTCAACGCAATAAAATCCTTCTGGACAAACAGCAGGAGTCGTAGTGGCACCTTCACAATAAAATCCAGCTGGGCATGGCTTGCAATCTGTTTCTGCAACACTTCCTTGTGTGTCATTGTATGTGCCACCTGATAAGGTATAAACGAAAAACATTTATTTTACTGTTTTTTTTTATTTATAAATTGCAAATAGTGATTTGTGGACCCAATGATCTGGTAGTTAGAGGATTGTAGAGGGGTGTGTTGGTAGGTTTGAATCCCATACATGAATAGCTATGTGCGAGAGGATTGCTAGACACCTCGCCGCCGTATGATGGTTAACATAACTACTGGTAGGTTACAGCTTCCTCCATCAACAAATCCATGTTTCTGAAAACAAATACCTGGCTAACTAATCCCATACCCGACATGGACTGGTAACCGGATGAGAGGCCATGGTTGGCATATGATTAACCTGTTTCATCGGCTTTCCTCTACCACAGGATAAATATGTAAAACTATCCTTTCATGATGACTACATTAATTTTAAGTAATTTGACTGTAGTTCAACTTTTGGTATGTAGTAGTTCAACTATCAATCATTTTACTTTCGTTCATTGGCTTTTTCTTATTTGAGGTGCCAAATAATATAACAAAAGCAAAACAGGGGGCAATAAGTTTACCAATAAAAATTAGTTAAAAAAAACAACCTAAACAAATCACTTCACCTGGACAAGGAAATTGTCTGCAACTGGCTGTACCAACTGGACAGTAATATCCACTGAAACACTCAGTTGAATTTCCATTAGTTGCGCCAGGAGTTGGACAACAAAACCCAGCAAGACATTGTTTGCAAGATGCAGCACTTATTCCTCCTTGTTTATCATTGTAAGTTCCTTCGGGACACTCAAATTCATTTAAACCATCACACCAATATCCAGCACGACAAATGTCATCAGGTGGATTGGGGACAATCGCTTCGCCCTGAAAAAAGACAGTATCGTAAGAAATAATTAGCAACCAGATTTTACTAATTACTCCAAAATCCTAGTAAATTTAGACTTCTTTTGTAAAATATCAATGGTTTCCAACATTTTTTGAAATATCTCTCCCTTTGCCTATTTTAAAAAGTATTTATTCCTCCCTCACTATCCTCAATAGATTTTTCACTATAGCTACTCGCAAGTTGAACCTTGGCTTTAATGAGATTTGAACAAGTGTAATAAGTATGGTTGAAGACGCAAGATTTATGGTAGGTCCTCCAAACTATGGTAGCTCCTTATTTAGCAATGACTGTTTGCGAAGAGCCTTGTTCAGAGCAAAAGCACATATATACTTCATATAAATAAGTAAAAATTAAGAATGGAGGAAGACACAGAAAATTGAAACTGGTTATCAACCTTCAATGACATTGATAAAGTCTAACAGAATCTGGTAAAAGAAAAAGTACGGACAAAAAATATCAACTACAAAGCTTGTTTAAAAAGACTTCCTTATCCTGGGTGTAAAATACGCACCGAGCAGGTGTATCCTGCATCACATGGTTGACATGCAACAGATGTATTGTAAGAAAATGTTCCTGTGGGACACGGTTGTTTATCTTGTGCAGGATCAGCACATTGAAAACCAGCAGGGCATGGTGTGCAACTTGGTGAGTTCTGTTATATAGAATAGGTAATATAAAGTTACTACTTACTAGTGCTTTTTTTCGAATATAGTATCTGTAAGCACTTTATTTTTTGAAAAATGAATATGACAGTTTCATTAGTGAAATTTGATAATTACACTTGATTGAGTTAAATTTATTTCGAATACATTTTTAAGGTAACAAATTTGAAGCCGAAATATGTTACGACAAGATAGAACAAACATCAAAGATCTTCAAGTTCACAATGTGCAGATAAAAACAAATCTTATTCTTATAACAGAGAAATTGAAGAATATATAAAAAAGTTGAATTTCATGGTAAAATAGTAAGTGTTCTAGACTCATCAAGAGATTATATGTTAGTAAATTTTGAATTTATTTTGAACATAATTCAATACTAAACATTAATTCCTATCAATCCTACTCAATATGTACAACAATAAGTAATATAATCACTGCAACGTTTATCGCTTTTCTTCTTATACAAAAAAAGGTACAGGGTGACTCCGCCCCCCCCCCCCCCCCAAAAAAAAAGTGAAGAAAATGTATTTATCACTTGAGCACTTCTACGTTATCAACCAAACATGCATATGAGGGATAATTGTTACATTACTTACAAATAAATTTTATGAAAAACATACCTGAGCATTAGCATAATATCCTGTAGGACAGGGTATAGGACCACTCGTGTTAGAAGGACAATAATGTCCCAGAGGGCAGTTCGTACATGCCACTTGGCCCCCAAGTGAATAAGTTCCAGGATCACATGCAACTCTGAAATATAAATTCAAAAATTTTGTTTATTCATTGCAGATGGATAGATATTGACATAAAGCATTGGTTAGTTGAAAACTTAGTTCTGAAAAAACTGTAGAACCTAAATTTGTAAACCTTCAATGTCTTCAATTTTCTTTTTTAGTTTTAGCTATGAAAAATGCTCTATACAACAGTTACTACATGCATGTTAGGGGTTCCCAAACTTTCATGATCTGTGCCATACTTTCAAAGGCTCCTAAAATTCTGTTACTCCCTGCTCTTCAATAAAACAGCTAATTTTGTTTGGAATGCACTGGGGGAGCTGAGGGCTCATTTGAGAAGCCCTGGGTTAGGACTAATATTTCTGTAGAAAATCTGATGAACATGATTTGTCATAATTCTATATTTCAGGAAGTTTGTGAAATACTCAAATATGATCATAAAGTAAAATTCAGCTGCTTTTTAGATGAAAAATTGAAAAATCCATTGAATCATCTACAAAATTATCCAAATATATTTGAATCAGAACATATTTAACTAACCCTTCTTCATTTGTTTTAACAGCACAATAATAACCAGCAGGACATTGTACACATGATGTTCTGTTTCCGGCAGAAGTAAATCCATTGTTACAATCTCTTTCTATGTTGGAATTTGTAAGCGGACATTCCCTAATATAAAAAGGGTTTATCATAAAAAATGTGAATTGCAAGCCTGATCTAGCATCGTTCAACAAAGTATGCGTCTATGATGGGACAAAGTTGGAAATATTACAACTGAACGTTATAAGAAATTTCACAAAAATTTAGTCAAAAGACAGAGTCGAAAAACAATCAAAAAGTTGCAAAGATGTAATAGAATATTTTTATTAACAATCTTGGTGAGGCAACTCAAAAACTCAGTATGATAAAAACCAGTTCTTGAGAGAGAATGTCATAGGGTAATTTTTGTGAGAGTAGGGTGGTTCCAGGATTTCATATTAGTAAGAAAACTTTAAGTATTTTACTTAATATAAAACAATTATAGCTTCATCAAAAATTTTTTACTTACTTTCCAGGATCACAAGTTTTGCAAGTAGTTGTACCTCCTGCTGAATACGAACCAGGTTGACAAGCAACCATATCAGCAGTTGTGTCTGTTGATGGGCAAGCAAACCCTGCAGGACAACTGGTGCACGATGTTGCTGAACCAAGGCTGAACGTACCAGAAGCACATGGAGTACCTTGGAGAAACAGTAGTTATTTACATGGTATTTTTACTGCCTATTTGACATGTATACTAAAAAAAATATGATAATTGTGCAAATTTCTTTGATGAAAAGACTACGTTACTTTATAAAAATTTCCACGCTTATTTTCAATTATATTGAAAGTCATGTCATCTTCATTCAGGGGTACAACCAAAATCTTTAAAAGGGGTGGGGTCAAGAATAAACATTCGGCGCCTCAGAGAATTACATGCAATAACTTCTATAAAAGTTGCTGCAATTATGCTACCCATCGACAGAGCCATGACCGATACAAACCTGTAAAATGCTTTGCAATGGTAGCGTGACTAGCTGACTAAGTTCATCATTGTATCACTGGTTACCATGTATGGAACAGTCTCATAAAATTGATCGTGTTTGAAAGGATTTCTGGATTCGCCACCATCAGAGGGTAGTTCATCATAACCGTTTATGGTTTTTTTATCAACCATGACCATGCATTTGCTGTATTTGTCTCGTTAGTTATGGCCATATATTATATAGAGCAGTTGCAAGACAGAGTGTGGGCTATTTTCTTCACCTCATAATAAATATGGAAATTTATATATCTTTCCTGATAGACTAACCATATGTGCAATATTATGCTGAACCAACCAAAATGTTGCGAAGTTGAAAGTTTTTGCATTAAGCTGTGACCAACATAACCAAGATTAATTTTCTAACCCTACCAAAAATTTATATTCAAAAAAATGATACAAACCTGTAGTACTGGTAGAAGGACATTTTTCCCCTTTTGGGCATGGTGTGCATGTCGAACTACTTTCAACAGAGTAGGTTCCTGGCGGGCATGGTATCACAACAGCTTGACTATAGACAAGATAAAAAAATTTAATTCTTGTTGTGTTTGTGCCGTCTAAATAGCTTTCCTTTCACCAGGAATAAGTTATGAAAATCTTAGTGTAATACTTTAATGCCATCGGCATAATTACCTATCCCATAACATTTTAGTCTGACCAACCGATGAAAAAATTTCTAGCAATGATTAGCTCTCACAAAGTAGGTTTCAAATGACTGGAAAATGTCAGTTGATAGCGAAATTTTTAAAATCACACTCTAGATACTCACTCGATAAATGGGCAATACGACCCTGCAGGGCATTTGCTACATTCTGTTGCGCTGCCTGTTGAATAAGTACCGAGAGAACATTGACTTCCTACGTCATTTTTATTTGCACAAAAATAACCAGGTTGACATTTTGTGCAGAAGGTTGCCTTGCTTATGGCAGTGTATTCACCTGTAAAGTGAAAATGATTGCAAACAAAAATATTTTGTCAATTATAAAAGATATACAAATTCCAAATAGAGAATGGTTGCTATTTGGCTTAAACACACACAACTTCGTAGATGAACTTGCATAAAATAATTAAAATAGTTTTATTCAAGCATATTGTTTATATTTTAAGCATTTTAATAAGCCTGTCTGACTTTCGCTTAAACACTACTTTAAAAAAATAGAATTTTAAGATCTTAATGGAGAGTTCTAGGTCAGTAAACATGTGAAATAAATTTTCTGAAGCAGTCTAACAAGTTCTTGGATCTAATCAAGGAAGGCTACCCCTTTTGCTTAAACATCATAAACACAATTTATTGTAAAAATCAGTAGACCCTAATTAAGAAATTACCATCAAGACAATCTTGTGGACTTGTTTTACTAGGATCATCACAATATTGTCCTGCGACACAATCATTACATGTTCCGGGTGGATTCTCGTATTGACCACTCGTACAGTTTGATGCAGCACCAGAAGAACAGAACGGATCTGAAAAGATTTAAATTGGCTATTTTACATTTTATCTATGATATAAATTATTCTGTGGTTGACTTTCACTAATGTGGCATAGTCAGAAGGTATAAGGCCAAGTATTCCCAGACCTGTGTTTCTTAAACTGGGGCCTTGGCCACCCTGGGGGCCACAAAGTGTGGGATCATGAGCAAAAGCCATTACCAGATATCATTGGCAATGACCAGATTGATTTTTTTAAAAATGAATGTGATTTGTTAAAATGTTTTAATTTGTTCCATTAACGAGACGAATAAAAACTGATCGAAACATCCCAAACACAAAACTGGGTATGATTATAAAATGATTTATAAGAAAAGGATGCTCAAAAAGCTTTGTTACAATTAAAATTTGGTTAAGAAGTCAGTTCTCAAATATACATCAACATTGTTTCATTTTAAACAGTTTTTTATCAATTATTTTGATTGAATATTTTTACTTCATTTTTTTTCTACTACTCAATACACTTTTATAATTTCCACCACCAGTCACACAATGCACATCAAAGTTCCCCAATAATAATATTGCTTACCTAATGCAACACATGTGGTACATGTTTCTTGCCCACCCAGAGAATATGTCCCACTTGCACATGGTGTTGGAGGTTGCTGGCTTACACAAGAATGTCCTGCTGGACATGAGCGACATGACGACTCTTTTGCATTTGAATAAGTTCCTGATAATAAAAATAGGATGAATACTCAATAATAAAATAAAATCAACACAAAACATTTTATTGGAAAAAATGGAATTGCTATGTATTAACGTGAATGATGTGCGTGGTTGCCTACTACAGGGTTCTCAGCATTCAGTCTCCTGTTTATCCCTTCAACTGCATAGACTGTATATTTGACAGCAGAACCATACTAAACATCAATTTGGACTCTACACAGCGGAAACATAACATTTATTGTCTAAGAGATTACTTTCAAATCTACATCGCTAGTTATGCACTTTCTTGCTTGCAACCCCCCCCCCCCCAAATGCAGGTCAAATACACCCCATAAGTCACCATCCAGTTGATAACTCCTGATTTAATAGCTAAAAAGTTTGACGTAACAATGTTGAACACTGTGAAGTTTTTGGTCCTTGCAAAAACAATAGCTCGTTATGTATTAAGGGTTGATTGTAAAAAGCATTGTTCAGAGAAAAGGTTTGAAATACGTTTCGTTGAAAATAGACTGATAACTTAATCAGAGTTATATAGAATTACCTGTTCCACACGCAATTTCGCCAGATGCAAACGCAGGGCAATATGATCCACTTCGACAATCTGAGCATGAGCTCGCTGCAAATACAATTTTTAAGGCATTAATGGGGCTGTTGCATTGCAACAAAAATACTTAGGGTAAATTTCATTTGCATGATAGTGATTGTATTAAGTAACGTAATATATTCACTGTTACAATAGTTTGCACATTCTCACTTGCAAAATTTTTTGTGGTGGTATTAAGTAAAATAAGCTAAAACCAAACGGTGATGTCACAATAATCACCTACATGACCTGTTTGCGACCCTACCTACCTATCACTCCGACCCAATATGGGGTCGTGACCCCTAGTTTGGGAAACCTTGCTCTAGAATATGTAACCTGTGTTCGATTTTTCTAGGTCACCTTGTAAGATACATTAAAATTCCATTCCAACTAATTTAAACTTTTAAAATTTGTTCAGCCTCAATTCATATATTTAATACAATGAAAATTTTAATTCAAGTTCTTCAAATGGAAATTTCAATTTTCAAGAGATTTCTTACATCCAGCAGCACTGTATTGTCCAGACAAACAAGGTGTTTTAGCTGTTGTAGTGCATGAATAACCAGCAGGGCACGAAGTACAAGATGTTTGTCCAGAATCAGAAAACTCATCTAAAATGAGAAAACATGATAATTGATAGAGTTGATAAAATAGGAATTTAACAATGGTTACGAGATTGAAAACTTGAAAGGTTCATCATTGTTTAAAAATTCGTTTTTTGATCAAGAAAATTATCAAGAATTATCAAGAAAATCAATATTGATGAACTTCTGAAATAAAAAAATTCATTACAATTTAATTTCTGTATATGGAAATGGACGAAAATAACAGCGATGTTTATTTACTGAATTGTAGCCTTTTATACTATGAAAAAATGTTTCTAGGAATAAATTTACAAAAACTATTACTAAATTGACAAAAATGGTAATGGTAAATAATTAAAGAAAATGTCGATGTCTACAAAATTCCCAGATTTAGAAAGTTGTGAAATCTGCTGCAAACCAGCATATTCCACTTACTTGTAGGACATGGATCCTGAGCAGCTGAACCTACAGGACATCGGTTACCCGCAGAGCATGTAGTGCACGTAGAATCACCAAGTGCAGAGTATGTTCCACCAGGACAATCGGTTGGTGGAGTACTGCAAAATTATGGTTATTTTAACAGCTTATGAAATATGATAATCAATTCATCTGTTCAATTTTTAATTCATCTTTATCATAGGTCCTCAAACTAAAATAACTTTCAAGACAATAACAAGTCATACCCTAAATAATTCAAGAAAACCAGTATAGTTTATGGTTATATGGTCATCTAAATTGGGCTATATGTCAGGTTATTTTTATATATCATGCTTCCCAGCTACTTTTCAATGTTCAGACATCGATTTATTCTCCCTACATTAAAGTGTAAGCAAGGATACCAGCTTTGGTGGGTACTCCTGTAGTATGTGTATGTGTAGCGTGTAGGGTTAAGCCATAATTTTGTTCCGATTTTCCTCATAGTTCTATTACGATTTCGAGGACCGTCTGTGTTAGCCAAGTAAATATCCCCCTGCCCACAGTCCCTTTACACAGCTTGATATAAAATAGGCGAACAAAATTATTTTCCTCCATATTGGTGCACATACTTCTGGAGCGCCCTTTGGTGGTCATTAATTGAGTCAAAGAGTCAGAATCGAAGAGCACTATAGCATGGATTGTTTTGATTTGTTGTAATGATATTGTACCACACACATCAAGGAATCACACTTGAATAGCATGAATCCACTAACTGGGTACTATGTTTCAAGCTAAATGAAACTATTTTTAATGTATCGAATTTAAGGCAAGAACACTCATTTACAAATTAGTAAAATTTTTAAAGTGTACTCTCGTACTGTATAAGTTAATTTCTCAACAGGTTGTATTTCATATACAGGTAAGCAAGCGTATTCAGAACTAATTAATTTCAGAACAATTTTCAAACCAACACAATAGTATATGATTCTTCCTTACACAGTAATTTTTATTCATTCAACTGCGTGTCATGCTACAAGTTGAAATGATGTTTTGCCTATTTGAAATTGCAAGCTAGTAATGCCGTGCAGCTCTTAAAAAATCTAAGTCAACCTCAAAAAACTCAGTCGGACAACATCTGGTGCTAGCAGTAATAAAAAATGAAAACTATCTTACGTTGTACTTGGGCATTCTTTTCCAGCTGGACAATCTTCACATGTTATTCTATCAGCAGAAGAAACCTTACCAGAGGTACAGCTCGTACAAATTGTACTTCTATCAGATGCTGCAATCGACCCGTATGGACAACGCACTGGAGCTAAAGCTGGATCACTGCATTGAGAACCTGATAGCAAAAACAAATAATTATTAGCTAAGTAAACTGGAAGCTGAACTGCTATACGAAAGTGACCTTCTCTCATAATTTTTATTATATTGATCAAATTGAATTTATTTTGAAACCATTCAATTAGTAGTATGAATGGACAACCAAGAACATCTCACTCGGCCATGTTCACTAATTTTCTGAATTCTAGAACTTTTTCAAATATGATGAGGTAAAAACTATTGTAGGATGCACCTTTTCAAGACAAATCATACAGATTTTAAATTTTTTAGATTTCTTCATTAGATCTCGAGTTATTGGAAACAACATCAGAACATATTGAAAATGTTGATACTCAAATGTTCAAAGTACGTTATACAATCAATAGAAGTTTGTGACTAGCATGTCAGCTTTGGGGTCATACTGAACTAACTACAAGATTATTTATGCCGCATTTAAAAAAGTTTGCAAATACAGCTCATGTGGAGTTCAGAAATTTAAAATGAGCTGGAATTCAAAGGCCAATCTTGACAAATCAGAAACAGAGTGAAATTTCAAGCCCAGAATGATGCCTTTTAATCGAGACCTAATGCATTTTCTATCAAATCTATGACGACTGACCCCATTACATTACATAATAAAATAGCTGTATATATATTAACAGCAACTCAGTCAGGTAATAATTCTAACCTTAAGTTTCGTGTGAAAAGCGAAAAAAGACATAAGCTAATCAGGCGAAAATAGGTCACCGGATATGTTGTTAAAATATAATTGGCTAAAATCTACAACTTTTACCTATGGCAACCATGTTACAGGTAGTAGAACACTGAACCAAACCAAGCACCTTTAATTCTCGTTTTGGTAAATACCAGTAGCCTTCAGTACTTCCAAATCGATATGAATAAATCAAATCATGAAATGCTTGAATAAAAAAATTTAGAGTATATGTAAAAACCAACCTGCAGAACAAGGAGTACATGTAGAGCTAGATGCAGATGTTGTATATTCTCCAGTAGGGCATGGCAGACAGCCAGAAGCTGAACCCACAGTACTGTATTTTCCAGCAGGACATGGTATCTCGGATGTTTTATCTGGGCACTCAAACCCAGCTTGACAAGGAGTGCAGGTAGAGGCACCTGTAGATTAATAGTAAATTGCACTGTTGTACAATAGAATAAAAACTGTAACTATCTTAATATACAACAAAGCAAATGATCAAATATGTGGATGCAAGAGTGTCACCAGTTGGTACTAGTACAGTAGGACGTTGAAGGACAAAATGGATACGATTTCAATATTTATCCCAGGAGAGAGGAAAGTTGATAAGACAGCTTAATCATAATTAAATCATATAAGTCTGTCGTCTGGTTACCAGTTCATGTAGGCTATGGAATCAGTAATTTGTTTCAGATGCATGGACTTGATGGTGGGGGAAGCCAAAACCGAACAGCAGTTACATAAACCACCTAATGGCAGCAGGAAGTCCAGCAAATTTGCTCTTTCACATGATTATCCCCACAGGATTTAATCCTGCGAACCCATGCAGGGTAATCAGAGGTGCGGTGCCGAGTGTATTCCTAATGCTTGGCACAATACGCCACATCCACCACCAAGCCGGACTTTTCGGAAAACATCATTCGACAAGCGTGACAGAATAAATAAGTGTTCCCCTCTAATTAAAATGGAATAACAAATTTTGGGTGGTATATCGGGAGCACATGACCATAAGACTTGAATAAAAAATTTAAAAAAAAGAAATAGCCTCCTAGCGACTGCCACTATATACTAAAAATATTGGATATTCCATTAGTAGCAAAAAAAGCAATTTAGTTTCAAAATACTGAAATGAAAATTCATAGTAATAATGAGAACAACAACTATAGTAAGATTAAAGAATGATAGTTTTGAATGATAGACAATTTTGGGTACTCCTGAAGTATGCGCACCAAGATGTTGCATAACCTGAACCCTAACCTGGTACACAACCTGAGTTCAGGTTGTGCGCCATCTTGGTGCGCATACTTCAGGAGGTCCCAATTTTGTATATAATAAATTATCATAATTATAATTTTTTAAGAGAAATTTTTTTAATACTTGGGTTTCTGTACCACCACTACATGTCCTACTTTTATGCCATGTGTTGTTGGATCTATATGAGTTTAATGCAAAGATACTGCAGCAAGAGTAAAAATACCTAACTGTACTGTTCACTTTTATTTATAAGATGGGGTGATTGGGGGCAGTGGCCAAGTGGTTAAAACGATAGACAGATTAAAATCTCAGGTTCGAATATCATGCCCAGCACCTTGGTGTCATAAAATTAGTACGCAATGCCAAATCGAAAGATTCCATTTCCTCCAAACTGATATAGCTTTATATTTAGCCTTATCTGGAAGTGGCTGATTATGAAGAGTCTTGTCCAAAGCGATAAGCATATAAATACATACAAAAAAGACATGATATACCATATTTTTCATGAAAACCAGACTACCTTCAGCACTCCATTCGCCATCTATACATGCAGTTGGTGTAGAAGCAGGAGATGTGCACTTACTACCAGCAGGACACGGTTGACATCCAGACTGGCCCGGGGTGGAAAAAGAACCATCATTACAATCATATTCAACAGAACCTCCTCCTGGACAATATTTTCCAGCTGAGCATGATGTACAAGATGTTGAAGCACTCGCAGTACTAAAAGTTCCAGGGTTACAATCCTGAAAAAAATTATACAATTATTGACTGATGTTAAGAAGTTTCATTTCCACCAGTCAATCTATTTAGACATGATAAAAGAATAGTGGAAATGTGGATAGGACATAGAATGGGATTTTCATATTTATCCCAGGAAAAAGAAAAGGTGATAAGATGACCTACCTAATCATTTGGCGAACCACAGACTATCATCTGGTTACCAATCCATGTTAGGTATGAGATTAGTTAGCCAGTTATCAGTTTCAGATGCATGACCCAATGGCATAGGAAGTCGTAACTGACCAGCGGGTAGGTAAACCACCATGATGGTGAGTTGTCTAGCAATCCTCTCACATATAATTATCCTCCACATGATGCGAACACAAAACCCACAAAGGGGAATCAGAGTTGCAATGGCAAGCATGCTCACATGCTCAGCTCAATGCATGAACTGCCATGCCTCATGATAAGTATAGTTAGAAATCATTATATGAAAAATATATCGTATTTTTACAAATATTTTTGTGCTGATAACATGATGATATACAATGGAACAATACCATGGTATATACTAGCAATTTGATTGAGTAAAATTTTATCCACCCTACTACTTGAATATAAAAATGCCAGCTAAAAAATAAAATTTCCTAAAAATGGATAGGGCTACAGTACAACTGTGTTTTAGCCAACAAGGTCTTGTACATAATATGTTCATTTATTATGCAGATAATGTTAAATTTTGTTGCAAGCATACAGACTTCTTTCTAGACTTTTCAAGTTTTCGGCTAATCCCTAGTCCTCGATTGGCAAAGAGCATTTACGTTTATGAAACATGAGGCATTATGTCATCTTTACTCTGACCAAAATAAATATAAAAAATATATTCCAACCACATATCATCATTTCAGTACATATGGAACGGATAAAGAGACTAAATGACTTCCTCAGTCGTTACAATTACCTTTAAAACAAACTTAAAATAATAAAAAAATAATGTTACCAAACAAACTATTGCACCAGCCGCACTATTCTGTCCCGGCAAACATGGCTCTTTTGTTGTATCATTTCCTCCAACGCAACTGGAAAGTAAAGAAAATTTAATTTCAAATAATAGAAATCATCTTGCAGTTTCAGTATAAAGAGGAAGAGTTTAATATATAGAAGTCACATTGAAATGTTTCTAATCAATTTGATCCAATATGAAAAGATAATCATAATAGGATGATTACGTAAGTATTTTACAATTCTGTCACAAAATTACTTTTTATTTTGAATACTTTCAATAATAAATTTCATTTTCAGCAAAATTGTGATATATGAAAGAGTTTGACATAAATTATAACTTTCCTGTAAGATTAGCAAATTTCAAAAAAAAATTTAGAATTTGGAATTTAAGCGAATTCTGAAAATATATCCAGAAACTTGTTGGTATTAATATATATATTATTTCTATATTTGTCAACCAATTCAAACAGATTAGTGATACAAACTAAATTACCCAATTCATATCATAACCAGAAATCAAGGATTATATTTAATATATAACATATGATTTGAAAGACAAAGGATTTGAACCCATACAAAAAAATCTAAATAAAAGGTAGTGTCCAGATAGGTTGGACAATTTTGCTCTGAATTTCTTTAAATTTGGTATAAATAATATTCCGTTGCAAAATTAATAAATTGGGAATATTTAGAACAAAAAGGTAATTTGTTGTGACAATAGAATATTTTGAATAAGCGCTTAAAATTATAGCTTGTTTTGATATGATTTGATGAAAAAAGAATCATGTTTGAGAGAAAATTCCAAGATTTGTTAAAGGAATAACTATGATGAGTTAACCACACCAATGTATTCCAGTTACTCCAAACACAAATCCCATTAACCTTAAGTTATAACTCATACATAAAAACGACAGAAGCTAATATTTGCTGAAAGATCTGAGCGTCATTTGGTCTCTTTTGTACATAGTGTTACGACATTTAAATCTAACAGAATAAACAGAAAGTTAGATGTCGTCAAAACAAACTAATCACATCTTAAAGATTTTGCGTCAAGTACTGGTGAAGTATTGCGACTTCTACAAACAATATTTTACAATTTTACATAAGACAAAAATTGAAATTAAAAAAAGTGAAACTAGAGTTTCAGTGTTAACAATGGTGTAAATTGAATGTAAAAAAATGGCCAAGATAAATTGCACTTTTCTGTCTTTGTAACTGATTTAACCAATGGTGAAGATTACAATGAAGCAGAAAAAAACATTTTTAAATAGGTTTGTTTGTGGAAACCAGACTTTTGTTTCTCTATGGTTCCATGGTTGAAAAATGAAAAATAGGTAGTCAAATAGGGATATCATAGTCATAGACAAAAAATACGCTGATAAACAGCATGTCGGATATTAGTGAAAAATATATACCTAGATATACAGACTACAGACAGTTATAGTATTAGAAAAACTAATATCTGAATCTTCAAAAAAGCATAAATACTTCTAAATAAATAATTTTATAAAATCAATTTTGGTTTTCAAAATTATTATATTCTTCACGTCAGAGAGCAAACCGTTTATCTTAAAAATTAAAAAGTTTGATTTTATCAACAATTCCAGTTATGAATCTTCTTTTCAGCAAGGTTTTGGGCATCATAATAAATTCCTAAAGCAAACATTCCGCTAGAGAAAGACGTAGATAGGAACTATAAGGTATGTTGTAAATGACCACAAATGTATAATCAATGATAAGCACACATTCGTGCTCAAATATTACTGGTTAAATCATCCAGAATCAAATTACAGAAATTTCGAAAGTCGAAACCGATATTTAAACATACAATTACTTTATGATGGACAAAACCACAAATAATATAAATCAGATTCCAGACTGGGAAACAAACCAAATATTTTCTGTAACACCATGGTAGTCAACAACACAGTCAAAGCAGATCAGGACAAAAGATCACTAATATAACAAAAGGATATTGAAGATGAGTTTCCAAACAATAGGACGGTTAACAATAGGTTATATCTTATTATCAATAAATCATTTGAACATAGTAAGCCATGGCAGTTATTAGCAATTGTTAATAGCAAATATGGAAAATGGAAAAATAAATTGATTTGAGCAATTGGTGGGACATGAATACAAGAAAAATTGTTGAAAAGACATAAAAAATTTTGACTTGATCAACAATTCCAACTAGGTGCTTTACAAGGGTTAATATTTATCATCAACCACACTTGAGCAATTGTATTTAGATGATAATATGAACAAAAGAAAGAATTATTTAAATTAGAAAACATCTACAGTTATGATAAAAGTGATTCAAAATATGATTTTCACTCAAGCCTGACCGATTCAGCTAACACTTTTTAATGAGAATGAATTAAAGTTATAAATTTTTCACATCAATGTTATTCATGCTTTGTTATGCAGATTTTGACTGATACTGTTACACACCAATTGTAAATAGTCAATTTAAAACTTTAAAACCCTTGTGTTACAGTAAGTCAAATTTATGGGTGCTCCCGAAGTATTCGTACTAAGATGGCGCACAACCTGAACGTAGTATGTGTACTAGGTTAGGGTTGTTCAGGTTGTGCGTCATCTTGGTATGAATACTTCCGGAGCGCCGATTTATGTACTAAACAAGGAATCAAACTCTTGTCTCCAATGAACATAATCCCCACTTTTTGATAAAGGTTTTGCATTGAGAAAATTACAGAATTTCAACTAATTCTCCACAACTTATGAAGGTTTAAATTTGTTTAAATTTGCAATTACCCTCATACAAAACATCAAATGTTTCATTCTTTAATTAAAAGGGAACATTCATGTCCATTCCACAGGTCCAGGCTTGGGCAGCCATAGCCTGGAGAGTTTTGTTAGATCTGGAGCCAAGCTTACAGTATTAGGTAGAGCTGGAGCCAGAGCTATCAGAAACTATAATGGCTCCATTTCCTAACCATCAACTTATTTTTCATGCTTTTAATCCTGTAATACTTCATACAAATAATATAATCTATCTTTTTCAGCTTTTAATTTTTAATACTAAGATATTTCGAAAGTTCAGGGTTAAATTTGTATATTTGAAAGTTCAAAATTTGGAACTCTCATATCATATTCCCGCTTCCACAAAATTGCATTTGGGCTGATGTTTCATGGAGGTGGTTGATGGACATACCATATTGTGGTCCCTGAGCCATAGCCATTGTGATCTCAAAGCAACTACACAGCCTACAAATGCTGCTTAAAAATCTCCATTTATACGTCTTACTTTTTCATTTGTGACAATTTTTCACAAGTTATCAAAACGCTTCATAAATGCTGGGCCAATGTTCATTTCATTTATATGAATTTCTAGTTAAACAGGACTAATGAGAGAAACAATTGTCAATTCACTAAAACACAAATTATTAAAGTAGGAAATTTTCTGATAGTTTTAACTTCAAATTGGATAATACGGCCACATAAACTTTGCCCAAAAAACATTTATAAATTCATTGTCTTGTTGCAACACAAAACCAAATATCCATAACTGCACTATAAATGAGTTATTATTAAGGTCTCTAAATTCCAATTACTCAAATCAGACTTCAAGGATTCATACTTACAAATATCCAGCTGGACATTGCAGGCATTCACAAGTTGTATTGCCAGATGTATATTGTCCTGGGGGGCAGTCAGCAGCAAATGCTGAAATAAGGTAAATATAGAAAAACTTTCAATAGGTATTAACTTACTCTGAACAAGGCTTTGCTTATTTATCAAGCTGATGTTCTGGAACAGTAAGACTAGAATCTGTATTACCGAATTTAAAAATTAAAAACAACTTTGTTTTTAAGATATTATTTATATTCGGAAATTTCGGACATGCAGAAGATTCAACTACCGTAATGTAAGCATCAAATCGCTATAAGAAATTAATAGAACATAATGAGAAATTCTATAGTTGGAAAAAGATTTTTATAATTACCCAGGGAGAACAAAGCCTATAAGATGGCTTAATCTTATGTTGAATAACAACCTCTCGTCCAGTTAGCAGTCCATGTTGGGTATGTGAATAGTTAACCAGTTATTGGTTTCAGATGCACGAACCTGATGATGGAGGACGCCCTAATAGACTCGCGGTTACGTGAACCACTTGCATATAATATTGCATTGCCCCACAGGATTCGAACCCACAAAGAATAGTCAGAAGTACGATGACAAGTGTATTCTTAACCCCATAGCACCAACCAATTTTAATTTAGATTGGATTTTGGAAGCACCTCTTACAAAAAAGAATTTATAGGTAATGGAAATCCAAAATATGCTTACATAATGATATCCAACTTGTAATAATCAGAAAAGTAATAAAAAGTAATAAATTCCTCATCATGATATGTTTTCTTCCTGTCTGCGACAGATGAACATAATTCTTGAATCATTCAAATTGAAATAAAAGGTTATTTTAGACTTGGTTGTTCACTTATTTTTTCACAAAATTTAACTAGCAAAATAGATAAACATCCAGGTTAAATTTATATACAAATATGATATTATAAATATTATATATTCTCAGCTATTTTTTTCGATCCTTGGTATTAAATAACTTGCAAAATTTTACCATTAGATAAACTTGATCATATAGAGATTTGCCCCCTCAAACCTACTGGTGGGAGAATCTCCATAGGATCAAGCCTGGATGGAAGGATCTGACCTGACCAATGACCAACCCTGACATCACCATGGCCACATTCTCAATATGATCTAGCCTGGGGGGAAGAGGGAAGATCTTCATATGAGCGTGAATGTGGGGATGAATCTTTAATTAGATACTTTGGGAGGGAAGAATCTCCATATGATCCAATGAATTTTTACCTTCTAACAAACCTAAAATGGATGTAAAAGCTATTGCCTGCAGTTTTAATATGTTGAAAATAAAATATTCCAACAATATCATCAGTAACTGAATTCTTCATGCCTCACCTCGGTAGCCACAAAAGGCACACAGAGCCAAGAAGCATATGTTAAAACAAAGAAAATTGGATGACTTAAAAGTTTCAGTCCATACTGTCAAGGAAACAGCTATGACCTCCTATGCCAAAAATTATATTTTAAACATTCAAATTTGAAAGGATTCCCAAATTGATGCAACCGTTCGGTGCACAGTGGGTATGTTTATCCATGCAACATTCGAAAGTTTTTTTAAATAAACAAGTCTATTTTGATCAAGATGTTACTTTTAATAATTCGTGTTGACGTGTTATTTATATCTAGCTTTAAGGGGAAGAGTGCCCACCAAAAGAATAATGTTTTGGTATATGTACACCCAAAAAATTTAATTTATCATACTTTAAATGAAAAGCTCTGAAATGCATCTGTTTCTCCCACAAGGGTCTGCAGGGATTTCAAAGCAGTTTCATTCTAATAGCCATTTATTATTATTTTTTATGTCACAGCAAATTATTTTTTATCTCACTCTCGTACAACTGAAACTATACCTTCATAAGGAGATGATTTTGAAGGCCATTATTATTATGAACAAAAGCTTAATGCCAATCAATCACACAAATTTGAAGATATTCCAAAATTTTTGCCTGCTCATGTTATGCATTTTCTCTTCTACTTTGCTTGATATTGTAAAACTTTGCAGAAAATTCACTCATTAAATCATATATTTAAGTTTGCAAGTGTGAGCAAAACAAAACAAAGCCTCAACTTGAAGTTAAAGAAATACTGATGCATGACTACCAAGAGACAGAAAGGAAGTTTCATCTTTAACTTGCATCAAAAATATAGCCTAGAAAGCAATTGACATTTGACTGAAAACAATTTCAGTCAAAACACATAAAAAACAATTAGCTTATGTTTTCAAAAACCAAATGGAATATAATTCCAAAGACTGAAAGTGGAAGTTCTGTAGCAAAAATGTTCAACATTGACTATTTCTAATCAACCTGGCCTGCCTTATGCAAATTTCGGATAAAAAAACGTCAGCTCACTAGCATGACTTACGCCCGATATGAAATGAAGACGAATATCTTCAGTCACAATTCTATCCTGTTTGTTTTGGCGTCCCTTGTCAGCGAGAAAACACGAGTCAATAATTAAAAATATCTAGCGCCATCCATCGGGTATTTCCCCGAGCATCGAACACCTTGTTTATTTCCGTAACAATAACAAATCAGTAGGGCTGGGAATGGTTAACCGATTTTAGATGGTTAACGGTTACGATTTATTTTAACCGTTAACTGACATCTCAGGTTTAAATCATAAAAAATGAACGTCATCGCAAATTTATCTTCCGTAGCGTTTAATTCAAAAGAATATTATATATATATATGAATCTCTCGAATAGAATATGAATTTTTTCCCCTATTGCATTGTAATATATTCGAATATTTACTGCGCTATTAAACCCCTGCACTCAGCATCAACTTTTCTGCGTGTTTTCATTTGTCTCATTGTAATTAAATTGTAGGCTCGTTAAACGAGTAGCTGTTCAATATAATTTTTAGGATATGATAAAATTTAGTCTAAACGTGTCTCACGATAAATTCTGTTACGTAAAAAATGTAATTTACTCTTCGAGCGTAGATAATAAATAAAATTAATTCATCGGTAAAACCGCCGTTTTGGATGTTTCCCCTGGCATAGACTTCCTTGTTTACTTTGGTGACATTGGCCAATCAGCAAGATGCAAAAATAAACGTAACAATGCCCCCTTTCGCATCCACTCAGACACATTCCTCACTCAGCCAGACTTTCAGGCGTGGTCGTGAACATTACCTCATTTTTGCGATTTTGAATTATATTCGTTAGTTTTTAGTTGTTTTTCGGAAATTTAAATAAAAATAATTCAATGATCACCTTATCCTCCTAGGAATTTTAATTTAATTGCAGTAATCAAAAATTAGTGTAGAAATAGCTGTGATAGACTAGACTAAAATTCTTTACCGGTACTTTTAAAAAACAGATTGTTGAATGGTATGAATTAGAATGATAGTTTGAAACAAATCCTTCATTTTATAGGCAACAACTCGCGAAACCACTCCTAAAATAAGCATCGAAAATTTTAGAATGGTAAAGTATGGGAAGAATTTTCCGGGGTCAAAGGTCGGGAAAAGGTCCATTCAGCGTCCCTGGCCAGATTACCCGACCACTGGGATACGCAAACTACCGTACCTTACTGCGAAGACGAGTCCAGCAATCCCTTCGCGTGTGACATCGTCCATGTGATTCAAACCCACGAAAGCACGCATAGTACAGTAATCAAGTGCACGATTCGCCGAGCAGAACCAGTTTTCGCGAAATCGCCCCCCTTCGACTTTTCGCCCCCTTCTGTATCATTTTCGCCCACCGGGGGGCGATATCGCCCACTTTGGGAATCACTGGTATAGACAACGAAATGGATCTTCAGTGATATTCCACTGTTTTCAAAAGAGCCGGAACGTCGCGCAATGTGGATATCATCTATTGGCAGGACTGCTTGGTGTCAAGTCCAGAAGTCATCTCGCTTGTGTTTCACTGTTTGCGGACAGCATTTCGTGGATGGTAACACATATTTATTGTAGTAAAATCCTCTTTTCCGTAAAACGTGCAACTCTTGGAAGTGGGAACAAGGCAATATTTGTTACTAAATTTCTAATGAAATTCTAATATCATTTTCAGATAGTTACCTTATGTGCGTTACGAAACTGAAAAATAAACGGCCGCTTCTTGCGGCCTGCAATATTAATTTTAAAAAATGAAGTTTCGAAAACACTTGACATGGTTTCTCGCAAAATTACCAAGCTCAACTTCTCGACCGATTCTGGTCAAGACAGTATACTACCTGCCTTGGTTCAAAAAATGCTTAGTGGCTCCAATTTTTTCAGACTACTGAAAATTGGCTAACATTGTTCCTACTTTCAAACCAGCGGTGATCTAACGGATCCTGATAAATATTGCCCTATTCGTTTTTTTTTCAATTACAAACAAATTATTTGAATCACTTGTCATTTATATAAGACCACAGACGCGTCATTTAGACGCATTGAATCAAAGTGTGGAAGCTAAATCAATTGCCTTGGATATTTCAAAAGTTTTCGATAGCGTCAGACACGTCGTAGCTGCACAAAATTCGTCCTATGGTATATCTGGTCAGAATTTTTCCATCATTGAATCCTTTCTCTCCAATCGCATAATTAACTTTGCTCTTGATTCCCTGCGCTCACGGGAATGCCCAATCTCTTCTAGAGTTCCTCAGGGCTCAATTCTTGGACCTACATTGCTACTAATATATATTCACCAATGAACTTATAGATAATATCATTTGTAATTCGTGTATACTGAAGACCTAAATCTTTGTCCCTGTATTGATATGAAGTCCGATAAACAACATTCTTTGGAATTTCGAAATTTTTGGGAACGGACTTGCTTCAGAGTGGAGGGGATCAGTTGTTTACCTGAACTCAAAAAAAGCAAATTCTCGTCAATCAATAATCATATTGATCCAAATATAACTCGAAAAAATTCTAGGCGAATCATCCAAATTTTGTCTGGTTGGGGTCAACAACTACAATAATAAGGGAAGTTGGATCCTATTACCGTGCTTTTCGACATTTGTCCCGCGAGTGCATGTACTTCACTCGTACAAATCACTGATACATACATACATACATGTACTGGCATATGCAGGTTGGTGCTACTGCGACGGTATTGAACGAATGAAAAGTGAGATACATATTTTGTTTGAATTTCCAAATTACAAGCAGTTGCATTGTCTAGAAATTTAAGTATTGTATATATATAAAATCAGTAGTATACGTAAGGTATCGGTAATAAATCTTTTAAATTTATCATGCCATATGTAAGCTATTTTTCAAAATCATTTAAAAGTGATACCAATTTAGTTGAGATTGGATAACGATATGTAAACTTTTTAGATCGAGTGCAAAATTTAGCTATTAAAACAATTTTTTTAAGGATTATTCTGGGACTACATATTTGTAGATCAGATATCAACGAACAATAAACATGATTGCCAGGAAACAACCACATTTACAAAATTTATCACGATGGAGCAATAAAAAACGACTACGTGTATTGTGGCGTGCATTAGTCAGTAACGACTTCTATCCATGAAATTTTACAAACAAAACCAATATATCTTAAAACTAATCTTCGCGGAGATAATATATAATTATATATCATGAAAAATTTTTCATGTCATTTATCTAATGATAAAGAAAAATGTGCAGACAGTTCAATAACATAAATCAAGGACTCGTTGTTTTCCCCAGTGTCGACATTCTTTACATAATTTCCCGGTAAGATCATTATCAATGTCTCGGCACAACTAATTATTTCGTTCCGGATATAGGGAGCAACGATATTATTATGCAAGAAACGAAATGTGTTTATGATAACGCTTGCTATTTTTAGTCAAAACGCCTGAATTTCATGTCGTGATGAGATTTTTTGTTCGTTTCATTGTCTAAGTCCCCAATTAATTTTCAGCGCTACCAATTATTTGTAAATTAGTAAATAAACTATTACTTGGTCCGTGTCGGAGTTTGTAATAACATAGACTCACGTCAATCATGTCTAGTTCGCACGACCTGTCGGGGAAAAATAATTCAGTAAAATTTCTAATAGAAAAATTATTTGTAGTTGGATTTTTAGCCACGTTTCGAAAATGCACGTAAACAAAAATATTTACCAGAAACGATAATGCACGGCGCCAGCGACGTTGTTCTTTCGAGCATGCGTCACACCTGAAACAAAAGAATTCTTGAAGTTTTGGGGGATAAATCAATAGTTTACTCGTCGACTAAAACAACATTACAGAAAATTCATCGCAAAGGATTTCACGAAATGAACACAATTTGCAAGAAAATATTTTGTTTTTATTTGAACGATATTGCCTTATTCAAAATGATTTGTAGTAATCTCAGCTATGTAAAAGCTCACTCATTGACTTTCAATGTTTTTGTCGAATATGGTATGCTAACCATTGGAAAAAGGATGGACAAGTAAATGTAGTAATAAATAAAAGATAACATAGGTTCAAGTTAGAGAAGCTAGAACATTTCAAGCCACAAACATTTCCGTAAAATACACTCCAAAGTAGAGATTTAACAGCCGCAGTGCCATCCGCCACCTGCAGGCGCAAATCTGATTGTTACTACCGCACAAATTACAAATTCATATAAATTTTAATGGAATCAAAATTTGAATAAAATATGAATGAGTTGAATCTGTACAAATATTGAGATAAAGTTAAGTAATAGGGGACTTCATAACAAAACTTCGGTCTACTCAATTGATCACTCACTGATGTGGCAACATCAATAGTATATTGCATCAACGCTAGATTTTTCAAATATATCAGATACGACTTATGAACTGTGTCATGAGAGCTAACATAAAACTTTAAACCACATGCGAAGTTTGTAAATATTTTTAATGAAGTTGAATATCGTAACGCTAATAACGGAATTGCGTAAGTCATTTTTGGCGATTTTGAGTTTTTTATAAAATAGGTATTTATGTAATGCTGCGCACCTGTCTGTTAACTCAGATTTTATTTTAAGAATTCCGAAACCCATAAAAATTGAGATTTAGTATGACATGCACATTTGTCCAATTGTTTCGTCATAATGAATTATCATTTTTTTTTTACCGCAGGACTATTGTGACGTCACAAAGGCAAAATAACATCGGCGAAGTATTTTCGAGTTTTTGCATCTCGGATTCTAGCTTAGCGCGTATTAATTTGAATTTATACTACAGTATAGAAAGGCGTGATATTCACTGTCCGAGTCCAATTCACCTTGGTTGGCTTTTATATTGGGTGCATTGCTGTTTTATTCTTTATATTTAATCTTAGTCTTATTTCGGTGGGTGTGCAGAACGTGTTATATTATTGAAATATATATTTTTAAACGTAAAAATTAATGTAATTGAAACTGATTAGCTATTTTGGGGATTCGACATTGTAGATAGTGAAAATTACATTCGTTTTTGGAATGTTTAGTTTTCAGGACTGGTGCATATAGTAAAGTTGCAAAATTGCGTATGTCCCCAAGTCATAGACACATTTCTGCCTAAGTCACAGTGCGCCATTATGACGTGACTTAACTGCGTCATACAAATTAATTTGAATCCGGCTACAATCCAAAAATTGAACCATGGCAAATTATTGACTCTCAATGGCATAACAATATCATTAGGAAGTTTTTTACGTTTTTCTCCATACTGCTAAAAATGACTTACGCAATTCGGTTATTAGCGTGACGATATACTGCATATATTACAAGGACACATTATTTAATCTGTTTTCTAGATAAGGACTGTTATATTGTGTATATTCATAACCTAATATACGAGAGTGTATTTAAAAGCAATGTGAAGTAACGGGCGTATTAATTAACTGCACTTCATTAGGACCATTTGTTTTAAAGTCACCAAATTTTCACATTGCAATTGTTAGAAAAAAAAACAAGAGAGCAATATTCAAATATATGGGCACAAAAATCACGAAATTGTTTGGCCCTCTAGTTGAAGAAAAGAAGAGCGACTTTTCCAGCAGTATAACAACAGTCATCCCCACAACAACATATCAGCAAAACGATTCATATAAAAATAATGATCATATAAAGACTTGTTTGAGGATTATATATTCTACGAGCCTGATACAACACGATTTCGCGGAATCGATCTGTGATTCAGAAACTTCTCTTCTTTTGGCGATCAATGCAGTTGCGATGAAAGGAGTGTTCATAAAATCTGTGCTTTGTAAATTTCACAGATTTAGATTTGGGCAATATCTTACCATGTGGTAATTGGCGAACGAGAAAGATATCAATATGACATTTTGTTTATAATTTTTGCCTTTCGCCTGCCGCAGTGAAAAAACCTTCTTCCATTAGCATTACACCTTTGAAATAAACGATTCGAGATGTCAGGACAGAATTCGAGTTTATGACAACTGGGCTGCATAGTCACAGTCTTGCCGGTGTCGGGTATAGGAAAAGACAAATGAGTTGAGTGCTTCAAAAGCACGGGTGTGGTTCGTCCAGTCGAAAGTCGAGTCGAAATCGGCTAGAGATTTTGTGAAGCACACTATGCGAGAAGTCAACAAATCTGCCACGCATGAGCATCATCAGCAGGAATAGAGATCCACGAACAAAATATCGCTAAATCAGCGGTGAAGTGGCGTGGGTGCATCTGTCATCTTGAAGTGAGAGCCAAACGTCGGTACGACATCCTGGCTAAAAGGCATCATGATATACATGCTAGGTATACTCAATGTTTAGTATCTTCAAGGAAAAGCTTCATCGGAAAAACCCGTTTCAATTATCGCAAAAAAACGCAACCACATTTAAGTAATGGCTGTCACAAAGTTAAAAAGAATACAATCCATGCCGTAAAAATCCCCGAAGAGCGCATTTTGAATGTAAATAATAAATGTGTACTATCATGTTTTGAACGCCAATGTTCAATGTACAAAATTTACCCCATTGAGCAAAAAGCGTGTAACTTTAGTATAAAACGCAGCAACAAGCTTGATATATATATATAAATTCCATATTAGCTCGACTGAAATTATTGGAAAACAACAATAAACGCTTTTCAATATACGGATGGTCCCGTTACAAGCACTAATACCGTAGTTTTGTTCGCGTTAATGCTTTTTTTTTTAACGATGCATAATGCTTGTTTTTATGAGATGCATTTGTAAAGCGTAAACCGTGCTATCGTGTTTTTTAAATATTTCTATGCCTATGGCGCATAAATTCTTTTCACGTAAACAGAGGGTAATTTTGCATTCTTTCTTTTATTCAACTTCCATGACAATACATGAAAATAAATGCATATCGCCTATTGCCTCAAATGAAGTCATATCGCCCATTGCCGATATAATTAAACCATGGTTTAGAAAAGATAACTCGTTAAATAATTCACGTTACGTTAAACGGGCTTGTAACGATCTATAATTACACGAAAAATAACACCACGGCTCAATTTGTTTTCTAATCGCGAACATTTTTTAAAATTTCCGTTCGATGTATTATAATATTGCGTAATAAATTATGTAGAAGAGCTAACGCCGCCAAACTACGAAATTTAAATTTATTTAGTTGTAAATGGATTTGTAACGCATGAAAAAATCGTGAATTAAGACAGAAAAATGTTTTGAGCCAAGCATGATTGACCAATAATTAAATGCTTTTCTCTATCTTGAAATCCATATCAGTTGAGGTCAATAGGTTTGCAAACAAGGTTCTCTGCGTTGGCCGATTTTCTTTTGTCAATCTGTGGGGTGAATGTCTCATCAATCGTGGAATCGGTAGAATCATACTTTACTATGGGCCAAGTACGGGGTCTAGGAAAATAATTGAATTATTATTTTTGTTTTACTAATATTTTAATGTAAGCATTGATACATCTCGCTCTCCGTACCTGGATGTATGTAAATGTATGAACCAATCCTACAAGAATGCTATTCCGGTAAATGACGGCACTTCATGTAAGGGCCGTGCTACTTAATACTGAGTTCATTGGTGTTTGTCACCTTCGTGGTTTTCTATACATTTAGCACTTCTTTCTTCAGTCGGTTTCGACCCCACGAGCAAACAGTGTAGTCGTGTTGTTTTCCTTTTCAGTGAGTCGATGTCTAGGCAACAAGGGTTTGGCAGAGCCGTAACCCGTGCAATAGACCAAACTCGAAATTGCCATTCAGTGATTGCCGACTACAGCTGCAGTTATATACAAATGATATAATTATAGAAGCAATTATCGGAGAGGGAAACGTAGAGAAACATTGACGCACGTTGAGTTATTTTTTATTCGATTATTGGTACGGTACGCCGGAAGCTAAACTCTGGCACGTTCTGCACATTTTTTCTCAACTGCCAGCCTATACATATACGTGTTTTGCTGCCTTGCATAGCACACTCGAGGAAAATAATGAACGTAGATATGAGAAGAAATACCACTGTTTGCGATTTAAAAAGATTTGGAGAAACTTCACAAAGACTTTCAAATATGATTACTTTATTTGTAACACTCATTTTACTATCTTCTATATACATTATCGACGTCGATGGTAGGTCTCTGACCAGCACACACGTAGAAGGATCGAGGCATATATCTCATTCACGTGGAAGGCGAGGCTTAAGCTTTTGTGGAGCTCGCATAGTCGATGCCCTGAACTATTATTGTACAGTTGGGATTTACGAACCACAAAAATGTTTTGTCGCTAATTTATATTTCTGCAAAAGAAGACGAAGAGATCCACCACCAATATGTAGAATCAACTGCGGATATAAGAGGAGAAGTGAGTACAATATATATATTTTTATCATTTCCTACTAGGTTGAATACGGTGATGCAATCATTATTTTTATTCACCATGCGTGGTATTCATATCCATAATTGTCCGTTATTTTTATCCCAAATCGTATTGATAAATTTGACAAACAAACAATTCTTCACATCGTCTGAGTTTAATTCTATTTTGTGTTTTGGAGTCAAACGACTCTATACCACTGCATACCTCCTAGTGTTTACTTCAAAAGGTCAACATAATAAGTCGAAGGAAAACTAATGGGCGTGAAATACTCGTCTAAAATAAATGTGACGTAGGCAGACAGCGTCAACATTTCTTCAGAAATTAATCTTGTTGATGCTTCAAGTTGGAAAACATGTGAAACAATTGATTGAGTTTACCTATACGTTACAGGAAAGCAACAATGCTTCAAAACGAATAAACGGCTTCGCTTAAAAGTGTAAATGATTTGCCGAGCACGTGACTGAGCGATTTTGTACCATCTATGTTCCGTGTTCACGGCAGTTTAAGATTTCAAATTGTATTCTCAACTATAACCACATAAAAATAACATAATAATTTACGACTGGTGGAAAGATATTTATTCAAAATTTCCTTTCGATGTAATTATTTACCGAGAAGTTTATATAAACATATCATACTCAGATTTTACTTACATAACTGAAAACGGAAAATATGTCAGTTACAAAAAAGCGGTTCGTGTACAATTTAACAGTTATATTGACAATTTGATTTAAAACAAGAGTTTGAACAACTAGTTATAATCTACCCCGAAGCAAATTTACGTAAACAATTCTTCCAGATATAGAAATTAATTACAAAACTTCTGTTTTCAGGACGAACGACAGATTCGGGGTCAGACAATAACGCCGACTTTTCTGCTGCCTTGCCATTTATGCCAACGTAGGTACAGTTCATGTAATTTGTATAGTTAAACATTGAGCTTAATTTTCACCACAAAATCAAGTTCAAATTTTTAATAATAGTTTTGGTAAAAGTAAATAGTAATTAGCAAATTGTTTTTGAAATCGCCAATGTGTAATTTATCACGAAAACTTAACAACATAGTATTCGGAAAATCCGATAATCTTGCACACGCATTTGACCTCTCGGAGAAGACAGAAATAATTTACAACTAATCGAAGTGAATCAGTCATGAACCAAGAAACCAAGAAGAGATGATATTTTTAATTAAAGAAATTACATAAATAGTGTTTTTGTGTGAGAGAATGTCTTTGAATTTGAGTCAATAAGGAAGTAAACATAAGCGGAAACTGACTTACACTATTAAAAACACATTTCCGACTATCCTTTCATACTACTTATACCAATAGACGCAATTTTGAAGCATGCCGTGTATTGTAAAATTCATCTAATGAGTCCTTGCGCGCGGTCCCTAATTCGTAAATAATAGAATAAGTAGTAATATACCCTATCATAGGATTAATACAACAATACGATAAACAACCTTGCTATTGCTAAATATTTTCAAAAATTGCATCATGATTTTACAATTTTTACGTCAAAAATAGACTTGAAAATCCTAATTGTTTAAAATAAATGAAAAAACATAAACTTTACGACTTGGTGTCACACGCGTGGATAACTATCGTGATCGCTTTTATAAAGAAGCCCATCTCCCATTTAATCCTACAATTGACGTTGTTTTCACTAACTCAAAAGATGCTATCTTGCTCAAAGATTGTCGAGCAAACTTCTTTCTTGTAAGAGGAATTGCAACTAGTAATCCCAATAACGGTATTTAGAAGTCTTTATCAATAATCAATAATATAGAGACCATGTGGTGCTAAGATTGGACAATGGTGCACTCCATCATAAGTTTATTTAGCTCTGACTATATATATAACGACTATAAATACCCAAATCTGCTTCAGGCGGTGCTTCAGAAGATGCGTTTTTCATCTAGAGGGACTTCTACTCTATAGAATCGTTCGTTTGTTCGCATGAGGTGTTTAATGTGAAGGAACACTTTTATTTATTAATTATTCTATTTATTTATTAAGTTATAATTTCGTTTAATTCACCATGAATGACACAATTCCAAAATTCACGACAAAGATTCACGAAAAAATGTTGCATTTCAAAAATGTGGTATAATCCATTATGATCCGCACCATTATTATCTATCTTATTTATCTCACTCCATTTTGATCAGAACCATTTGTGTCACCATATACGTGGTATTATGTGTTTTGCACAACATCATTCTACTAACTTTATCAATATTTATCACAAAGAAAAACATTGAAACAATAATGAAGTCGCCTAACTAGATTTTAAACGCGATATCCGCACTAACAAACCCGGTGCCAGTACACTGAGATCTTTAATATAATTGCCAATGTCACGCCACAACGTTATCGAGGGAACCCATAATAAACAATCCCAGGAAATTAACTAAATGTTGCAGATTATTTGGAGAAGAATAACGCAAAAATGTTCTTGACATTCGCCTAGAAAATTGTTTTCCTCGTGTTTGCGTGCGATGATATAAATAACTGCACGCGAATGCCGATATTTAACGGCGTGGTTATAATTTTATCAGATGGCAAGGGCAGATATTGATAACCCAAACGACTCGTTACTGAGTTTGAGATGAGGTAAACATCCGTTCAAGGGAGGTTATATACCATGATACACGATGGGATGAATTGATGTATCTGATATATAACCTGGCGATAATATGAAATAAAATATATATATTCTCAGCATTGTGTTTTTAATATAATTATTCATCTGTTACACAGCACAGCCTCAAATTCGAATATATTTTTTTCTAATTGCAGATTTGAACAACCTACCCGGACCACTCGAAACATCGATTCGAAAAGTAAGAGGCACATTCACTCTCGCTGCTGTTACGGCGAATGTTCACTGTCGGAGTTCAGGGACTACTGCGCAGCAAGATGATAGGGCCACATTGCTTCGTAGCAGGAGGTGCGATGTGTTTGGTCGTTGAAATGAACGCGTTCGCCCTGATGGTTTGAAAGATAACATACCTCGAGCATTGTCGCGAAGATGCCGATTCGCCGCATTGCCAGTCACATCCATCAAAGGTTGTTTTGATGCCGGGTCACACCAAGGCCAAGTGACAGTTCTTGTGGTGCGATCGAATCGTCTCGTCATCAACAAAGTATTTTGTCGACGCCACGTGTGCAATGTGCTTGATAGTGTTTGTCAGGAAATAGAAGATTCCGATACTTTGCTGCATGAAAATCATGGATTTTAGTATTATCGTTGTCAATCTGTTGTGGCATATTTGTTTACTCGTTTCTTCTGTTCTTGTGTGTATCTACAATATGCGATTGGATCTGGTATCCTATCATCGTGTTCAAAGTTATGTTATGGCTAAATTTGGTTTTGATTTTTCCTCCGGACATAAGTTAGATCGTAAACACGAAATTAAAAAAAAATCAAAAAGCGTAAGTAAGTTGTAATGAAATATGGATTTCATTTTATTTTATTTTTGTTACGTAACCACTGTCTTGTTGAAAATATTTCATTGACATCATTGAATTATTTGATTTTGTCAGGCATTTTCATTGAAATAAAAAATGGCACAAATCTGATATTTATTTCACGGATAAGGTGCAGCATAGTATTATTTACCTATTTTTGTCGATTCAGCTGAATATTTTGCGCTCATACAATCTGTAGATATTTGTGTAATTACGTCAACGCCATTGAATGGATTCCGAAATTCGACACCCTAATCAGAACTGTCAACAGATTGCGAAACGAATGACATTATTTGAATTAAGGGTCGAGCATTTGTCACATAACACACTTTAAAATTAACTGATATTTGGCTGGAACGTAATTGCGATCATGAGGGCATATCACGCGCCAAAAGAACTTGTAAGCAGCGCGGAGGTTCTGCAATAATAGCGTCGGCGCTTGCTACTGACATTTTACGCTTCGCTTACAAAGCTTACTTTTGAGCAAATCCGATACGCACAATTCATCGTGTGTGGTGCGTTTGAGAATGGACAAAAATTCGTCACAACGAAAACCCAATATTACCAAGGTAACGGATTCATTAGACTTCAGAGTTGAGAGTATGAATTCCGAAACCATATCTCTGTGTTAGAAACAAATAAACGGTATATGAGAATTTAAAAACAATTTGGTTCAGATATACGACAGTAGCCTAAACCATACAAACACGGGAAGGTACAACCACGAAGTGAAAATAACTGAAACACAAACTCACAAAACACGAGTGGAGCAGTTTATGGTAATTCCGCAAGGTAAGGTTAGGTGCTTCCGTATGGTAAGATGTAAGACCAATAGACTATTTTAATACAAATTAACAATTTGAGCAACTTCTAATTCATTCTTGTTATATATATACTTTATGCATTCTTATTATTGGTGCTGTTTACATTACAGTCATCATAAGCACATTCCTTATATAACGACAAGGTGAAATACTGACTAGATATTTATCTTGGGAATTTCGCCAACAAAACGTGGTCCAGCGACCTTTTTGTTTAGAAAAGTCGAAACGGTTCTCAACGCGAATTCATTTTCTAACTAAAGAATTATTGTTTTGGGTATCGCATGGAAATGTTCATAAGCTGTAATGTATTTGTTTCAAATAATTCTAATTTAACAATTAACAAATTTTGTGGAAAGCACAATTTTACTTCAAACAACTGGAATCTTCCGTACAGCGTAGAAAGATGTAGCCCATATTTCACAATGTCCAAAACTATCATGATAAATATAGCAATATCGCAACGGACCCCATACTACATCAAATCTTTTGACGGAGCGTTCCGCCGAACGTGTTTGCAGTCGGTGATGCCAATGAACCAATTAACATATACGTTTTGCAATGAACCAATTCAAAGTGCCGGTACGCCACACAGTGGAGCCTTCTCGGATGACAACATGACGAAAATTTGTTTAACAAACGTGCCGGTAGTGATCGCCAACTACATTCATCGAATCCAGTCCTATCGGTTCCGGCATTCGAGATTTGCGAGAGGCACTCAATAGTAAATAGACTAGACTCTTTTGGTACAAATATATTTCGACTATATTCAGAAAACAACGAAAGACATATGTTTAACTTACCATTAATAAGTACGGTAAGCAGCAATCCGAGGAAAAAGATGTCAACTCTAGTGTAGTTGAAGTGTATTATAGTCACCTTGAGTGTAGTCACAGTCACAGAGATATATAAATAGAGTGCGCTTCTCTCTCGTTTCCGCGGGACAATATAAAGGCTCTCTCGTTTTGACGATAGACTTCCAACTTTTGCGATGCGCGCAATGCATTTCTTATGGGATTTGACAGAAATCAATCTTTTGCGTCGATTTTTCCCGCACATCCTCCTGATCTTGATTCGTTTCTCATTATGTATGATTCACTAGTATATCCCAGCCCACCATACGGTGCTAATTTTGGCAGTTTTATAAATTTGCAAAAGTCGTGGGTTAATAATATGGCCAACGTATCAGTCAAAAGCGAACAAAAACGACCACAAACATTAGCAAAGATGGCTTACCGGAATCGCTTCCCCATTTACCTGTATTTGGCCTTATTTTATCGCCTTAGATATTTTGCGCAGCGATCTCAATATCATTGCGTGGCCTGGTTCCGCAGTACCCGAGCTGTACATATAAATAGAACTGAAAAGCGCTCCATGAGTGCGTGTACCAATATGGAGGTATCTAATATTGTTCGTCTACTCTACACCAAGTTGTGTAAAGGGACAGAAACCCACGGACACAGGATATATTCACTTGGCTAACACACGCACAATCCCCGAACTCGTAATAGAACGAGAATAAGGAAAGTCGGAATAAAGTTATGGCCTAACCCTAATCTGGCACACAGACTACGGGAGTACCAACTTATCTGCGCTTCGCCCTCTGCCGAAGACTTAGGTGAAATCTTCCCCGTGGAGGTTATTGCATTTTTATGATATAAGGCAAAAACAATCGTTTCCACTTATATATATCTATTGTATAAATGCCTGAACAACCAAATTTTTCAAGAACGAGATCCACATCAGGCTATAAATTCCCAATTCGAGTATAATTGTGTTTGAATACGCACAAAAAGTCGCATATAGATCCATATGTGGCGCATTGGGTAGTAAAATAGACAAAAACTGGCCGCCAAGATGGCGGCGATCAAATTGTCCCGCGCTGCGACAACGCAAAACGAGAGAGAAGATCGTTCCATGTATTTCCAGTTCAGTGGGTATACGGCATACTGTGTTATTCTTCCTTTATTTTATGCATGAGTGACCTTGGTTTTCTCTCTCGTTCTTCTTTTGTTGATGCTTAAGTCAATTAGTGCGTTTACATAGCAACGATTATCGTGCCAAAACCGTATTTTGAGCGAATCGTGTTCATGTAAACCAGAGGTGACGAACCTGCGGCCTTTAATTTCAATGTCTGCAGCAAAGAAAAGAAAGATTGTAGATGAAAGAAGGGGATTTCATAAAGAATGGACTAATATGTTTTTCTTTATAAAAGAGGGGGGAAACGGTTTTGCCTAAAGTGCAAAAGTTCGCTGGCAGTTATGAAAAAAGAAAATTTAAAACGTCACTACGAGACCAAACATCCTGAGTCGAAAAATTTGGATGGGGATATCAGAAAAAGTGAGATAGAAGAATTTCAGAGAAATTTGTATCCGCAAAAACTTGTCATGACTTCCTTTTGTAGCACGAACGTGCTCACTTTGAGCTATGAAGTATCGGAATTGATCGCTAAAAAGCTTAAGCCTTATGACGATGGGGCATGGGTCAAGGAAATACTCGTAAGAGCAGCTGAAAAGTTGGCTCCAAAGTCGGTTTATTTGTATCAGAGGCTGAGTTTGTCTCGGCCTACTGTTTGTGACCGCATAAAAGAAATGGGTCAAGATATTGAAGATAATCTCAAAAAAAGAGCAGAGAAATACGAAAACTTCTCCGTCTGTCTCGATGAAACAACGGACATCAAGAATACCGCGCAGTTGGCAATATTTTTTCGGAGAGTTACAGCGGATTTTCAAATTGATGAAAACTTGCTATCTCTAGAATCGATGCACGAAACAACTCGTGGCGAAGATCTGCTTCAAAAGCTGCTTCAAGCAAGTTTTCAAAGACTTTGACGCTGATTATGATGATCTTCTTTATTTCTGTGCTGTTCGTTGGACGAGTTGTGGGAATATGTTAGCGCGCTTTCATTCTCTTTTACCAGAAATTGTTGAGTTTCGAAATTTGAAGAAGTGTCCGCTGACTGTGCTGGAAGATGAAAACTGGTTGTGCGACTTGGGATTTATGGTAGATATCACAAAGCATTTAAACGACTTGAACGTGCAACTTCAAGGACCAGATCAACTATTGCACTCGATGTATTCCAAGATCAAGTCTTTTACGCCAATGCTTGATCTCTGCTGGTATAATCAATTGAAAGATAACGATTGCACGCATTTCCCACGTTGAAAAAACACAATCCAACTTCTTGTATCCAATATATATGCTTTGGAATGTTCCAGTCTCTTGGAAAGATTCAATGCTAGATTTACGGATATCAAAAGCAAGAAGCTGGAGCTTGATATCTTTTCTATTCCCTTCATTGTCACACCTGCTTCTGCACCCTCCGAGCTTCAACTCGAACTCATGAAACTACAAAGCGATGACACGCTGAAAGCAATGTATCTGAATATGCCGTTGCTTGAATTTTATCGTGTTTATGTATCAAAGAAAGAGTTTCCAAACTTTAGAGCTAGCGCTCTTAAATGGTCATCTGTTTTCGGAAGCACCTATTTATGCAAACAATTTCTTCTAAAATGAATTATACAAAAAGTCGATACAGGTCAAGGCTGACAGACGAAAATCTTGGTCTGCAATTGAGAGTTTCCACATCGTCAATTTGTCCTAATATTGAATGATTAGTAAAAAAGAAAGAATACCAAAAATCTCACTAAGACAAAAAGCATTAAATGGTTCTTTATTTGTTTTCTATTTCATGCTGCAATATAACATTAAATATATTCAGCTGTATGGATACATGGGTTTTATTACTTTCGATTGATTTTGTTAATGATTTTTTTTTTTCGTTTTAATGGGTATCATATGATAGGATTTACATATTTATCCCTCCGAACCCACGCAGAGGTACGTTAGCTAGCGCATTCCTAACGCTTAGCGCGACGCGTGCTCATCGGCGATCGTAATATGACAAAAAAGTTGTGCGGCCCGCCTACTCAGCGGTAACTAAAAAGTGGCCCGCGATAGCAAATGGGTTCGTCACCCCTGATGTAAACACTTTGGTTCGATCGCCAATCATGACTCAGCGTGTTTGCATCGTATTCAGTTAACCATAGTAATATTCCAGCACGATTGCACAGGGTAGATTAGCAGGCACGATGCTTTCCTCGCACGCGCGAACAGGGACGCGCTGACGGTTTTACTTTGGCGTTTTCTAGGTCGCTTGCTCTGCGCTTTTGTGAACCTAGCGCAGTAATGCTTTCATGGTGACAGCGTTACAATTGCAAGCGAGTTTGAGCTGTTTGAAGTAATTATTAGTTGTAGATGGAATTCTTTACTTGCGGAATATGTTAAACTTCTTTCAGACCCATCTACAGCCTGCCATGCACAATGCATTACGGTCTGACGTTACCGGTAACTGGGTCTGAAACTAAAATATTAAGTAAAGTCACGGAATTCCAGTACCATAAATGACTGCAACATATGTAAGTGTACAAGTTTCCCGGATTATGTAATTTTGCAAAAGATACAGTCAGATAGTAGGATGTTAAACACAAGTACAGCACTGATACGAGTCAGGAAATAGTGGACACGAATAGGCCTATGGCTGTATGGAGCTTTTCAACCCTACCTTAGTCTAGCAAAGCAAACGTCAAAACGTTGGGCATGTTATATTCATACACCAAAAATACGGTACCGGTACTGTATCACAGGTATCAGTTAAATCGATTATCGTTTTTGATTTCGAAAATTTAATTTCTTGACATAATGAATTGCATTCATAGCAAACTGTTATTTAATTTATATTTAAACATAAGTTATAGCAGAAAAGTAGTAGTGCAGTTTATGTTTGTGATTGAAATGGAGTCTATGTCAAATCCGGAAGCTAAGTGGGAGGACAACGAGGTTAAAACAATGCTTGGTATTGTTCGAGAAATGAATCTGGTTGTTCTGCTTGACCAAGAGGAGTCTAGATCAAAAGTTTTGTACAGAGAAGTTGAGAAACAGTTGACAGCGAAGGGATACAAAAAAACGTTTGGGAGTACAGTCGTTATGTTATACAGTTTCAGCTTTTTGATTCATGCATTTTAGTAGTTTTCTGAATAGTTATCTCTACTCAATTTTCAGAAAATTGCAATTGATTTTCGTTGAAATATTATCAAATACGAACTATGTTAAATTTTTGACTAGCAGTATGTTTTCAGTTTTTCAATTGGCTAGTTACTAAAGTTAGATGTTTTTACATTTGTAGTTTCCAACAAATACGTTGTAGGTGACGGCCTTATGGTCTACTTTCAACAAGATATTACGTCTACATCCTGTTGATGGGACGACTCACATAACATGTGATTATTATGATGGGCTTTATGAAATGTTTGGCCACCACCCAGATGTTGATTATATTAATATGGGAGTGGATATTGGAATCACAGATGCTGTATCACTACTCACTAGGTAACTATTTTTCTTTGTTGTTTTGAATCGATGCATTTTGTCAGTTCCTATTACCTGTGTACTGGTTTATGTCATGTTTTTTTTATTTATTTCAGAAATTGAAAAAAAAGGGATGCAATGCTTCCAAGCACACCAGAGCCAGGTGTGTCTTCTTGTGTAGTTCAGTCTTATATTTTTTTTAAATTTCAATATACGTGAATGTTTCGTATAGCTCTTACTGTGAGCCTGGCCCATACTTTGACTGCAGAGGATAATCAATGAAGTTGTCACCTCAATCAACTGGTCCATGCGCCTTGATGAATAATTGGTTAAATATTTCCATACATGGCATATGATCAGGCCGTCCTGTGAGTAATGACACTTCTCTCTTCCTGGGATAGTTATTCTATTATCTAGTTAATAATTTCATTTCAGCACACAAATTTATTAGAATAGGAAATTGACGATTGTCCTTTTAAAATTGTCTTGCTTCTGCTTGGATGTTGAAGAAGATGCAGCTCCAACTACAGACAAGTCTGTTGATACTTCATCCAATCATGGAGGGAATCCAGAATCTGGTTCATATCCATATAAATATTTGCTTTATATTATATGTCTCAACCAAAACATCATGCTACCTAACTGAGATAAGTCTTATTCAATTATATTTCCATAAAAGTTTGACTAGGAATTGTTCTTTTCTAGTTAAGTAAAAGTCTTTTATGCCACTGTGCAGGGAAAAGACCTTCAGTTGACTTTAAAATTCTTTTCGAGAAACAAAGGGAGTGGGAAGAAAAAATGATGCATGGGCAAATGGAAACCTATGCCCAATTGATGAGAGAGACTGTGCAACAGATGGGGACGATACGATATAACAGAAGTAATATGTTTAAAATACACCCCGCTCCTACTGCCACACATGATTTATTGTAAGAGATTTAAATGTAAACTTTGTTTTAAGGGTCCATGAAGTGAGTATGGTTCATTGTGCCACAACAAGGTTACCCGTTTGTAAAAAGCAGTTCAAGTTGAAGCATCAAAAATTTGTTTATCATCTGCATGAGAAACTGAAATGATTAGCAGCTCTGTAGATCCAATGTTGTTGTTGTTTTATCACATACATTGCACAGTAATAAAATCAAAACCATTAGGTTGTGGCATGGTCCGATCAGAGTGTATGGGTATAGGCAAGCTTTTATATTATAAATAAATTTTCTTTACAAGAAAGCTAAAGGGAAGGTTTTGTACATCAACTTAATGGAATGGCTACAGAGAGACAGTTGGAATAAATCTCTACGAATAGACTAGAACAGTTGTTCCAAGCCTCTGTACGCCTATTTTTGTACTCTTTAATGTGGTTTATATTCTGTATACAAACAAGCATCATGGTAAAATAAATAAAGTTCGTAACCAACGCAATAATCCCCGATTGCCCGGGAAACGTCGATGTAGCGTGGTAAATAAAGTGTTGAAAATCGCCAAGCGTTTGTAATTGATATGTACTGAAATTTCGAAATACGCCAGATAAAAGATATGAAAAACTAACGGCATATTTGCGAAATTTGTAACTTTGCTCTGTTTCATATAAATGAGAAACTTATAAACACGTACAAGATAGTTAACTTGTAAAATTAAAAACATTTTGAACAAAAATGGATTCATGGTTTGCAGTTAAACCGAATTTAGAAGCAGCCGCGGAGCATAAAACTGACAATGGTATTTAACGCCAAGTATGCCCACAATTTTAAACCGGATCGAAATTCAATGGTGTCCACAAGACATATTTTGACGTTCGATTGTCCGAAATACGATGTGGGAACGTTTCTTAATAAAACGATTATCGTGTCCATGTAAACGTAATGACACGAGTCTACGACACAACATATAATAGCGACGAGGATGATTAAACTATTCTAATGCCGGTGGAGTAATTTTATACACAAGGTAACCATACTTTACGTGAAAAGCGACGGTAAATACTTCGGACATTTTGCTGATTGTCACTGCCGGCTTGATACAAAAAGCTAGCCTACACACTGTTTTTACATTGCTACATATTCTTGCTACCTTACTTTTCTACTTACGGAGAAATGAGTTCTCACGGATTTCCACCACCTGCTATGTTTTCGGCCAATCCTGGAGAACATCCAGTCTGCCAATTGCATGGCAGCAATGGATTGCGTTGTTTCAAAACTAAATGGTTGCTACTGCTAATACTGAATTGCTTGCTGTCCGAAAATAGGCTATACTACTACACTGCCTAGGTGCTGAAGGCCAAAGATTATTTTACACATTGACAGAAGATGCAGTTGTGTTCGATGAAAATGTGAAAGCTGGTAAAATGCTTGAGAAATATTTTCAACCTGCTGTAAGTGTTATTGCTGAGAGATATCGTTTCCGACAACGTTCTCAATTACCTAGTGAATCCATTGATGAAGATCTTGCTGCATTACGTGAGTTAATAAATGATTGTAATTTTAGTGATCCCGATGAAATGATTCGTGACCAAATCGTGGAAAAAATTAGCGTGAATAAAATACGAGAAAAATTGCTAATGGAATCCACACTTACACTTACAAAAACTTTGGAGATTGCTCGTCAAATTGAAAAAGATTTACGTGATTCCAGATCACTTGCTGTACATAGAAACACAGTAAATACAATGAAGTCAAAGCGTCCTGACTTCAAAATCAAAGAACGTCCTTCTACGAATAAGATGAAAACACAGATGTGGTTCCAAAGATCATCTTGCTAATAATGAGAATTGCAAAGTCAAAAATGTCGCAAATGCAACAAAGTTGGACATTTTGAAAAAGTTTGCAAAAGCACACCGTTGCAACACATAGATGTGGCTTCTAATCCAATTTTACATACTACTACTTCTAGTCATTATGATAAGGCTATTCGTCATGTTGAATTGTGTATTAATTCTACAGTACTATCTTTTCTTGTTGATACTGGTAGTCCAGTTACATTGTTGTCGCGTTACCTTTATTGCAAATATTTTTCTAATCTGAAATTGATGAAACCTAGAGCGAGTCTTACACCCTACTCTAAAAACAAAATTAATTTGATTGGTTATTTTCATGCTAATGTTTCTTACAATGGTAAATCCTCTAATGCTATTATACGTGTAGTGAAAGAAGGTCTTTCATTGCTGGGACGTGATATTTTACATGCTTCACATATGAAACTTGATGGTACAAGTATGTCTGTAATGTATAGTGATACAAATGCTCCCTACAAATTGCCAAAAAGCTTAGGGCCTAAATATGCTGAATGTTTTATACCTATTGCTGGCACTATTAAAGGGTTCGTGCATAAAGTAAAAATGAAAAAAGATGCCAAATCAGTCCAACAGGAGTTGAGACGATTACCTTTTTGTATTCATGCTGCTGTTACTGCTGAATTGAAACGGCCAGAAAATGCTAACATAATCGAAAAGATTAATTCCTCTGAATATATTTCTCCACTAGTGGTAGTTCGAAAGAAGACGGGTAATATTCGTCTGTGCCTTGATTTGAGGAAGGTTTACGAAATGATTGTGGTTGATAAATTTCCTTTGTCTACAGTAGATGAAATATTTAGTGAAATGCATGGTGCCAAATATTTTTTGAAATTAGATCTTATCATCAATTAGCTTTAGCTGAGGAAAGTCGAGATTTAACTGCTTTTGTTACACATGATGGTTTATTTCGTTTCCGTTGTGCTTGTTTTGGATTAGCCTCTGTTCCTAGTGCATTCAAAAAGATAATGGTATCTGTTCTTGAAAGTTCAAAGATGTTAAATGTATACTTCATGATATTGTAATTTAGGGTCGCACCAAACAAGAACATGATGCTAATTAACATGAAATTTTTGAACGACTTTTGAAGCTTGGTTTCAAATTGAATGATAAATGTGAGTTTAATGTTGACAAAATTGGAATTTTTGGACATGTTCTTACTGCGCAGGGTTTTTTGCCACACCCGAAATTGTCTAATGCTATACTAGATGCTCCCTCTCCTCATGATACTACTTCTTTACGTTCCTTTCTTGGTTTGATTGGATATTATTCTAAATTTTGTGATGATTTTGCTACTATTGTTAAACCAATGAGATGTCTTTTACGCAAAGATGTTAGTTTTTCCTACTAATACTGATGCTCAGAAAAGTTTTATTGCAGCAGAAAATTTCTTGCAGAAAAGTGTATTTCTGACCATATTACTCTTGCTTTTTATGATCCTAATATAATTACTACTGATGCGAAGTACTCCGTTGGTGAACATAATGCACTCGCTTGTGTATGGGCATGTGAAAAATTCCTCAATTACATCTGGGGTAGAAAATTTGAGCTGCAAACTGATCATCAAGCTCTTACTACTTTGCTTACATCCCAAGGAAATACCCGACAATCGATGAGAATTGCTCGATGGAATGCTTGTTTGCTACATTATGATTATACAGTGAAATACAAATCTGGTTCTGAAAATAAATTTGCTGATGCTCTATCCAGATTACCCCTGAGTTCTACTGAAAAGGCTGATTTCGAAGATGATGTTGTGTGCAATTTTCTAGGACCTCCTGAAGTATGCGCACCAAGATGGCGCACAACCTGAAGTCAGGTTCCGTACCAGGTTAGGGTTCAGGTTATGCGACATCTTGGTGCGCTTACTTCAGGAGTACCATTTTCTGAATACTACAAATACTGATTTATCGATTTCATTACTTGAACTATAGGATGCTACACGTAATGATGCTATGCTGTCTAAAATGAACGGTTACATTTGTAATGGATGACCTTACAAAAAAGATGTTGATTCTGCTTTACAAACATTTTATCATGTACGTGATGAGCTGACAATTTACAAAGAATTGATAATTCGAGGTGGAAGAATCCTTGTTCCTAATGCTCTAACTCAGGGTGGTTCAAACCCATGTGGCCCGCATCTTCATTACCTGTGGCCGCGGCGCATTCGAAGAGTAATCAATAAATCGCATTTGATGTTGTTTCGTCATAAAATTAACCAGGAAATTGTTTTGACATATTGTAACATCACCAATGTCACTGAATTGACTAGTGTTATGGATAGCTGAGGCAACTAGCGAAGTTTAATGATGTGCTTGGCTAGTCTAAATTGTTAAATGACTTTCTCTCTTTTTAGTTGGAAATATATGCTAACAATTTTGGCATCATATAAAACTAAAAATCGAATGCTGATTCTGTTAGCCTAGGTTGGCTCGATAAATGGCAAACACTGACCAATAAGTTTGCACAATAAAAGTGTTTGTTTTGTATTGCACTGTTTATCTATTCTTGGCACTCTTGTGGCAAGCGAATATTGCAAAAATATTTTTGTGGTCCCGGAACCAATAACCTTGGACCACCCTGCTCTAACTACTAAGTTAATTAACCTTGCACGCATGACACATCAAGGAATATCTTGCACTAAACATAGATTACGAGATCTATACTGGTGGAAAGGTATAGACTATAGATAAACAAGTTGAAGACTTGATTCATCATTGATCTGTCTGCAATACTCATGATAAAGCTACTAAACCAGTATTTGCTCCATTGAAACCTGTCCCTTTGACTAAACAACCTTGGCGAAAGCTGGGATTTGGTATTGTGGGTCCTAATGAAAATTCTCCTGCTGACTGTCTTTGGCTATTACCAGTGGCGGCGCGTCAATAGGGCCAACCAAAACCAATATTCGAAAAATACCTCAATATCGGTTGCACAGACTGTCTACACTAGCCATATTCTCCCGACATGGTTCATTTTTCGCTCGCAAAGCCTTCGCCGAACGTCGACGGGGCGACGCCGATTTTGCCCCGGTTGCTCATTGTATATCGTATTCTCTCTTTTATCTTCCACTCGCCGCGTTTGTCTCGTTTGTTTTCTGTTTCTTTTACTAAATCATCGGGGCTAGCCCCGAAATTATGACGACACAATGCCGACGTTTCTTACAACAACGTGTTGACATATACACGCATTCCTTCTCGTTCGTTGGTTGCTTGAAGAGTTGATAGTTTCCTCGCCTTCGTTTTTGTCGCTTGTTTCGCTATTTGAATCAGTTAGAGACCTTTAGTCCATTTGCTTTCGATTTTCCACATTCCTTTTGAGCTCCTCACTTCTTTCCGGCTTCGCATTTCTTAGCCTTAGACCTCATAATGAATAAGGTTGATGCACTACTTCGCACTCCGTATTCGCAGCTGCCGCTGGAACAAAAATTAGAGGTACAACGTCTTGGGCCTTATCAACCAAAAAATTGTTCACTGGAACAATCCCATGACGGAGGAAAGCGTCGGCGTACATTCTGCGCAGAAACTTGGTATAAAAAACACGAATGGTTGTGTTACAGCGAGGACAAAAATGCACTTTTTTGATTTTATTGCCTACTTTTTGCTACCGCCCGTGACTCACGTTGGTGTAAATTTGGTTTTAGAGATCTTAAACATCTTTACGAGCGTGCCAGGGATCATCAATCTTCTATGGAGCATCTGGACAATGCAGTAAAATACCGAACATTCGGAAATGTTAATATTGCAGCACAGTTGGATGAAGCACGCGCGGTTTCTATTCGT